AGCTTGCCATGGCTTCGCTACATCAAGACAATGCAACCCGTACATTTGTTCAGTCGACAGTCCCAAGGCTACGCACTTACCCCTGGCTACTATAAGCGCTTTGCAGCTTGATACGCCAATGATGATCGGAGTTCGCCTCACTGTTGCCGGCAAAAGTCATTTTGAAGCCAACCACCTCGCGATTAGCTCTTGCGGGTGATGCGGGTGGGGGAAAGGGGATGGATTGGGACACGCGAAGAGCCCGACCGCGTGCTAAATGACACCTGGTCCTTGCCCGCGCCGAAGCTTATGAATAAAGTACGAAAGTCACGGTCCTTTTTTACCTTTTTGATATTACCACTGCTGCACCATGACGCTGGGTCACTCTGGGGCGGGAATCGAGTGGGCCTGGGCCTTGGGATCGGCCTCGCTTCGAGCTCCGCCATGGGATGGCGTTGGAAGTCCGCCCTTGCTTGTAGGGAAATGAATCCGTGCGCAGTTCATTCCTGATTCTCCACATGGGCATCGTTCGCAGTATGCGGGCTGGGAAGGAGAAGGGCTGCCATGTGTTAGGGCGAGATGGTTCATGTATGCATGTCTATGAACGGATATAGACCAAAACCTTGAAGGTATACAGGGCATGTATGGAGTACCTCGGCAGAGGCAATCCACTAACACTCCTTTGAGATGCGCTTGAATCCTGGCTCACATCACAGGTGGATCATAGTGGTCCCAAGGGGACAACACAATGGGAGAGTAAACCCATCGCAGGGATCCCCGTCCCAGTTACCTGGATAGCCAAACTGGAGACCCACGATCACCCACAGTCCTGGGGCGAATCCCGACCCATCCCGAGTCTCGCATTGATCTCTGACTGATCTTCGCAGCTCGTCAAGCCCGGACCTTCAATTCTCAGCCAATCATCAAGTGGTACTCCGTCGCACTCTCCATACCCTAACTCTCAATGCGGCAACGGTGCAAACTCTCCGGTGACGCTAAAAGGTTCCCCGTGGCTTCATCCTCGAAAGTTTCCTGTGCAATGGAAAACCCACCAGGATGGATAACCGATGTTGCCATGGTGTGCATATTCGACGGCCCGCAATAACTCTTTCTTGGGTTGGTAAAGCAGACGGGACGACCATTCCGCCATTCTAGCAGAGCTAATCGCATCTCCACCCATCCACCGACACACCAAATGCAAGCCTCACACTGCCAAACCAGAAAGCTGATTTGAGATATAAATGCACACCACTGCAGCCACGGAAAAATTTCCCGAAACGGCGGATGAGATCGTCCCTGAGATCTTCCTCCCCGCCCCCGATCGAAGGGTGCTGCTTCTGAGTGGCTGAAACAATGTCATTATGCCTCAAGATGGCTGGGACCTCGTCCAGATCCTTGAATCATGCGCTTCTTGGAAGCCAATGGCAGTCTCAGGTCCAGTTCTAATACCGAGATGGCTCTGCCTCCGAAGCGAAGGAAAATAAGGCAGTCTGAATTTGTAGCTTCGTCATTCAAGATTTCGCTGTTCCCAGCGCGCCGGAATGCGTTCCAACTTTGCCGGGGAGGCCCGGCCCACGCGAGCGATCGGTGGCTGGGATGATGGAATTTGACCGGGAAATTGGAGTCTAATGCGAACTCTTACTCCATTTGCTAAATTTTACCTGCTCGGTGACGATTTCTTATGCAAGTTGGGTTCGTTTGGAATATTCTCCCCCGGCGATATTCGTCTCCCCCAGTCCTCACTAAAAAAACTGTGGAATATGAAGAAGTGTACGGAGTACTCATACGATACCCCACTCAGTTCCACAGAATATACTACCTGCCACAAGAGCAAAAATCCACTTTCTTCAAAGGCAACTCGATCACGCAGCCGGGAAGGACCTGCACCTGTTGCACGATCGAATTCGCCGATGCAAGGTACTCGGAAAGTCCACGTCAATGCGGAGGCAAAGCCATCGCCTCGAAAGCATATCGCGGCACCAAAATAATAAGATGCCACCACTGAGGGATCTTGGCGTAAAAAATCCAGCAAGATCTGAACTCCGAATCCGCAGTCCAGGTTCTCATCGCGGATCATATGCATCAGGATAATCCCTGTATCTGGACCCGCGGGTATGCAGCTAGGAAGAAGAAGACGATTTCCCCTCCCCTTGTGTGTAGTGTGCCCCTCTTTTCTCCACCAGGCCAGGGCTGAAAGGAAGATCTCACAATGAAGAAACCCGAGCTTCCACCTTGAATTGCGGACCCGGTCCCGATTTCCATGCAAATCATACTTCACGATGGCGTCGATAGATATTTCTGCAAACGCTGTGCAACAGCTCCATATATTCCAGCAACTTGTAGGACAGCTTTGCAGCCGATCGAGGGGAAATACTATGAGGCTGGCTGGAGTCGGTACCGTGTACCAGGTTCGCTCAATGCGGCTGCTGGCTTATGACGGCGATTCACGGACCCTGTTGGTGACTGGATTCATATCCTTGATTTTTATCTGCAGGCACAAAGTACTCTACAGCAAGAACCACCCTCTAGCTATAGCCATGCAGCTAGGCCAGATAAAGGTGGAGAGGTCCATCGAACCGTCGGAAATTTCAGGTCCTCACCAGGTACAGGGAGAGTATATTCGTGCAAGCGTCACACCTAATCATGCTGCCACTGGGTCTTCGATGAGAGCAAGGAAAAAAGCATTGTGTACCCCGTACAAAATAGCAAAGCCCCCGTACTCGGACATCCTCGGCTGTAACTTAGTAGAACAAGAAAAGCAACTGTTTAAAGATCAACGCATCAACTGACCACCCCGCGAGTCAGCGCGAGCAGCATCGGTTGGATGTCATTGCGGAACAAATATGCGAGATGGACCTGCTATCGGATCAGGCGTTTTGGGTCTGGGCATGACAGCCCCGATATTTTCAAGCCAACTGCGATCTCAGGTTCAGGGGCCCTGATTGGATCATCGGCGCACTCTGTCGTATTATATCAGATTGGGGAATGCACTCGACGTTTCCCCGAGGATTTAAGCACTGACCCCTACCTCCGATCCCCTTGCCTGGGCCCTCGATAGCTGAAACGAGCCTTGTCCGAGCGAGAGGAAGTAGTTTCCATATCCCTCTATGGCCAATGGTGTTTCCACATCTCCAGCGACACTCATTGGGTAAACGGTGCCCCCCGAGGTATGTACCTTCATACATGTACTCCATAACGAAGAGATGCAGGACGAAATGGGACAGAAGGTCAAGGAGAGCATCTCACTAAGTCCGGGGGCACACAAAACGACTTGATATGTAATACCGTCCCATACTAGATCTGATATATTGAATTGGTCGCTTTTATGTGGACCGAATCCCTCCGTACAGACTCAGGAACCATGCGACTTTCTCCACGGCGCTTCTCAAGATCCAGTTACATATGCACACCATAGAATTAGAATTTCGGATGAGATTACTCATTTGTGCAGCCCATTCAAGATCTTTGATTTTCACTTTCCATTGCCTTTCCAAAGGGAGAAGTTAGAATTTGCCTCCTCGATATTGTACATCGAAGTTAATCGAAAATCGGCATGGGTGGTGAATTCAAATCATCCAGCATTCTCCTGGCTCCTGCATATTCACTACCTACTACTAGTAAAAACACTGATAGTATTGCACATATACAAATAGGTCGGTGCTTACAATTCAGTGCATATCTTGTCGCGTGGAAGGATTTTCTGTCCGCAGATACGTGAGCCTCCGGCAAGGGATATTGTTTGCCACTATTGATTGCGTACAGGCAGAATTATTTCCCCGTAAAAGCATAGCCACTATATGTACTCAAGCCATCATTGGCGAATATTGCAAGTGTTTTCCGGATTTATTCTTGGAACATGAACGCTGGCTCGAGCTTTGAAAGGAAAGGTGAGAACTCCTGTCTGGACTGTGTGGGAATCACTGCAGGTGTGGTGAGTTCGCGTGTGAACTCGCTCCAACCTTCCCGCAGGAACTCCATGAGCAGAAATTTTCTTCAAGTATCTGCATAGGTGCTTTGTACTTAGTTTAGGATACCTACCTAGGTATGGTAGACTGCAGGCGCCGTGGCGGCCAGTTGCCAGGTGGCAGGGATCGTTCACCGCTACAACCGACCCCAAATATGCCCAACTGTTTGATCCCGAGGAGAGAAAATCATTCGAAGGCTTTGATATCAAATTGACACCGCCACGTTTGGTCCTCGACACTACTGCAGAAAACGCTGGCGAAACTGGATTTGCAAGGCGCCAATTGGAATTATGTCATTCTGTATATGCAACTAACGTTTTGTTGTTGTCACCCTCCAGACACCGACAAACTGATCAAACTTTTTTCTTTTCTTCTCCCGTATGTGCCTTGGGGGGTGGTGTATGCACAAAATACAAAAACATGAAACAAAGTAAAATAACGCTGTACACGGACCGCAATATCGATTCCAATAACAAGGGGCAAGGGAAATGACAAAGCATTTTTCTGAGTGACCAAGCGACTTGCCAAGCCAATCAGTCGCATTCGATCATGTTGCATTGGAGGCGCAAGATAATTGAAACACATGATGGCTACAGAGGGGGGGGGGGATGGGGTATTTTGTCTTGCGTAAAAATTTCAGAGAGCTTTGGGCCATGATTGCTGCAACTATTGCCCCTGTCAAGAATGTGCGAGGATAAGATGACCGGGGTATTGCATTTGCAGAAGTGCGTTCCCCGTATTGGAGTGAATTGGTCATCCTTGCACAGACAGCCTGCGCCACACGCAGGACCTCCTCAATGCGGTCAGAAACGGGCAGGACAGGCAGTCAATAAACATGACCCATGCAGACTGTGTGGAATTAGACACTCGGAATGCAGACTGACTTAGCGATCGGACCGAGTAGTCCAGATCAGGCCCGGACCCCCCCGAGCCATTCATATTACGAAGGCTTGACGCCTCCTTGAGTGCGTAGGTGCGAACAGGCTAGCTGAAGGCACATTGCCACATGACGCGCGAAATTCATCAATGCTAGTCAAATCCCGATTGTGCATGGTGTTATTGCGAGGAGCCGGCGATGCCATCGCTGTCCAACAGGCCTGCCTCCTTCGCGAGGTCGTAGAAGCGACCGCCGCGCTTAACCAGTTCGGCGGGAGTATCAAATTCAACAACACGACCCTTATCCAAGACAACAATGCGATCGGAATCAATGATTGTGTTGATACGGTGCGCAATGGTGATGATAGTACGGTCTTGGAAGATGCTGCTGCGTAACGTGCGCTGCAGCAGTGCATCTGTCTCCACGTCAACTGCCGCGGTTGCCTCGTCCAAGACCAGGATATTGCTTGGTGTGAGCAAAGCCCGGGCGAGAGAGACGAGCTGGCGCTGACCTTGACTCAGGTTGGAGCCACCTTCTTGGATTTGAGTGTCGAGCTGGCCATCCATCTGAGCGACGTGGTCCTTGAGCTTGGCATGGTCTATGATAATGCAGTTAGTATTGCTTTATTTTAGATATCCGGTAGAACAGTAGTATATCCGTACCTAATACACTCCAGAGCTCGGTGTCGTCATGAACGTGTCGAGGGTCCAGGTTGTCACGCAGTGTACCTTCAAACATGGCAGGGTCCTGGGGAATGATAGCCAGGCGACCGCGGAGGTCGAAGAGGCCAGTCGTCGAGACATCAAGCCCGTCAATTCTATAGAAACGTCAGTTGAAGATCCTAGGATATAACGCGTCCCATGAATCAAAACTTACTCAATGCTGCCATTCGTGGCTTCGATGATTCGAAACAGAGCCAGAGTGAGAGAACTTTTTCCAGCACCAGTTCGACCAACGACTCCAATCTTTTCATGGGGTTTGATGTCGAGGGTGACGTCCTTGAGGACCAGGTCAAGACCCTCGCGATAGCGGGTGCTGTAGTTCTTGAAGGAGACAGCACCTTGAGCAGGCCAGCCGATGGCAGGACGACGCTTGAAGATAACTTCAGGTGCCTCGCTGGGCAGGTTCGCATACTCCAGCACTCGCTCAACAGACACGATATTAGTCTCAACCTCAACAGTCTGGCGAACGATCCAGTTCAAGGACTGTGTAATCTGGAGAGCATATGACATGGCCAAACCTACCATGCCCGCGCTGATACCGCTGCCGGAGGCAACAGAGAGAATGGCAAGTCCAGCAGCAGCCAAGATGATGATGGAGCCGATGAATTCCAGTCTCACGGCCAGCCATCTGTTTGCACTGATGGACGGAAAGTAAGCACGCAGGTTGGCGTCCATGCGCCATTCATTCTCAAGTGCAAAGCGATTTTCCTGTTTGTAGGCACGAATAGTACAAATACCACCGAGCGATTCCTGGAAATGGGCATATATAGGGCTTCGAGTGACACTGTCCAGTCGCTTCAACTCACGAGAGGTTCGCAAGTAGTACTTCTGATAGCTGAGATAAACCCAGCCCAGAGGGAGAACGAATATCAGGAAGGCTGGGGTCGATGTACAAATGACAGTCATGGTGAAAACGGCACGAGCAGCGTTGGCGAACAGCATATTGAAGGTACGCGCAAGGACCTCATCGACACGGTACACATCGCTAGAGAATCTGTTCAGGATACGACCTGATGGAGTCGTCTCGAAGAAGCTCATGGGAGAGCGGAAAATGGCAAAAGCCATGCGCTCGTGGAGTTTGCGAGAAGCCTCGATGGAGCAGAAGATCCAGAGAATCAAGTTTTGAACGATGACGAGAAGAGACGAGCCCAGGCCAAAGGCTAGATAGACACCAATGAACTTACCGACACTAGCATTTGTGCCATGTGCCTCGTTAGCCTCCGTCCAACTCTTCAGCCAGAAGTTTCCAAGCACTTGGGCAGTTTGCGAAAGCAGAAGAGCAAGCAAGTAGAACGTAACCGCCACAATGTTGCTATTCTTAGCGTATTCTCCATAGACGCTCCATTTGACTTTGCCTTGTTGGGCAGTCTCTTGAGTCTGCTTGCTCTTGAGAACATTTTCTTCGTCTCCCAGCTTGCGGCGTGGGCCCTGCCAGGTTGCAGTACTGGCTCGCCGCAGAGTAACATGGCTAGCCTTGCGCTGGGGACTACGCCCACTCTTAATGGGAACAAGAGAACCCGGTTGCTCGAGTTCTTCACTGTCGGGGTCCTCTTCGTCATCGTCAAGTACAGCAGTAGACTCGGAGTTCCCAGGGCTGGCCAGGTCATCATCTGATGCATCAGAGCGCTCGTCGTCCGATTCTGCGAGGTTGGTCTTCACGAGATTGAAGATTTCGCCCTTCATTGCCATAAGTTGTTCATATGTGCCCTTTTCAATGATAGTCTTGTCACGCAGCAGGCCAATGAAGTCCGCTTCTTTGAGGACGGTGATAGCGTTGGTAGCCAAGATTCTCGTCTTTCCAGCCAGAATGCCAGAGCTACCGAGGACCTTGTTGATGATGTGGCGGCCAACGTGCTGATCCACGGCGGAAAGAACATCGTCAAGAAGATAAATATCTGCACGTGCATATACTGCTCTTGCGAGGGTCAAACGTGCCTTCTGTCCTCCGGAGAGTGAGATACCACGCTCTCCGACTTCAGTCTGATCACCATCGGGCATGATCTTAAAGTCATCGATCAAAGCGCAGGCCTCGACCGTCAGTTCGTAGAATGCTGGGTCCCATCGGTGGCCAAATACAATGTTCTCACGAACACTGGCATTCATAACCCAGGGTGCTTGGGCGACGTATGCGACACGTCCACGCACGACAACTTCACCACGGTTCTTCCAAAGTTCTCCCAAAAGTGCTTGGAGTAGGGAAGACTTTCCTGCGCCGACACGACCAACAATGCAGCTAAGCTCACCTTTGCGGGCACTCAAATCGATATTCTCAAGGACCGGAACTCCGGAATGACGGTTCCAAGTCCACGAAGCATCGCGAACACGGACTGACTCGTCACCAGTGTGTTCAACGGGGTCCTGGAAAATGACAGACTCGGTCTGCAGTTCCTCTGCCGTGAAGTAGTCCACGAGACGTTGCACGGCCACGCTGGATTCAATTACAGAGGTGATAACCATTGGTAAGATCGACAGAGGGAATGTGAGAAGGTTGAATAGAGTCAGGGCAGGGAAGACGATCTCGGTGGTCAGGGGCTTGTCACTCGTAAGAACAAAGACGGTGAATGTCGAGCAGGACACAAGGAAGGGGGTAGACTGCCAAGTGAAGTTTGCAATAGACTGGGTCGCACCAATCTTGCGAAGTGTGTTCAGTTCAAGATCATTTCGAATGTGACTGAGCTTGTTCATGAATGCAGTGTTCCAAGCATAAAGCTTGATGCTCTTGATGTTGTTCAAGATCTCAGTCATCAGGCGAGTACGCGAATCCTTGTTCTTCATCTGCTTGATCTGGAGCTTCTTCATCATTCGAGCAATGACACCGTTCAGTGGGATCATGAGAATCATAACACCGACACCAGCAAACATGCTTGGCCCGACAAGCTGGTAGAGCGATAGCATGCATAGGACGATTTGGAAGGGGGCAGATATCAACTGTGTACCAAATTGAGTCAGGTCAGCAAGTCGCTGCTGATCCACAGCCATGTGGTTGACGATGTCGCCAGTAGTCTTGGTAGCACGACCTTCGCTAGAAAGACGGAGGGCCTTCGAATAGATCAAAGCAGTCAAAGACGATTTCACACGCATACCTGTATCGAAGGCACGTTGGAAGTACTGGTGAAGAAAGCTAGTCTGACAGACGGATACGAAGAACATTGCCAGTGCGATGGCAACACCTTTGATGACTGGCTGTGGATCCGGGCGTCGATATGAATCAATGAAAGCGATCAGATAACGAAGAAGCTGCGGTTGAACAAAGGCAAGCACATCACTGGCCGATTTGATGATTGAACCACGGACGTATGGGCCACCGAATGCCTTGAAGAGAGCGATCCAGAGGGACGGCTTCTTCTTATCGAGTTCCTCCTCCCATGCCTGGCTCAAACTATCGAGAGTAGCACGGGTAGCGTCTCGGCGACGAAGGTTCCAAAGGTCATCCTGGGTAAGGTAGTTTTCGTATCCAAACTTCATCAGCGGTGTCATCCAACCGAATGTGAGGACCGAGAAAATATCCGCATAGTTGTAAGGGCATTCATCCTCGTCGCCAAGAGCGTCGTAAGCACTCTTTTTTTTGGAGATGAAGTATTCCAGAATAAACTCTAGCAATCCGAGCCCTAGACTGACGTTGATGCAGACAAAGTATGGGAGCTGGTCCACATAGTCCTTCCGGTCGACGAGCGAATGCAACTTGATCGCATAGGCGATATTGAAGAAAAGCCAGTAGAATAGAACCACACCATTGGGCTGACGGCTCCGCCAATGCTCATAATATTGTACCGCAAAGATGACGCCCAAGGAGGCAAACGTGAGAAGTGAGGACCAGAAACGGAAGTCGGCAAAAAAGGTCTTCGGCTGGGTTTCGGCTTGCACGGCTACTTGAAGGGCCGTGACAAAGAGGAGTGCGGCGAGGACAGCCTATGAAATAGAAAATTATTAGTACGTGCCATTCCATGCTGTTTCGCAAGATGTCAGCCTGGGTGAAGCTCGCGGGGATCGTCATACCAGCTTGGCATAGAAGTGCCAATTCTTCGAGACGGGTTGGGGAATGCGCTTCTTCAGCAGGAGATAGAGTGCGCCTGCGCCACCCAGTGTGCCCCAAACAGCGACAAGGGCGACGATCAGATCTATAAAGCATGGAGTGAGGTGGAAACCCAGCGGGCTCAGCGGACCCCAGCCCTCAGCATCGCTGCAGAAGGCTTGTTGCGTGTGCGGATGATGTTGGAAAGTTAAAGCCGAGTCCAGGTGTGACTGAGACTGCGACAGCGAATGGTTCCCTGGGTAGGAAACCCCCAGGGGCACCTGGGAATTGCCATCTAACATCTTGCAGTCATGCGACAAGTGACGCCCTGTTCAACCTTGTAGTTCAGATCAGAAGAACTTCAACTTAAGGGAAGAAGAGAGGAGGCGGCGGTGTCGGAGAGCTTTCCAGGTTGCTTACTAAAAGCCGAGCTTCTGACGCTTTCCAAAAAAATGCGCAAATCCGGGCGGACGCCCCACCGGATGACTCCACCGTTTTGAATGGGTCTGGATTGTTCAATCTTGGCTTGGAGTTAAGAATTCTTTATTATTTTATTGAAACCAGCTGGAATAAACAATATCACCAATGAGTCCAAAAAGCGAACTCGGAACCCGCATCTGGTATCTCCGGTCACGTGATGGTACTATTCAAACAGCGTCAAATCAGATTTCACTTAGATTAAATATGCTGCTATTGGTCGACCTTGATCCAAGATCTTAATTTCAGCTTTATTAAATGATATCAAGCACGAGTACTCCAAGGGCTAGTAGGTATATTCGGTGTGAAAGCTTGGAATAACCTTGGAATTGAACTCGAAATTCTTGGCTGTATTCAATATATAAAACTGCCCACATATATAGATCCACATTGCTCTACTTTTCTGTCCAAGGTTACTGATATTCTGGAGTTCGGGCTTTACACTTCTTTTTCACCAACATTACAATTTCGCTGCTAGTGATGAGATCCCCTGCCAAGCTCCATTCTTATACGCTAGTAATGCTTGCCTAACCAGTTCATCCAACTGAAACCGGGGAAATCCGAATGGCGGCCACCCGGCAGGGATGACGCCATATCAGGACTTCACGTGTTTCAAGTCGCGTCGACCGCGTTGGATTATAAAAAGCGTGACACAACATTTTGTGTCAAATAATCAGAGAGGCCATCACCTCCGGAGTTCATACAATGTCTTTAATCTATCTCTTTAAAATTCACTGTGGTGAAATTAGTGGTCTAATCTCGGAAATCGGTGGCCTCCCGGCCCACCAGCTCGGCTATAGAAGCATTCGCCGATCCGGGCTATTAATATCCGAACACACATGTAGAGAGAGCGTAACGCTTCATGCGTGCACGATGGATGTCTCGAAAGAGCAAAAGAGACCAGATGACTGGCACTTAGTTGGTCACGTTTCTTCTTTCTCAGATATTGGTCAAGATGAAAAGGGCTGCCGGGTTTTGTCTGGATGCAAGACCCTCAGTATTCCCAAGACAGATGATCCCGAGCAATCGCGAGGGAATCGGTTGTCGGACCTCAGTGACCAAGTGCTGGTGTTTAAGTATAAGGGATTTCTACACGCTATTGATAACGTCTGTCCGAATCACAACCGACCCTTCTTTTCTCGGAATGTAGGCTAATCTTGCACTAGCAATGTCCCCATTCTGCATTTCCGTTAAAACAAGGCAACGTTTTTGATATTGAAGATCTTGGCGCTGGCATTAGATGCTTCAGACATGGCTGGAGGTTTGACCTTTTTACTGGAAAAGGAGACCGAGGCAGCCATAAGCTTAATTTATGGGACATTGAGTTGCGGGATCCTCCATTGCTTGAAACCGAGGAGACCCCTGGAAGTACAGACAAGGAAGTGTGGGTCCGGAGATTGCCACAGACTTGACTGCAGAGCATAAAACAATTGCATGCACCAGGAACTCCACGATAGAAAACCATCTTGTCATGATAGTATGTTTAAAAGCAAAAAGTTAGATCGGTGGCTCCAAGCTCATGCTGATAAAAATGAAGATGTATAAGGTATCATATGAGTTAATCAACTGCGGCTTCAGGTTGAGCATTGCTGATGAGAGCATGGTTATTTGTTGTAAGATGGAGAAGATACATGTAGTACTTGTATACCCTCCACCTGATCATCACCTGTTACTAGACTCGGATATCTATTAGCAGTATCTATAATGTGCTCCTTGAACCAATATGATTTGGAAGCTCCGGAGGGGACCCAGGAACTTAAGGTAGTTAATTGTGATTTTATGAGATAGTCACAATCCGATAATGACCCGGCCTGTTGTAGATAAAGTAAAGTATTTTGAATGGTCTATGTTTCAATTCTTAAATATCACATATATCATTCATTCTTTTCTAATTTGTCATCTTTCCCCTCCGTTGAGGGAGAATAGTATAAACTAGGAAGTCTTACTGAGAATGCAACTTTTCTTGCGTGCCCTTTTACAAGTGACCACTATGAATCATTCCGAGTAAATGAACCCAGAAAATTAGGCATAGCCTCGTAAATGAACGGGTCTGACGCAGTATGAGTCAAATGGAGGAGGCTGAGCCGCGGGGACCGCATTGAGGCCGCCCCACTCGTGCATAAAAGCAGCCCTCCCCGCCCGGCAGTAAAAGAGGCCATCGGCGTCATTGGAGGGGTTTACACTCACACATACACTGTACATTCCACACTTCACCAGCCATGGCGAACTCTCGCATCGAAGATCTCCTCAAGAAACCTCTCTATGGTGCGCATTTTCACGCTTTGCTTGTGTTCATTGACTAATCTGTCGCGTGCAGTATATGATCTCCCACAAGAGCTTCTTTCAACATTGATCACAAAAACCGGAAACCAAGACATCGCTGAACAAACCCCCGAGCCTACCCCCAAAGATCTCGAGCTCGCTGCGCAAGAATCCGCGATTGCATCCTCGTCATTATGCTCTCTCTGCAACGTCACCTACCGCAATGTGGAGGAGCAACGAGGTCATGTTAGATCTGACCACCACCGATACAACATCAAGACCCAGCTGAGGGGCAATGCACCTCTCGACGAGGCCCAGTTTGTTAAAGCTGTGGGAGATCTGGACGAGTCTATATCCGGATCAGAATCTTCAGAGTCAGACTCAGACTCAGCCGAGGGTGGCGCCGACACAACGCTCACAGCCTTGCTGAAGCGACAAGCGAAGCTCTCCGAGTCACCCGAAGAAGCAACAACTACAGTGAAAGGAGGGACAGCGAAACAGCCGCTGTTCTGGCTGTCCAGCTCCGGCCTACCTTCTAACAAATCCCTGGGCGTCTACCGGGCAATTTTCTCCAATGTTGAACAAGATGAGCCCAGCCATTTGGTGGACACCCTACGGAAAAAACAATTGGCCCCCATCAAGGCGCGCACAAATAAGGCACAGGCTCAACAGAGTCCCCCAGATTCTAGTCCCCACATCTTCATGTGTATGATTGGCGGTGGTCACTTTGCCGCAATGTTGGTCTCTCTCGCCCCTGAGATCCACCGCAAGCAAGGCGGAGTGGAAGAAAGACAAGCAAGAGTTATCGCGCACAAAACATTCCATCGCTATACCACTCGACGCAAACAAGGTGGCTCTCAATCTGCCAGTGATGCGTCACGGGGAGCTGCTCACTCTGCCGGTTCTAGTCTGCGTCGATACAATGAAGTAGCTCTTGAGAAGGATATTCGAGAGCTACTTGCGGACTGGAAAGATATGATTGACAGTGCAGAACTGCTGTTCATCCGTGCCACAGGAAAGACAAACAAGAGAATACTCTTCGAGAAATACGATAATCACGTTCTCAAGCAGAATGACCCGCGACTGAGAGGGTTCCCCTTTAACACTCGCCGAGCCACACAAGGAGAACTTTTGAGATCTTTCAAGGAGTTGACCCGCGTTAAGGTCAGTGAAATTGACGAGGCCGCGCTGGCCGCTGACGCTGCCGCCGCCGAGGCAAAGAAGAGGGAAGAATCGAAGCCTTCTACGCCACGCCCGCAGCCACAAAAGCCAAAACTATCCAAGGAGGAAGAAGAGGCTTTGTTACATACCTCGCAAATCCAAGCCTTGATCCGCCGCTCCAAAGTCCCAGCTTTAATGTCTTACCTCTCAAACAACTCTATTCCTCCGTCATTTACCTTCACACCTGCCGACTCGCCCCAGAACTTCCGTTCTCCGACTCCTCTTCACCTTGCTGCCAACTTGGATGCCCCGGCGATTGTTACTGCTCTCCTCACAAGAGCTGGGGCAGACCCAACTATTGCCAACCAGGAAGGACGTACGCCCTTTGAACTGGCCGGAGATCGTTCGACCCGCGATGCCTTCCGTATTTCCCGTCACGAGCTAGGAGAATCGAAGTGGGACTGGACCGTGGCAAAGGTTCCATCTGCGGTATCCAAAACAGACGCAGATAGCCGGGCTGAACGGGAGCGAAAGGTCGCCGAAGAGGAAGAAAGTACTCGTCGGAAAACAGACCTGGAACGACTGAAGAAAGAAGATGCCGAGAGAGAAGCACACCAAAGGGCCAGCAAAGGTGGTCGGGCCCTAGGAGCAATGGAGAAATCCGCCGCAGAGAAACGGGACGAAGAAACTCGAGGCATGACCCCGGAGATGAGGATGCGTTTAGAGCGAGAGCGGAGAGCTAGGGCGGCTGAAGAGCGTTTCCGGCGGATGCAAAACAATTAGATGGTTTTGCATGCTGATTCAAATTGGTTTTCTAGCGTTGTGTCTGCATAAAAATAGCCTTAGAATTATTGCATAGGAATTTTGATGAGCCATGCAATCGTACTTTCGCACAACTTCCAAGGTTTTCGTAGCTGAGAATTAGTAGTAGTATCGATAGTATGTCAATGGCTGGATTATCGATGCCCGAGTCCCCAGGAGAGTTCCTATTTGGAATCCAAACTGTGCACTGTTCCCTAGGTATCAGGCGAATGCTAGGCTGATCTGGCTAGAACACATGGCCCGAAACAGTAGATACCGAGGTACTAGTAAGTTATTCCCCAGCGCAAACAGACATAAACCAGTTGAACTATCTTTCAAGGCTGGGGCTTGTCCTGCAGCATGCAATGATTTGTTTTGCTAATCTTCAGGCAATTTCCGTGAAGTGCGTCGCTTTGCTCTTTGAGCATGGGTTTAGTGTCAGTTAATGCTGAAGGCTGTAAGAGGAAACGCCTATAAATACCATAGCCAGATCATGATACTAAAGGCTACTAGTACTTTAATCGAACACTATATATACCTGAGCTAGGTACGATATGAATGCAGAGTAAATGCGCAGTACGATGGTATCGAGAGAGGTTCCGGTTGCTACAAACCTGGTGGCATCCCATGGCAGGCACAAGCTATTCATAATTTCTTATCTAACAGTAGTATGAGTACTACCTCACTACTCTAGGGAGCTACTGGGATCTCATAACTAGTCAGTGAATTTCCACTGATTGTTGTATTTCGCAATTGATTGCCAACGTAATCCGTCACGGAAGTCACGAGTCCACCGAGTTACTACTAGGGTTATCTAACTCTTTCCAACTCACTCACCCGCTCAACTTTTCCTTTCACAACATTTGCACCCACCTACGCTCTTTTCAACCTACATTACCCAGAGCTCTAATATTTCTCTCTCTTTATCATATACAATCATGGACCGACCGTCTGCCCACCATTCTTCACCAAGGTACCCAAGAGATAGAGGTACTCGGGTAGGGACCTTAGTTCGCCTGAACTCGAAAAACCAGCAGGTCAGCGACCAAATCGAGATATACAGCAATGAAGAGATTTTGATTGGCCGAAATTCACGTCTCTGGTAAGTACATAGGATGGGGATTTCCACAAATCCCTCACATCGCCTAACTCCAACACATTTTATCATTTAGCGAGTACGAGATCACCGACCCCTTCGTCTCGAACACACACATTCGAATATACACCATTCTATTCGACCAGGACGTGTCGTACGATGTGGCTCCGCTAGTATATGCCCAAGACCTGTCTCGCAATGGGACTTTGCTAAACGGTCATCTCATGGGTCTCGAAAATGGTGGGTTTCTCCTCCGTCAAGGCGACGTACTATCTATTACTCGTGACATTTCCATTCGGTTCAACTCGGCAACCCAGATCGGTGACGGATGCTTTAGTGACCTCCAAAGTAACGAGATTCAAGTAAGTCTATAAGTCTATTTATGACCACTTTCGAACCTGATTTCATCTGATCGTGGTCCCAGCAATTTCGACACCAATATCTTGTGACTTCCCGAGTTCTGGGCTTTGGTGCCTACGGCCGAGTCCATATGTCTGTTGAAGAAGGCACAGGAAGGCAGTTTGCCTGCAAGATAGTCAACCTCAATGCCAGGGCACACGGTTCCGATGACGAAGAGGAGAGCCAGCGCCAAGGCTCCAAGTTCTTCAAGAGCGGCGTGCCCAACCCTACCAGGCCCCAAAAGACAGACTTGGAAAAGAAGATGAAAGAGAGAAAGGAACGCATCCAGCAAGAGGCGAAAATACTGACAAACTTGTCTCATGTGAGTTCTTACCGTCACTTTCCATATCAATATTCATCGTAAGATTCTAAGTCGCCGCACAGCCAAACATCATCACCCTCGAGAAGGTCTTTCGATCAGAGAACACAATGTCAGTTTGAGGATTGATCGGAGAATAAATGACGTCTCTGACTATGCTAGGTATATCATTTCGGAACTTCTTTCCGGAGGTGATCTTTTCTCCTTTATCAAGTACAAAGGAGGACGACTTGAGGATCTCACGGCGGCCGCAATCACTCGCCAAATTCTGCTCGCGGTGGAATACCTGCATGAACAGAACATTGTACACAGGGATATCAAGCCAGACAACATTCTGCTAACATCTCTCAAGGACGGGTGCAGGGTTGTCTTGACCGATTTCGGCTGTGCAAAGTTGATCGATAAGAAAGCGAAGCGGACGACAACTGTCGTCGGCACCTTCGAGTACTGCGCTCCGTAAGTATTGCCCTCATTTCTACGAAGTCGTATACTAATGAATTCAAAAGTGAAGTTTGTCGATCTAACAACCGCGGGTATACGAAGGCCATCGATTTATGGTCGCTTGGATGTGTGACGACGGTCCTTGTGGCTGGATACAGCCCGTTCGATGAAGGACGACGCTTTGGCCAGGACGAACTTGACATACTGGAGGAGGATCTTATCTCGATGGGAGCTAGCGAAGGAGCCACAGACTTCATATACCACTTGCTCATTCTGGACGAAGTCGAACGGATGGATGTCAGGCAGGCACTGCAACATGGTTGGTTTACGAAGCCACGACACCACCAAACAAGACTCGACAGACTATACATGCAGGCCATCCGAGGCTGGATGCCACGGCGAGATGAGTCGGTCATTGTCGATCTGAAATCGAAAACCAATTGCTCGGCCAATCTTCGACACCCTTCTCAGGAGCCCGTTTTCGAAGATGAACCTGCTCTAATTTATCGACCTCCTTCAATTGACCATATTTCGGAATCTTCATATGATGTTCCTGCAACAAGTACACCAGCTCTCGAATCCCCCACCCTGACCAACATTTTTCGTTTCGACGCAAGGACCTGCAAGGGGAATCAATTCACTGTCTTCCGTGAGAGACCGATTCCCCAGGGTCTCGATAAGAAAGTCCGAAATTTAAAGCAAGAGATTGACCAAGAGCTTGAAGACCGATACTTGGAGACTGCCTCTAAAATGGCCAAATTCCAAGTCCAAGAGGATATTGGACTGAAGACGCCCGATCTAACGAAGAAATACCCACAGGAGGGGCTGCTTGGTGACAATTCTGAAGCAATAAATGGGCCAACGAACGAGCCTGGGTGGCTGCCAACTGGGACTCGCTGTGATCGCTCACCGTCCAAATTGGGAATTGACTCTACTCGAAAAAAAGCCCCGACCCATAATGAAAAAGAGGCCGAGAGAAGAGAAGAAGTCTACGAGGAAGTCCACAATCCATTCACTGGGAAGAAAAGACGGTATATCTACGGTCGAGATATGGAGAGTATTATCACGATGTCTTAGTACATCGCCGTCGCAGGGATGGGGAAGAATCTTCGCAAAACAGGCCTGACAAGTATGCTTACACCTCATCGCAAGATGCTTATCTTACTTAGCCTGGTGGTGTACGAGGGAGTGAAGAAAGATGGTGCTTTACCATCTTATGTCTGATGTCAAAGAAACCTTTAAGATTAATCTAATATATAATATCTAGTACAAGAAACTCACAGTATCAAGTAGTGTGCTTTGTTTTGAAAACTTGAAGACATCAAGAATATGGGTGTTCCAATCTTGGTACCTTTGGAAGTTGATTCCATCCTACCTTTATCATTTAGCGCGATTTTGCAACTACTACTACCTAGGTACTTGAATGAAAGGGATTTGCCTACGTACCGGGGTTCCTATGCAAAGACTTGGCTTCCCCCTTCCGTTTTTGTGCTCAGTGAGCCTGGATTTGCTCGCTGAGCATTACTTGCATACTATGAGCCAGTGGGTCTACCCCGCTATCAGGTGATCTGATTAGCAGCGGAATAAAGCGATTGCCTTGATCTTTCACTGTGTATTCGCCTTGAGAGATGACCCGTCTTCTCATTTACACCACTCACGAGTCAAATACGCGAACGTCGTACTAGCTTCCTCAAAGTTGCCGCTTAATACCAGTTCTCTGATCAAGGTGACGAACCCAAAGGTTAACCGTAGTGTAATGATTGTATCTGTGTTTCAGGAAAGTTACAACCTCATCGAACTTGTAACAATAAATTACAAAACGTTCCAAGAACCCATAATAGACTAGATCCAAAGGGGAATAGCGTGTTTCAGAATAAAGTTCAGAAATCAAAAGAAAAGAAAACAAAGGTGAAGCTGATTTCGAGCGGCCCTGCAGCTAACCCCAAGACACGCAAAATCCTCACAGATCCGCAAGGACTTCATCCAATTGATACAATTTGCGCCCCAGATCACCATCGACTCGATATCTCTCCGAAAGAGTCGCATATTCCAAAAGATCATTAGTTTCCATCCATGTCCCGATGATACTGCCGATATCATCAAGCTCGCCATCGACACGGCCCTCACGAATAACCCTTCGAAAGCCGTCCAGATAAAGCACCAGGAGCCTTCCCGTTCGGAAAGCTTCCTCATCTGCGACGAACATATATGTGCTTGTAGCAACTTTCTGTAATGGTGTCGCAGTTGATTCAATTACTGAATTTCGCTCATGAAGCCACGCTGCAGGGTCGTCTGCTTTTGCGATGGCGAGATCCCTCTTGAAATAGCGGTACATGTTCTTGAAGATATCATCGCTTGGTTCAGAGACGCGTTTCACAAGAAGTTCACCATCACTAGAGCAAAAAGGCTGGATTAAAAGTGGACCAGCGAGCTCAGGAAGAATATCGTAGATTCGACGCCAGGAGTCTGGAGCGGGGCCAAAATTGAATAAGTCCTCACTATCGAGAACAGCCCATTCGGCTTCTTCCCCAAATGTTTCTGTGTCGATCCATTCTTCCATTTGCGCATTATCTTTGGCTCTCTGGTCCTTCGAGGCGCTATAATAAGTACGCAAGAGATAGGGACATAGATTATCTGGATATGGATCCATTGCGTACCATCGCAATTTTTCACAGCGATAAGGTCGAAGAATTACATTAATTTCTTCTGTTGTAGGTAGTCGAAACCCACTGGCAGAACCCTGGGCAGGGAGGTCTTCGGGAATTTCGAACCATGTAAGAGGAAGAATGTTTAGGTTGAGAAAATCAGTGACCAATCTGTTTCGTTGCTGGTCTGGGGTTTCGGTCGAAGAGAAGTCCCAGTTTAGCTTTAGAGATTTAGCAAGATACCCTGGCTGGAGAAGAAAATGATACCGATATAAACGTACTATAAAGTATTGTTCAATCAGTAATCTACCCCAAGCTGGTCCTGTCTTATCCGAGTCAGACATGATGACGGTGAAATTATCGTAGAGCGGCGGAGTTGGATCTTCCAAGGTTGGAATAATTCACGGCCAGTTGCAGCTGCAGGGAGGGGGGATACTGTTTAAATAGGTCGCGCCAAGATAAACGCAGGCTGTATTTGGGAGGGGTAATCTGCTTTCGAATATTACTGTATTATTAGAACCGCGGGTAAACAATGGCGGACACATCCACGGGGATAGCCTGCGCCAGGTGGACAACAAATTGCTAGCTAAATACACGTTGCGTCTCTTCGGATACGTGCCTAGAAACCCGGGTGGGGGTTGGGGGGGTGTCAGGGTAAATGAAATCATCCATCATCATCACATTGTATTACTATTAAAGGGTCGGGGCCCTGCCTTTGGTAGAAAATTGGGCTGCTGGGAACTTTGTTATTCTACATTGTGTACACTAGTGTAGGACTGCTTTCAATTATCTAATATTGTTCAACCTAGTACAGACCTCGGGATGACTACTGATAATTATACCTAGGTATCTACTAACTCCTAAAAAAGCCCAATGGTTTCTAGCTTGTTGCTTCCAGGCTGGTGCCTTTGCTAGATCACGGATCCGTTATGACAAATTTGCTTAGTAGGTTCTCTTGAAAAAAGGGTTTGTTTAAAGAACCAAGAGATCTGTTCCCTGTTTTATCCCAGTACGTGGAATGTAAAGCTGCTTGAATTGATTGACGGCCTTCGACTTGCAGTTCTCTAAACCTATAATTACCAGCCAGTAGATCCGAAGCTTAACACCAACCTTCAATTCTGAAAATCTTGAATGGTGTTGAAAGAAGAATGGAAAGGCAAGTATTGATGAGTAATATCCCTTTCACTTGATATGTCTCTATTCCGAAAGTAATCCAAAAAAAATTCGGGGATCACAAGAAATCATCCGAGTCCTCATCCATGTCATCCACATATTCAATGCCTTGAGAAATGTTAGCAAGTTTTCGAAAGGATTTCGAATTATTCTTGAAATTTCAACTCACTTTCAACCTGCCATCCACCCCAATTGTCAGTGTCCCTTTTAGAGGCCCCGCTCGAGCTGCCGCTGCTCGCAGTGTTTGCAAAACGAACCAAACACCTGCCCATATTGAAGCGCATCTGCCAGCCGGATGGATTCATGCCAGGACCATTGTCACGCTTACAAAGAGCGTTGTACGGCTGATTTGTCTTTACTGTTCCGTCGCTGCTGACTTCAACGCCCGGCAATTTATACGCATCATCCTGATTGAAATGGTTGACTGCGCAAAGAATTGAGTCCATGTCTAGAGGCCCCTTGTATCCTTGGTTCACAAATTCGGGTTTACCCGCATCCCACCAATCTGCCGACGTCATGGAGATTTGAGGCTGAGCCCAGGTTGCTTCATAGTCTCGTTTATAAGCCCAGGATAGCTTATCATTCCCCAACTTTTAACGAATCCATTAGTGTATATCAAACGGAGTCACCGGGAGAGAAGATACGTACCTGATCAGCGCCGTCTGGTGGTGGCATTTTATCGCCATACACGACGAGCTTCTGCTTGAATACGCCTCCAGGTCCATAGTCACCGTCTTTGGTCCACTCTAACAAGGTCGATTTGACCTCAAATCAGCAAAGTAACGAAGGAATCATTTTTTAAAAAAAGATGTCATACCCCTTTTGTTTTGCCAGGAGACCCAGTGTGAATCCACGTCGTCATCCACCCGCATCGCGGAGTTCAATTGTTTCCAGTTGGATGTCAGTTGGCCGATCAATTCTGAAGGTTGTGAGTAAAGGTGGACAAAGAAAAGGAGACAAAAGCCAAGATGAAAAGGAAGTTATAAGTTATGAATACTCACGAACGCATTTTCCATGCCAGTTATTTTGGAAATTAGGCACACATTTAGTGCGACGCTGATTCGAAGGTAGATATGTGCCTCCCTGCTCGCTGGATCCCCAGGGAAACTCATCACACTGAAGTAACAGTGATGTGCCCAATTTCGCGCTGAGCTCTTTACTTTTCGGTGCACATGAGCTTTTTGGACAAACACTCAAGCGCCTGCCAGACACGCCATCCTGAGAGAAAGTGAATTGTGTAATCAATGGCTGAAGTTTGACAATATCGTCACATAGACCAGGGACGTCGTCTGTGACTGTCACAAGATTACCACTAGCATCTTTGACCTGGTTAGACACCTGGTATGTCTTTAGAAATGCGCAATTGACTGCCAGAGATCAGTCACTTGGTAGAAATAAAGATATCACTTGGTTTTAATGCAGAACCCACATTTTAATTCTGGCACCCTGAAACCCGTGGCACCGGGCGGGCATTTGCCATTGTTAGAGAATTGGGGAGTTTTAGGATCTGACGTCCATGTCAGTCTTTCATCATGACTTTATTCAAGGCTTCGGCTTTCTTACCCATGCCCGTAACGTCAGCTCGGCGGAAGAGATCTGCAGCTGGACTCATAACGTAATGCGTGCTGTTGGCGAATAATTCTGTGTCATATGAATTCTCGACATCTGCGTCAATCGACGCATCTCTCTTTTTAGCGTCCGACTCTGACATCGGAATCGTGCCCTTCTTCTCGTAAAGTTTAAGCATCTTGTCGGGCGAGTAGGCTGTGCGATCTCCCGTTGCCCAGTCAATGAAACTGAGAATCTTTGCCTTTGCCTTGTATCCGATATTATAGTATAGATAGGCGCCAAATCGGTAGTGGAAGGAATTGTCCGAGGAGTCATAGTCTCCGTGAGCTTGGAACGAGAGGTCACTATTGACATAGCCACTGAGCTGTGCGTCCATCAAAGTCTTGCCAGCCACGAGTTTACCACCGCCAATTTTAATACCAATGTTGGCTTGTGGGGTGATAATAACATCGATCTGTGCATCGACAGCCACACCAGCGTGGAAAATAGGCTCAATCTCACCAGGAGCTGGTGAATCCGTTTTACTTTCCAGGCCGAGAAGGTTTGTGTACTTCTCTTGAACCTCATCATCCTGGGGCCAGAATACCTCGGCCTTTCCAAAGGACATTCTAGCTCCCGCTTCAAGTGAGCCATACAGTGTGACTTTTCCACGGATCTAAATTGAAAGTTAGTGACTGGTCCTCATTATCGAGACGCAAGGGGACGTATCTTACCTGGCCATAGACATCTAAGGTAGGACCGACAGCTGCAATTCCCTTGACGGCCAATCCGGGGTAGGTGAGCGTATCGATGATCTTTTTTCGCTTGGTTTGAGTCTGTGCCTGAGCCCTTCCTTCGATATGCAGACCAATGTATGCTTCAGGCTCCATTCCAAAGTAGGCAAATGTTTCCGGCTTGCTTGGAGGGATGAAAGTTGCTGACAGATAATATGCATATTTTGCGTCCATGCTTAATTCTGCTTCTAGATCCATCTTGAGTTCACCATAGAAGGTCTCCCCAGGACATCCCCATTTGGCATAGAATAAATTGATCGTTTTGCTCAGGCCTAACTCAATCACACCAACACTACTCTCCGTGACAGTGGTCTAGATCCGTTAGTAATTAAATCGCAAGGAAATGGCAACAGAAGACTGACTAATTTCCTTAACCACTCCCCGAAAGCTCCGAACCAACGCTTCTGAAGATGGGAGCCGCTGACATCAAATGGTGTTCTCACTTTCACGGGCTCTTCACGTTTCCGAAGCTTTTTGTCTTGAGAAGCTGCTCGTCGAACCTTTGCACGCCATTCATCTTGACTGTAGGGTTCTTCATTCACGCCACGCTTCCTCCGACGAGCTGGAGAGCCCGTCATCTCATCCCAGTAGCCCAGCAGGTTAGTATAATCAACACGTATTTGTACTGCATCATCGTCACGCTTAAGCTTGATATCTTGAAAATTATAATCAATCTTCACCTTATACACTGGATTGTTGATATTTTCCAAAGAACGGTGATGGAGGTGGTGATCTGGCAGCTGATAGCCGTCTGCCAGCTTCATCGACACAATGCGTGCAAATGGACCTTCGCCAACATGAGGAGGGAGTGAGATAATTGTGTCCTCTGCACCGTCGATAAAAACGCGCTCGCACTGCTTTGATCCAGCAGGATAATTGCAGTAGACGTGAAATGTCTCCTCAGCATGATCGAAGACCCTATCCATCGCCGTCTGATTGTTGGTCAGAACAGATCGCTTCCTCAGGGGAGCTTTGATTGAGCGTCGAACGACGGTCTGGGTGGTTGAGAAGTCGTTGTCAAGCGATCCCTCAGGACCATCCAGCATGACAAAACCATACGCATCAGTGCCATCTTCCTCAGTAGATCGTTCGTCATCTTCATCGTTATTTGCGTATTCATCGCTGTATTTCCAAGCCACGTCCGAGCTGTCAGGGTCGTTGTAGTATTTCTCCCAAAGATATTTGGGATTAACGGGCCAGTTCTTGTTGTACTTGGTTGGAGGATCGCAACAATATGACCACTCTGGGTTCATGCCATCATCGGGGACATGGGTCTCGCATGAATCAAGGTTCCCAGGGCCCTGGCTTTTGGGAGCAGCCCTGGGTTCAATTGCACTGGCGATCTTCACTCTGCCTGGTGAGCATGGTCGTGGCTTACAGGTTTCACCCAATGGATCCCCGTTAGTGTAGATGTTAGTCCATTGACAGTTTTTGAAGGGCTGATCTTCTGAGCAGCATAATCCACTCTTAAATGCCTCCTTATGCGGACTACCTACTTGGCCATTGGTAGGCGATACATATGTGTCTGAGCACCAGGGTTTGCCACTTGGCTTATCAAAGCGATAAGTATAGAATTCATCACCCGTAGGGCATTTAGTCGGGTCGGATTCGACCAAAGGCCCCTGGCAGTCGGTCCAGCTGCACCTCTGGAACATGGCAGCAGAATCACAGCAAAGGAAACGAGCACCTGTAAAACACTGGCCTTCACCTTTTGCGTCAAGCGCCGTATCTTGATTGAGTTTGAACTGGGTGCTGCCGCACTTTCCAGCGCATCCGAACTCGCTGCGCTCTGGAGCTCCGTTCCATTCGCAATTCTTGGGCATGGCATCTTTCGGGCAGCAGATATGTCGGAACCAGCCCTCATCGCAGTCGCCATGGAGACTCTTGCCACCAGCCTGGTAAGGGTTATGCGCCGTCTCTACCGAAAGGTAGCCTGAAGGGCAGATTTGATCCGAAAACTTCTGCTCGCCATTGGTACAGCGATCTGTCACAAAGCAATTTTGCCCGGTATAGGCGGCAAAAGTGTCAGCAAGGACCTTTTTGGAGCGACCGTCGCCATTTCCCTTCATTTGTAATGTCGACAGATCCTGTCCGATCAGACCTGACAGAGCATTGAATTCGCCATCGTCCTGATCAATTGCCCAAATCATCCAACCACTTAGACAACGCTTTGAAATGAATTTCTTCTTGTCGTTAAAGGACTGTGCATCGTCATATGATATCCACTGTGAGCCCTGATACACATTGTATTTCACTGTCGTTTCAGGGTCATACTCTGTGTGCACATCTAACGAGTTGTTCCGAGAGCTGATTTCTGCGTAGGACAAGATTCCCGCAGTGTCAGTGCATGTTCCAGGTGCACCCCCAGTGCTGAATTGGCATTTTCCATTTGGTTTCGAGCAATCCACATCCTCCATGGTGAATGAGCGACCGTAGAATGCAAATCCAAAGACGACGTTGGCTGGATCGATGTTGTTTCGCCAGAGCAGGTCCATACCGAGCTCGATTTGAGAGATATCTGTATGCCCTTCGAGGTACGGACCAGTCCATTTGCTGTTCCGGTCCCACATACCGTGCAGGTCATAACTCATGAGATTGAAATAATCCACATATTTTTGCATTCCTTCCACATCAAAACCACGAAGGTACCAATAGCTGGTGGGTACAGTAACGGAGATTTCCCACCCGGGGGTTCTCTCGGTCGAACGCCTCGCGCATTTCTGCCACCAGAGTAACATAGTTGGCTGCATCATCGGCCTGACCTCCACGGTCTGTTGCAGACGGATATTCCCAGTCAAGGTCAACGCCGTCTAGGTGGTAATTTTGTAGATAACCGACTACAGAGCTAATAAAAGCCTGTCGGTTTCCGTGAGAGCTCACCACTGTTATGAAAGTCAGTATTGGTTGGCAGAGAAGATTTCATGAGATAACTTACTGTCGCTCCAAAGCCCTTGATTTGGCGGGTCACTGAATGTCCACCCTCCTACCGCGATATTCACGCGGAGACCCGGATTGGAAAATTTGAGGAACGACATTCTATCAACAAGCTGTCCATACTCATTGATGAGAGTATAGTCGGCTCCAAAATTCACGAAAGCGAGATTGATATGAGAGAACGGTTCGATCACAAGAGACTCTGGCTCAATCACATTGCATCCTTTGCCAATGTTGAATAACTCATAGTATCCAATGCGTCGGTCATAGGACATGGCGTCTGTATTTTCTGAGCAAGTTGCGCGGCTGTGGCAAGTTTTTAGTATTCGAATCTCACTCAGGAAGTTTTCAAGAAGATCTCACTCCGGTTGGCCACAACCTCCACCCTTCGAATTAGGCTCGCAGCCTTTACCGCAGAACTCAGAGGTGACACCGCAATACCCAAAGCCACTAGAAATGTCAATCAAAACACACATTTCAATACACGAGGGATAGGTCGAGATTACCTGCAACAAACATTGATCGGGCAGTCAAAGTTCTTTGGAGGAGCATACTGGCCACACTCTGCAGTTGCATTGCAATTGCTCTTGCATCCATCGCCACAATGCTCGGGTGTGAATCCACAAGCATTATCTTTGCTGCAGCATCCTTGGTAACATGGAATACTATCTGAGCAAGTTCCACCAGGCTCACCTAACCCTTGAGAATGAGAACCTGAAATCTGAAGGCATAATATAAACAAAAGAGTCTGAGACCACAGGGCGAGTCCGCTGGCCCGCAGCACCTGAATTAGCCTCATGTACACTCCAAAGGAAGTAAAGGCCTTCCTCGAGTATTTTGAGTTCAGTCAACGAGAGAAAGAAATAAAAGAAAAATAAAAGAGTGAACTTGGGAAAATAGGAAAATTATGGCAGAATGGCGAAAAGATAGTGAGTAGATCAATGCGTGAGAAATAGACAAGCACATGGCGAGCTTACTAGTAAAATTATAGCCAAATGGTGAGGCGCTAATTCACGTCTGGGAGAAGACGCCGCAAGGCATACTGATCTACTTTATAGCTGAAACGTCCGCCCCTAGCGAAATCGTTGGATTGGCTGCTTATTTCCTTTTCGCCTCCATATCTTTTGGAATAACTCATGACTCTAGAACATGCCTTGTGATTATTCAAAAATGCCGCAGTATAAGCCAATCGAATCGTATCATGAGCTGCTGGCTCAGGGCTTTAGGGGCCTCAGCCGAGTACCCTAATGCACACAGCTCCCCTTCTTGTGAAATTAGCATTTTGGTTCGTCTTTCATAGGTGAAATTTCAATCAAGTGGAACCATTCAGGGATCTGAATCCGGGGGCGAAAGTTTAAAATTGAATGATGGTGTTGGTTCCGTTATCTGAGGTTGTATGAAATCTGAATAGGTGGGGGCTCTGGATAACTATTTAATGGGAGGCTTTAAGCTTAGCGGCCCGGCGGTTCTTGGCGGGTCTTGGCGATGCTCAGTGATCCTTAGCAGCATCTGTTCGGCGAATCATTCTTACTGAGACACATTTTTGGCCCCAAAATTTCACCCGCATCTACAGGTTTCCGGCGGCGAGTGTCTCGCTAAGGAACAACTGCATATTGGGTTAGCAGTTGGGCAGGTTACACTTTGTGGGACCATCAGGGTCCCTTGTTTCATCCTAGCCGGGGTATGCGACTCAGCCATGTCCGGATCGGATGTTGATGTTGTCCGTCTATTGAAATTTGCCTGGTCTCAAAGATTTACTGAAATAAATCAGTTACTTACCGAGTATTCAACCGGCTTCTACCTACCCCCAATTTCCGCGGCTCTGTTTCGCAACCCTTTCATTCAGCAAGCATAATGCTGTCCTTCATGGCACGCAAAGGCATTGTCGGTCTGTCCCTTCTACTTGCAGGCCAGGGTGCTTTCGCGCTTCAATTTTGGAATAACACAAATGTATTTTCTTCCGATATGCCACAAAGCTGTCAGAATGCTTTAACGTACGATATTGCATGCGAAAACTATCTTGTGACCGCACAGGACGCAGCGAACGGGGCCGCCCTGCCATCGACTCTCGCGGAGGAGTACTGTACCAAAGAATGCCACGATTCCATCGAAAGTTACCAAAAAGTCGTGCATCTAGCCTGTGGAAATGAAAACTTCCAGTTCTACGAGAACAGCAGCATCAGAGCAGTCCCTGGTGATATCGCCAATGGATTGATGTGGGCCTACAGTTTGAACTGTATCAAAGACTCGTAAGATCCAATTATGAAAAACTGTGTTGGTCCTACCAATAACTAATCTCTTCACTTTCTAGATCGGGATTCTGTCTCGGGGATATCTATAACCACAATAAAAGCGCTTGTTCAGATTGTACTCTCCAGTACAGCGCAGTCATGGCAAGCACCGACTTTGGACGCAAGAATTTTCCTTTAGCCGCATATGCGTCACTTTTGTCCTCCTGTGGTGTACCTGAATCCAGCTACCCCGTTGAATATACCTCTTCCTCTCCAACAACAACCTCAGGGTCGCCTAGCGGGTCTTCATCTGCAACTCCAACTCCTACTTGCACTGGAAAGACGTATGTATCTAAAGAAGATGATACCTGCGAGTCAATCTCCGAATCCCAGTCTATAAGCACCGATCGATTAGTCGAGATCAACCATCTGGATTATGCCTGCAAGTCACTTGTACAGGGTACCAAGCTTTGCATTGAGAAGACATGTCATACATATAAAGTCAAGGCAAACCAGACGTGTCAAAATATCGTGAAGGGACAAAGCTTCGGAATGGTGCAACTCATCGGCTGGAACCCGTCAGTGGCCAAATATAATACCTAGTAACCAAAAAAGATTCACATTCAATGACTGACAATCTATGCAGAACAATCCACCAAAATTGCGATAACCTGGGCTCAATGGTGGGGAGAAGCATATGTATATCGTAAATAGTTCCTCACAGCATCTGTCCCCCACGAAAAAGTCACAGGGTATCCCGCTAATTTCGTTTCATACAGACCCCTGGGAGGAGGAGATTTCAGTCTCCCTGGCTCCAATAAGTCTAGTACATCTAGAGGTTTGACATCATCTATGTTTTCAAGCTGGACACCAGCAACACCAACAACCATGGCTACGGACATCTCAACATCCTGGTACTGGCCAACTCAGGACCTTAATTACACGCCTGTGCCAATGTCATATGGGCCAAACTCGACCTGGACTAGTCTAATGGCTGAAAGAACACAGTACTGCTGGTTGGCAGGTGATCAAATGAACAATTGGGAATTTGATGATTCCGAGGAGATGCCGTCGGACTGCACTTCTCTCTACAGTTCATATTGCGATCTTGGACCCACAGATCCTGTTCCTAAGTCCCCAGCGTCATCAATCCCCAAGACCTGTACACCGGAGACCTCAACTGAGGAGCCAGAGCCTTCAACAACTGCGACGCCAACCGGAATTACCACTCCTACTCCAACGCAAAGTGGAATGGCTGACAAGTGTAACAAGTTTTATAAAGTCCAGAAGGATGATGGTTGCCAGAAAATCGCCGATGATAATAAGATCTCTGTGGCTAGCCTTGTATCATGGAACCCCGATATTGGAAAAGAATGCAGGAATATCAAGTACGATTTCTACGTTTGTGTCGGCAGAGAGTCAACTTCAACATCGACTTCGGCGACTACGACGGGGGTCACAACGCCAACACCAACCCAGACTGGGATGGTTGATGGCTGCGACAAATTCCACAAAGTGGAAAAGGATGAAGGGTGCCAGAAGATAGCCGACGACTTCAGTATTTCGGTGAATCAGTTGAAGGAGTGGAATCCTGACGTTGGAAAGGAGTGTACAAATTTGAAGTACGATTTCTATGCCTGTGTCGGTAGAAGTTCGAGCTCCGGAACTTCTGCTACCACGACAACGTCTGTCAAGAGTACTACAACTGCGAATGCGAGTGGAACCCCGACTCCAACTCAAGAGGGCATGGTGAGCGGGTGCAAAAAGTTCCACAAGGTGCTAAAGGACGAATATTGTGCGAAGATTGCGGATGAGAGCAAGATATCTCTGAATGATTTCTTGTCCTGGAATCCTGATGTTGGAAGCAATTGTGGGAACCTCAAGTACGACTTCTACGTCTGTATTGGGAAATAGATAGTATCTCGTTGTTGCTCTGTTTGTGCTGGGGTACTTTTGACGCTTTTTTTCTTCGGTCTTATTCTATTATATCCATCTCGGGTGCCTTGTTTTGCTCTCGAGTTTCAGTCAATATTTTTGATTCACAAGTATCGTAGGGGAAGAATACCAGTCATATCGCCCATGGAATGAAGATAGAAGAAATTGGGGGCGGGCATAGAGTACATACATGCTTTGCGCCAAATTTGGAAGTGCATTCACGCCTATACGAGTAAGTGATACCTAAGTACTACATCAAGGCAAAATATGTCCTGCTGAGTGAGACACATTGATCAAGTTGGACAGCTCTATGCAGCCCTGGAGGTCAACCGCCCGGGCGTCTCAAAACTTTATAAATTGATATTTATTGCCTTAAATGGTTGGACTTGGGAGAAACATCTTTTCGTAGCAGTCTTCCTCGCCAACCTAGAGCACATTGTAGCCAAGCTGCACCACGCCGCATGTTCTTCCCCATAGAAGAAAGCAAGAGCCCCCCCTTCGAAGATGGACAAACCAACTCAGCAACATACTATCTAGTACAAACCACGAAGGAGTGATTCCTGTTTCTGAATCCCAAACCAATAATTGTCCCATGTCTCACTAGGTTGCTAGGGTGTCAAGGAAATCAATAGATCAAAACAAAAACATTGGGTGGCAATGCCCCTTAAAGGGACGTTCTCTCCTCGTTGAAACAAAGACCATAGGAGCACCAGAAAGAAAGCGGAGAGAGGAGGGAGCATTGCTTCGATAACGCAACTGCCCAAGGCGAATGAATTATTGAATATCACGCAGCGAACTCCACACAACCACGAAAAGGGCCTCGCAATCGAGATTTCACTGGGAACTATCCACAGTGGCAACGAACACGACGCTGAACAGCCCTTCGAGGGCGAGGGTGGGACAAACCCTAGGCTAACGAGCCCTTTCCTTGATCACACGCTAACTTGAAGTTGCATTGAACTGGAGGGCGCGAATAGAATCTATTGGCTGGTCGGGGCCAGAGAGATTAGATGGAGGCTTTTGAGGTGAGAATTGATCAATGTCTTGCCCCTAGTGTCTATCATTTGATGGGGTGCCCATGGCCACTGAGCAGGGCGACAAAGGGCACACCCCGTGTGACCTAGGGTGAGGTGGGCCCGGGTCGGCACTGGGTTTGACCGGCAGACAGGGTTGGAAAAGTCAAGGAGACTGTCCCTGTGTCTGAACTGGGAATGGACGAGATGGTCCACCAGATCGATGTGGTCTCAGCTTCAAGGGTTGCGGGTGGGTCATTTGACTGTGATGTCTTAACTTGTGTTGGGCTCGGAGGGGAGTTGACCTCGGGTGGGATATCGATGATATCCATTTATCAGACCAATGACTGCATTCATTCAGATTTGAATCGATTTCCCTGGTGATTTATTGATGGGATAGGAAGGTTTGGAATGAAATTAACCTTGGCTTCTTTTTGCAGGCGTGGAAACTGTATGGAACCAGCAGATGACCCGCAGAAACCAGTTCATATTTGGAAGAATATTAATCATTGGTTTTAATCAGATTTCACATGAAAGTGTATCAGGCTCGATACTCAACAGACGACCAAAGCCCCATCGCCATGGTGGTAAATCGACGATGAATTACCCCAACAGCCATCGGAATCCCGATTTTCATTACTCAATCCGGGATAGAGTATAAGACATAGCCACCACGAGACCGAATCACAAGTAGACGCCAAGGATCTAAAACCTTCAAACGGGGGTTCCCAGAGCGAAATTGTGAGACTTGGTACACACTCCTGGCAAAGGAGTATCAAAGCCCTAGCTAAGCCCCGTTGGAGGGGCAACGAGGGATTGATCCCAGCCACAGGTGCGCACGAAAGGTATCAGAGTTCTGGGAGATGATCTGCATTAGTGCCCGTTGTGGACAGGGGGATGTCTTGCATTAGTCGTGCAGGCCGGACTCTGTAGGGCAGCCTCGGGATGAAGGGTTGTGTAGTAACCTTTAGCCAAGGAAGAGCCAAAGGCTAAATATTACCTACAGGGCACGATGTTTGGATATAGATCCTTGATCTGCCTGTGTCCGGTTAGTCTTGAGATTAATCTAGTCTGCGCCTATCAGTTGTGTTGGTGAGGAATAGTTGTATCTGAGTTCGGGATCCCTTGCGTCTGATTGGATTTTGGTTAGTGGCTGGGGTCTTGGGTGAGGGATGGAGGGGTGGAGGGGCACGTCCACGGTAGTAGAGATATGGTGGGAAATGCTTTTCTTGATTTAGTCCGACTACTGGTTTGATTGAAAGGTGGTAGAACGAAAAAAAGGACCGCCCTTGAGGGTGCGATGAGAGGGCGGAGTATCCCTATCCAGGACGGGATGGATCGAGGAAATCGCGAAATCGTTGGTACGAGCTCTGTGGGGGCAAGAGGTCGACGAATCTTTCATAGAATTGATCATTCATGTCATGTATGGAGATGATAATGTACACGTTTGGTGGTGGTGTGCAGGGCCGTCGGGATGCAGTCTGCACCTGCGGGCTGCACCCCGCAAAGGACGGGTGATGCCGAGGTGATGCAGGACAGTGCAGAGGAAGAGGCCGATTGTTCTGCCTGGACCGTGCAGAACGCAAGGGCTATCTTTATGGAGATTAGTGATACTAGCTATCTTCGCCTCGGAAGTGTGGGAGGGAAAACTTGTATAGTTCCAACGGGTCTCGAAGCATTCAGGTTAAGCAAAAATGTTGGTGATGAAGAGTGGGTGGGCGCATCGGTAAAGGTTCAATAGCTTGCATGGTAGTTGAAAGAATATTTTGTACTCTGTTCTCTAGTACATCATGCATACTCGACGGAGTAGAGTAATTCCATACTTTTCTACAGAGTAAATGTAATACTCTGACGCACGTGGCTCTAGCAGGCACATCCCAAATAGGAAAGATACCGACTACCGACTGTCTCTGATTGGTCGGCGCGACCCGCGTCTCCCACGCGCGTGGCCACGCGTATCGGAAACGCGTGGGAGACGCGCTTCTTTGAGCCTCGCGGAATGAACCTGAACCCAGGACTCAGACTAGGACTAGGACCCTGGTAGAAACGAAACTGGTTATCCTCTCCTTCTCGAGGGCTGGTATGGCAGGGTCGGAACCCTTCTCGCCAGCCTTGAAGGGTGGTATGACAGGAAGAAAGGAAAGGCTGACCCTGGACGTGGTCCAAGTCCTCTAGAAGTCTATTAAACCACGTTTGGTCGCCAATTGGAGGCACTTTGAGAGGAGAAATGGGAAATTGAGATTTTATTGAGATTGAGATCATGCAATTGCCGACAGATACCTACTCTGCACTAGCGTGGTCAATAGGCACGAGGCCTGGACTGGCATTGCATTGGCCCGCTGCAGGCCACTGCGCGTCATTGTCATTGATATTGCATCCACAGCCGGGTACCCGGGCACTAGGCGGATGCGATAGTCCCCTCAATGGATAAGATCATGCGGTCATGATGATACTTTTTGCCTGTCGATCCTCTTCAGTTAGAGTAGCTTGGGCCATTCTACAGTCATTGATGGAGCCTGAGCGGGTCATCACGGGTCCTTCACTTTTGAAAGCATTGAACGCTCTTCTTTGTCAAACCCCCCCAAAAAGGATCGGCATTTCAGGGGCCGCATTGCCTCGTGCTCCCCTGGCCAAGGTGTGCCTCCTCGTCCCTCGTTCCTTGTTCTTATCCCTTGCATGGGCTTCTTTGTCTGGGCCTCCTTTGCTCGGGTTTCACTGGGAATAGAACACACAGTGTCATTGTTGGCGAGGGGCAATGGTTCCTGCAACCCTTTCTTGTAGTGATGGAGATCCTGTAGTTGGAGTAGGTATAATAGAAGAGAGGGAGGACTGCAGTTGAGAGAAGAGAGGAGAGTATAGACCTAATCCCGAATCAACTTTGGTTCAGTCATTCGTTGCTCAGGCAGATCAGATCACTCTTTCATTATTCAATTCTTTCTTTATTCGACTCGACTATACTCTACTCTACTCTACTCTTTATTACTATCATCAGTCCATTCTTTGATTGTGCTCCCATTTGGCATATCACGAAGTTGAAGTGGATCCCGGGAGATGTTCGCTTGACCGTTTGCGGCCTTTCCCATTTTTTCTCATTTTATCGCCTGCCGCGCCCAACACCCACTCAGCGCCCACTTACCCGTCGCCCCCCGCCAATTCTCTTTCTCCCCTTTGGACACACTCTCTCTCCACTCTCTCCTTCTCTCTATTTTTTACTCTACCCTCGAATCTCTCCGGTCCTGGTGGTTTTCAAAGCGCTTCTCGACGAGATTATTCTCCACTCGTTCTTTATCCCATAACTCCCTCGTCACGCCTCGCAACCACCTCCGGCGCATCTTCCCAGCGCAAATCGCGCGCGCACAAATCCATCCGCCTTCCAGCGCAAACCAACTTGCGACACAACAACACCACCTCCTCGACCATATACACTCTTCAATCATTTCCCAATCGCTCTAAATCATTGATTCTTCCAATCGCGACATTATGCTTCTCCCATCTGCCCTCCCATGCGATGTGCGCCGGTCGTCTCGCTTTACTCCCAGTCGCCTCTTCTCCACTCCTCCTCCCTCAGACAGAGGAAATACAAATGGCAACGGTCTTCTTGGAACCTGCCGCGCTCTCCAATCTCTTCTTAATGGCTCACCGGCCCCTTCACCCCGACGATCCGTGAAGCCGCAACGTCTCCAGAGCCCTCTCCCTCTCAACCCACCGCGTCGCTCATCGCGATCGCGCAAACTCGCACGGCCTGCATCGCCGCGCCCAACACCTCCCCCAGCTCTTCTCGCAACCACACCTCCACCTGCCCCCTCCGCGCCCGCGCGCGGTGCCAACAAGCGCCGGCGCTCCAGCTTCGACGACGAAAGCGACAGCGACAATGAGATCAGTCGCAATCGCCCATCCACCCCCAAACGCCAACGGCACGTCCCCTACGAGCTACCGCTTGGCCTCTCTTCGACAGATTTCTATTCCCTCCACTCTCCTCCCATCACACAATCGCCGCCCTCCCCAGCCCAGCGCCGTCTAGATCAGCGCCTCCAAGAGTTTGGCGCGCGCGTTGATCCAGACGCCCTTCTTCCTTCAATCGAAGAGGCCGATGCGTCTGCGCCCGCGCCTGTCTCAGCGCCCTTCGCTGACGAGTGGTCCGCTGAAGAAGATCAGCGCCTACTCCAGCTGGTCCTCGAACGGTTCCGACTCTCCCAAAAAGAATGGGACGAGTGTGCGCGCCAAATGGGTCGCCAAACCACCAGCGACGTCGGGCGACGATGGCACTCACTCGTTGCGGGCGGCCGAGTTGGACTTCGACCGAGTCGCCGCTGAATACCGACAGACCCTTTTTTCCAGTTCTCCTGAATCTCCTGTATCATACGACCTCCCTTCATGTCCCCATTATATCCCCTCTGCTGTTGCAAGAACCACCCCATGTATTATGAACCTTTCTGCTTGCAACCAACATGTGACTCTATCTGTTTCTTTCCCCGGTTTTTTCGCACAAGATTGTTCTCTCGAATCTGTCATTTTTCGCATCTGGTTATGTGGACATATCTCTTTCCTTTATTTTCCCTTGACTTGATTTGGCTGTCTGAACGAACACGCGCTTTTGCTACGGCTGCGCTTTAATTCGGGTGGTTTTCTCTGTGCACATTCCTTGTCCTGCTCCTTCTTGCAAGTGCTGTTGGCGGAGCTCTGTACCATTACTGTTTCTACTACTGATACTACTGTACTATTTACCCGAACATGATACCATTGTTTTGATTTCTGATCAAAAATCTTTCAACTTTGCTGCCTTGAAATTCAGTTTGGGTCCAAATGCCAAAATGTAAACAAACAAAAGCTCGGGCCGGGTGCATCATCATCCGACCCCACTCGTTACTATAGTAGATCCACCATGACATCGGTGCATTGCCAGTGAGCAACTTCAAGTTGGATACTCTACCTATGAAGCATGGACAAAAAGAAAATACTAGCACTGAATGCTAGAATCACATAATATCACCTAGGTAGTAACTAAGTGTGCCCGAATGCCAAAGGCATCACATCACACTTGAATATATAATCCGCCATAGAAAGTAGCGAAGCAGGCGCAGGAGAACTACATTAATTTAAATCTATGCTGTTCATATGAAAATTTAAGAGCCCCTAAAGACTCGGTGGAAGGAGGAGACATAGACCTGTTTGTGATGTGATGTATTGGGCCATAAAGTGAGGCTGACAGCCCCGAGGGGTACGGCGGCTAGATCTGCTTTGCCTGAATACGAGACTAGGGAAAGATCCATCGCCGTGACGGAAATGAAGGGTAATCCCAGTAACAGTCAGCCTCAGACCATTGCATGATCTAATGGAATTCAGAAGAATGCGTTGGTGCAATGTTCCCCGTTTACCCCGACCTTCTCCACAGTCCGGGGTAACCCTTCTATCGCCCCGCTCTCCAGCTCTGATCCTAACGGAGTCTAAGTGGCAATGCTTCAGGCTGTTGAGAGGAAAGTGGGCAACATAAAATGAAGATAATTATCTTATTCCCCTCCTATCATGAAGGGTTGGCCTGGGATTCGATCTCTCGTTGTCGCGCCATGGTGGGCTTGGCGAATATAACTGACAAATTGAGGCTGAGACCCCTCGAGTCTGTTGGGCAGCTTTCTCCTCACTAGGTACCCTGCAGTTTTCAGCTGACAATTATTTCCTAGGGTTCGATTCAAAGCACCCCGCCTTATCACTGAAACTCCCTTCTTTGCACGGCCACAACTACCTTCTAATAAAAGCCCCGGATTATCTTTGTCTAATCTTGGGTCAACCTGGGGCTTCTGCCCTTCTCATCGCCACCCAAATGACCTGGAATGGGGAGCTTGAAGAAATCAAGAGGGAAATACACCTTGAGACATATAATAAAGGCATACCCGACGTGACATTTATCCCGTATGACAAAATTCAAAAGGTATGGGCGGGCAATCGTCTCGACCGGTTTCTAAGGGATCCTTACTGTGACCCCGATCATGGCACCGATCGGGCAATCTCAGACTCGCAAATTGAAGAAGCACGAGATAGTCTGCTCCGAATGATCTCACTGTTGATTGGCATTTCTTGGTCCGGCTGGCCAAGGTTCAAACAAATTTTTTTTTCTACATCCCGACGCAGCCAGCGAACGCCGCGACGATAACATCGAGAATCTGAAATACGATGACCTCAAACACGAGTCGTTTCTTGGCGATACCCCCTTCATTGAACAGTTCCTGCAATACAGATGGACCTACATCCCTATGGCTGTGATCTGTGATGAGGAGCGCAGATACAAACGTGATGAAGAGCGCAATTACAAACCAGAAACACGTTTACCGCTAGTGCGACAAGACTGCTCCCCCAGAAATGGTGCATTTGGAGAAGTAACGAAGGAAACAGTATCACCTGGTCACATTGTCTTGAAAAATTCAAGTTATCATCTCGGCGTACGAGACCAAACAAATTCGGTTAGTGGGTATCTAGAAGGTACCTAGGTAACTAGGACGATATTCCTGAAGTGAGCTAATATTTCCCTTCATGTCCCCAGGTCAAACTCACGGTTGCTCGAAAGCGCTTCCCGACCAAAAACTTCCACGCCGAACGCCTACAGTTGGAATTTCTCCAATCCAGCTTGTCCTACCATAAACGAATTGTTTACCCCCTTGCAACTGTCATGATTGACACCGATTTGAATATCATCATGCCATGGGCGGATATGGATTTGGAAGACTATCTCCTTGGAGGATACCAATCCATGAAATTTGACGCTTCCTTGCTTGCAAGTCTCCTTAAAGAGTCTGGTGAGCTCGCAGGAGCCCTTAAATTCCTGCATGGTGGTCTACAGGCTAAATGCGAGTGGCCTAAACTTCCACAGCAGGCCCTTTGTCACGCGGATTTCAGACCTCGAAACATCCTGGTCTTCAAAAAGGACGACTCGTCGACAGGAACGTGGGGAATCACCGACTTTGGCGTATCTCAGCAATACAATAGCAGTCTTTCGAGAGATATATACGAATCTGGCTTGTTCAGCACCAGGAATTCAGTTCCTCCACCACGGGGCGGAATGTACCAAGCACCCGATCCACATGCTTCACAAAAAAGCGATATTTGGTCTTTCGGGTGCATCCTTACGCAGATATTTGGGCTAGGACTTGCACATGCACATCATTTTCTACCTCGTGCTTTGGAAGAGCGACCATTAGAGAGAAAATTGACCTGGAAACCTTTCAACGTCCGTTTTTGTGGAGAAGGCCTTCCGGCTCTGAACCCGGAGGTAGAGAAATGGATTGAGGAGCTGCCAGACCTATATTGCGGATCATTCCACAACTTGTTCCTGACCGAGATGAAGAGTCTCCTTAGTTCGATGCTTCAGATAAACAGCGAATCGCGACCCTCGGCAACTAAAGTTCGGCGCCACTTGCACAGTCTTTATAGGATGGCAACCGGGGACGGATTGCCATTCACCGATCCAGGCTCTACCACGCCATTGCCTATTAGCACGCCCCCTCGGTCGAGTATCTCGAGTGACCCCGATTTAAGAACTCCTGGCCCACCAATAGATCGATTGAGTATCGGTTTACTTGTGGTAATCATCGAGTCCGGAGACGTCAAAAGTGTGAAAGAATGTCTGAAAAGCAAACCTGATGTCGAAGAACACCATGAAAATGACCGACCTTTGATTCACGCTATCAAAATAAAAGGGGAAAGCGCTCCTATTGTCAGTGCGCTTTTGCAGTACAAATCAGATTTGGATGTGGAAACTCCCTCATTCGCAAAAGAGACTCCCTTACATCTTGCTATTTCAAAAGGTGATGTGGATTTAGTGAGACTCTTGATTGGTGCCCTGGTCAGGAACAACTCCGAGTCTGGGCTAAATGAGCTTTCTACAAAGGGGAAAACACCACTCATGGAAGCAGCTTATCGAGGTCATGTCGCTGTGGTTTCGGCGCTCTTGGATGCTGGTGCGGATACCAAAATCTGCACGGGAGATGACAAACATAACTGCCTGCATTATGCAGTCGATAATATTGCCTCCGAAGAAGATCTTATCAGGGCATTTTTGGGTAGAAATATGGATTTCAACCTGTCTCCGAGTGGTATAACGGGATATGAGACACCTATAATGCGACACATATGGAACGGGGTGCATGGGAAATATGGAATCCCGAAGGCCAATGCCCGATGGAAAAGAAAATTCGATGCGCTCCTCGACGGAGGGGGGAATGTTAACATGCCATACCCACGAAGAAGCCCATTGGAAATTGCCATTAAAGAAAACAAAGTTGATATCGTCGAGGAGTTGATGATGGCTGGTGCAGAACTTCCTCGTGGAGAGATTAAGGCCACACATGAAATGAAAAGGTTGATTAAAAGGCTGACGAGAACAATAGCGTCAAATCCGAGTCGGTGAGCCGATTCTTTTGCTTCGATAACTCCATCCTGTCGAATTTGATTAGATTTTTCTTTTTTAATGTGATTAACTTTTAATGAGCTCTCAGGAAAGACAGAGTTTTCAATAAATATTCCTGAGTATTATAGCAAAGCCTTGAAACGGACAGCAACTACTACTCTGGATCTAGCGCATTCAACTGCTAGTAAGCTTGGAAGCAATAGACTGAAACATTCCAGAGGTGCTAGTACGGGCACTTTATATTCATCAATTGATTATTTCAGCCATGATGTCCTAATCAATAATTCAAACTTCAGCTACCTAAGTATTATTCAAAAAATAATACTGGTATAGTATCATGATTCCCGCTCTTGAACTTGAAGTTCTATGTCTTCCCGTGGCGAAGACCTCTCGTATAGACGTCTCCTCAAAGGGCGGCAATGGTCTCGGACATGCTTCATTGTTGGATCATCGACTGTGAAATTGATTAGAATGACCAATGCAGCGTACTGTGTTGCAAATTAAAGCAACTCAGAAGCTTACATATTGTATTCATGGCTTCAAGCGATGTAATTTCATTGGTTTCGGGGACCTGGGGGTTCAGCAAAAGTCCACAGTTTTCTCAAGTAGACCTCATTGGACTTACCAAAAAAAAGATCAAAGCCAATGCCAAGAAATTAAGTCCCCTGTGTAGAGAAGTCTCAGTACTTGTGAATAGATACAAGATCTTGCCTTCTCACGTAAAAAATCCCAAAAGATTTGCCTGTCCATCGCAAAAGTGCTGGTTTTCCGAATCTTCGTTTCCACAAACATTTCCGTTTCCGAATTTGTTGGTCAACGAGGGGACAGCAAATACCAAAAGACCAAGAAAAAGAAAATTTATCATAACGCTGAAGCTCATCCCCACATCTAACACTTGTTAGCTTTTTAGACACCCAAGCGTATGTGAGGTGGATTAGCGAGGTCGCTTGACTTACCGCGTACATGCAAAGGGAATACTTCTGCGCTCAAAGTAAATGGGATGGGACCCGCGCCAATCGAGTAGAAAAGGACAAAAAATGCAATGCTGATTATTGACACCAAGATGAGTCGAGTCTCAGGGTCGGTCAGTTTGAAGAAGCCTGTGACAGCAGCCAGGCTGAACAGCATGCCAGAGAACGAAACGAGAAGCAGGGGTCGACGACCTCTCGAGTCAACAAAACGAAATGCTGGAAAAGTGAAAAGAAAATTTGCCAGACCAAAGCCTGTATGACGATCAGCCACCTGCCTGCCTTAGAGTTACGTATATCCACTCACCCAAGTTGTAGCCCTCGATTCTAGGTTTGGGATTGGACATCCCACTAGCTTCTATAAGAGCTGATGAATAGAATGCCAGAACATTTATCTGTTAGTGGTACATAAAGTGTTAGTAGCCAAAATAAACATGCCAGATTTCGATATAACTTGGTATAATAACTCACTCCACATAATTGCTGTGATAACATCACGATCAAAGCCACCATGCACGCTCTCCGATTTCGCGGGGCCGTGAATAAATACCACATGCGACTGAAGAAGTTTTCTTCTCTTATCCATCTTTGATAAATATAGAGCTCGAACCTCTCTGACCACTGGCTTTCGTTGGGCCTCCATCTCCTCGTTGCTTCTACCTGAAGCTGAGAATGTATGTTGTAAAGGTCCCGAGCGGCCTGTATTTCGGTCCCTCGAAGCTGAAGGAGACTTTTGTAAGCATCTGCGTATCTATGCTTTTGTATTAAAAAGCGCGGCGACTCAGTGCAGATGGATACTAGGAACAACAAGACAATAGCGGGAATTATCGCGGTCGCAAGAAGTACCCTCCAATTGCCTCGAACTAGGAAAGCACAAAGAAACCCTAGAAAAATGCCGCTGAAAAGGGACGGTATTAGATGTTTGCTTTTCATACCATGCACGAACTTACAATGCATCAAAGAGCTGCCACATCATTAAGACTTGACCTCGATGTTTATCAGGAGCTGCCTCAGCCGCAAATACCGGCGCGATCGAAGCTTTTGAACCGATCTGTTCAATCCAAAAGTTTCAGTATAGGGTTATGGGTCATCCGAGAAAGCTATAGTAAGTAATGAAGAAGGGATAAGATGGGAAATAGAGTTGAACCTACCCCAACACCAAGTAAACAGCGACAGACGAGTAGCGTTTGCCATCGATTGCATTGGGCCGTCCCTATACGAGTTATGTAGGTATTAAATTGGATCAAGTGGTAGTATAATAGTAAAGAAGAGGTTCAAATTGAGTCATATGATTGTTGCATACCTATCACTAAAATTATGCAGAACAAAGCAGCAACGAACAACGCTGGGCGTCGTCCAAATCGATCTTGCAAGGGATCACTCAACCACGTTCCTCTGTTCTGGGATCAGAATTGCGATCTTGTTGCATGAATTGGGCGTGGAATATCACATCATCACGTACACTAAGCTCGCAGAAAGCCAAGGAGCTGCGTTGATCAGGCCAATCAGCAGCTCATCCTTGTTTTTGTCAAGGTGCAAATCGTCCTGCCATAAGAAAAGCGCGCTTCCGTTGATTGTAGATTGTTGCCATCCCCTATAATGACCATCAGGCAAAGTTCAGAAGATTAAGGGCGCTGAAGACAAACTGGGTAATAGCAGCGCAAGCAGTCACCATGATAGTGACTAGGAGACCTCTAGTTTGCCAGGGTAATTGCTTATCCTCGCTCGTTATTGCTTCCTCTTCAGGAACACTGAGACCTACCAGGGCGAAGTTGTCCGGAGCCCTTGCTATCTTCGCGCCTTTGATGAGGGTGTCTTTTTCGATGATATCCTTGAGTTTGAGCCACTTGTGAAACTGTTCTACCCCTCTCACGAGATCCTCGGTTCGCTGGTCAGATAGAGGGCTGATTTATTAGGCATTGTTAGCCTTTCTGTTGGGTTATTGGTGGGATCACATGGTGCGACGCGAACATAGCTGGGCCATTCTCATAGTCTATATCCATTTCGGAAATCCTTCGGTCAACGCCTTCGAGGAGGAGGTCTGGAGATCTTGGCGCTCTATAAAATTCAACAGCTGGAAAGCATATAAGGGGTTGGTAAGGGAGAAAATGAGGAGGGTGACGAACAAGAGTGTCTGATAATCAGCCCAGGAGAATGATGTGGTGCCAAGAAACTTGCAAAGAGCCTCATCTATGGAGTACACGAGGTGGCAATGTCAGCGCTACGGCGTACAAAGCACTGATCTTCATCCCCGCTTTCGAGAGTGGACTAGGTCCAAGATGGTTGGATTGTTCTGGACGGCGAAAAGACCCGATGAGAGAAATCACCTGCATCTTGGTGGAAACTGCCTACCAAACCGCCAATTGAAATAAGGGCTTGTGCTTGGCAGTCGCTTTAGAGCTAGACTGAGCTGAGGACCAAGCGAGGCTGAAGTCTTTTCTTGGTAGCAAACCCTTCATCCCAGGCTATCTCTGCGATGCGCCTGGTACTTTTCCCTAATCGATCATCTAGCAACTTCAAGCTTAGAAGGATAGTGATCTCACAATTATTTTAAATAATCTCTTTTTACCGGAGTAATTGTTATATCTGGACTAGCTTCGAAAGGGAAGACGCATATTGCTTCTTTCGACCCCTCTCCTTACCCGGGCGAAATCAAAATATCGCGAGCACCGCTCACGAAGACTAGCTTGTTGGCGCTGTTGACACTCGAGGGTTTGCACGGTCTCGTGCATTGGAGATTCGAGAATGAACTGGAATAATTGGTGGAAGGAGTTTCATCATGGCAGCCACAGTGGTCCTTAATTTATTAATGGATGCGTGAAGAAATTAAATAGTATCAGGCAGGGTCCTATGACATCTGGTCCCCAAAATTGATTGGTAGTTGTGTGCCTAGGTAATTGCGTATACTCACTTGACGGTTCTTCTACTAAGGAATCTAGCAAAGTTATTTGAGGCTCAGCGGCTGACATTTCCCTTAAAATGTACGAATTTTTTGCCCCTCTCATTCTCAAATTCAGATCTTCTTCTTTTCGCGACGCTTCGTCATCGATTATTAGTCAAAAAGCACCGTCCAGAATGTCTTCAACAGGTACCTATTTCGGATCCTCAGTTACAACCACGCTCTCTGCGGACTTGAGCTCTTACATCAGGCGTGAAAAGCTCATCAGTAGACTGAGAGAGATATTTGGACGGAAAATTGAGGTTGAAGTAAGCCTCCAAAGTCTATCTAGTTCTCTAGTCGAGGCAAGATGTAACAAATTTGTACTAGTTTCGTCAGGATCGATATTCTTTCCAAGCTCCAAGAGAGATAGAAGAGGTATATTCAAGTTTCTGCCATGGACACGTGTTTGCTCTTCAAGTTTCACTGTTTCTGACTTCTCTTTCTTCTCTTCCAGTATGAAGTAGCGTAGGTTGATCATCACCGCTTCTTGAAAGGGGGTAATGCTTACCTTTATCTGGTGGACTAGCGACCTTCGCGAGTTGGAGCAGGTCCACTGGGGCTGACAACCGAATTGATGCATTTCATATAATCTTCTTCACCGTAGTTGACAATCACTTTAACTGCAATTGAAAGCACGCGCAGTTGTGCCTTTAAATCGCTGTCACACCGCAGCGAGGACCTATTCTCACCGGCGATGTCCGCCAGGCCAAATTGAAATGGGGCTGCACCAGGCTAACTGGAGAGGGCAACTCATGGTAAAAGTGCAAGGCGTCCTCGTATTATCCTTGTACATACATGCACCAATCAGAACCAAGAGACCTGTGCCCATTTGGCCAGCATAAATCGGGCAGTGCTATTGCGCCCCAGAGTTTTCAGCCTCGCGACCAAGGCATTCCACGAATTGGCCTTTAATAATTTTTTACCCTCCCTAGCTGGGCAACCATTACTTCTATTTATTTGCCCGTTGAACAATGATATTCGGCCACGGTACCATCGGGCGCATGTGTACCTGATACAACCCAGCCGTCCGCCTCTTCCCGGGGTTCATCTTTGGGGCGATGCTACCCTTGCCTCCCGACAGTGTTTGAACATCCCTACACCCTGATTCCAATTTGTATTTATATACAGGGCTTGCAGTTTCTTTAAATTTATCAATCATTCAATAAAGTTTCAATCAACGTTGTGAAATTTTCAAGTTGGTCACGGTTGAAACATTAAATTGAACTAGAATGTCGACCAAGACCACTTATCATACTTTTTGTCAATTAGACGATCCCGCTAATATTTCTGTCTACGAAAGCAGTGGGTGGTTTTTTGATAACATCAGAAGGCTTGATCTATGCTAAGCTTCTTCTAGAGTCCACGGTGGATGAATTCACTGCGAAAGTATTCACAGAGTCCGAATCGTTTAAACAGCACATTAATACAACATCACGCCCGCAATTACGCATTGTGTAAGACTCGCTTAATTCTCAGATCAGTTTGCTTTTACTCATCATGGACTTTACAAAATAAAGCTCGATCCACTCTGTCTCGTCGCTTAGCCCGCTGAAAATTTCAAGAGACGCACTTGAAGCTCTACTGGATAAATACAATGTCGGACCGGGTCTATGGGATTTGGTTTCAACATTCGGCAACAAACCACTGAGTGCTGCTGCGGGAGAAGGAGCACTGAGAACTGAAGGTGGCTCAGGTGGAATTCAAGGTAGATTTTCCCGGATAAAGGCTTTCATAATTAAGATGTCTAAAAAAGTACCAGAAATCTCTTATAGGTTCACATTCCCAGTGACAGGAGGTCCCGGTCGCTGGACTATGAGACAAGCTGGCATATTCCACCGCCAAAATCCCAAGAACACCGAAAGCCTTTGGATATTCTTGCATGTGGGCACAGATACGCCCATGCAGAAAGAGCTCAGTGCTTTCTCTTCAAATTCCCACAAGAACCTGCTCGCAGATACCATCTGGTTCACCCTCCATCAAGCTGTCTTGAAATCATGTCTTAACGATTGGCGCTCTTACATTAACTTTCTTGGCAAGGAGGTGGATCGACACGTTAGTTTTCAGAACACGCAGTCTCTGACATTTCTAACTTTCAAGTCTAGTTTGATAGGACATTAAGCTTCATTCACGAAAGCATGAATAATACTAAACGATCAGATGGCGATGGTAATATTGCAGACATCCATAATGCACGCAACCGCCTCCTTGAAATCCCATCCCAGTTGATGACGACCCTGGAAACCCTTCAGAAGCTTGAAACTATAAGTCGTGATTCTGCGTCTCAGCAAAAGAATAAGGATAATGGCTTTGGAAAACTTGCTACAAGTGCAATATACCACAAAGATCATCTCGAGCCACTTCTTAATGGTGTTGAAATTATCAAGGAGAGGGTAAAGGATACATTGAACATAGTAAGTCACCTGCTTCGTTCTTCTTGGTGGCCAGTGCTTTAACATTATTTAGATTGAAATAAGTCTGAGCTTCAGGATGACCAGCAAGATGCTTGATCTTAACAATCGAATGGTCGATGTGAACAAGAGCATGCTCGATGCGAACAAACAGCTGCTCCAACTGGGAAACAGAAATTTTGACGACAATGCTACTGTCAGGATCGTGACACTTGTGACACTTATTTACTTACCCGCAAGCCTCGTGTCGGTAAGAATAATCCCAAGACCTCCGTATTTCCGCATTCAATCTAACACCTAGGCCATCTATTAGTCGGTTATTGGGATGAACTTGTTTAATTTCGAAGAAAACACAGGAGAGCTCATAATATCAAAGCAATTCTGGATTTTCGTCGTTGCTACAATCATCTTGGCTATCATCACCCTTGGTGGATGGTATGTATGGACTCATCAAGAGGTAGTACTAAGGCGCAAGTCTCTCCGTCCCGGGAAAGATACACCACAAAGTGCTGAGCAAGATATTGAGCTCGATGACAATTGATATATGGGCTCGCAGATATAGAATTCATTGGCGTTCTTTGTAGTCAGGTTTTATCTTTTTTTTGCGATGTATTTAGTACTAGATATAGAAGTTTTTGTATTCATGTTTTGAGCTTCCGCCCGGGCGCGCAGCTACCTTGCATTCAAGTTTTTACCCACTAATAGGTATGGTAGATCAAAAAGGCAGCTAGGTAGAGTTACGGTAGGTGTGATATCGGAGAAGCATAACCTCCAGGGCTCGTAGCAAACCTTCCAAGGTTCCACCATCAAACAATTGCAAGTCAGGCTGGTCTAAAAACCTGATTAATTTGTTTGGAATTGTGCATTGCACCATCTGGTCACTAATATCATCAGGAATCATCATATTTGAAGTCCTGGAGGGGTTGTTCGGGGTATTTGTCTCAAGGCTAAAAAAGACCCGTGGACTCAGATACCAATTCTCTTCAACATGATGCACTAACATTTGCACCTTGCTCTAGTTATCAAATAACACCGGACGACCCAGTTACTCTGCGAATTCTTTATAATGTAGAATCAGAGTGCTTGGAGAGTTTTCTGCGGTGGGCTTCCATAATTTCATTCGCCTTCCAGGCCTGCCATTGGTTTGCGAATCGTTTCCGTCTTTTCAACAATCATATTTAGTCCTTGCACAGACACAGGACTGTACCTACTTTTGATTTTTTTCACAGAACTTCCCACAGGCACAAGTTGCTAATAAAATGTCGAATAAGGAGTATTCTTCGGTCGGAAGGAGTCGACGTGATCATCGCTGCAATAGCTCGATGAGATTGAGAGATCTCGATCGCCAGCCAACACATTCCAGCTAGGTGAAGTTCATCGCCAAATGCAACAGCGAGAGAATATTCGTCGGTACGGTTTGTCTTGACCTTTAGAGCTTCAGAGAAACATCCTAGTCTAAACGAATCCCGGTTCATTCCATTTACCTCCCACACGTGGTGACCACATTGAGGCACTTTAAGGAGATATCGCTTATCAGATGTTACTCACAATCGTGCAGTTGGTCAACACGTCAAGACCGTGGAAGTGTATTTTTCCGGCCGGTGCCGTATGATTGCCCTCGCTGTAGACGACAACGCTTTGGAGACAGTGGCATACATCGCGTTGTAGTCACATCAAGCGAAGGTGGGCTCGGGTTGGTTTCTCGGGGCCGCGGGAGCATTGTAGCGGAAATTGCCAATCGAGAGTGCTGCGATCCGAATTTAGGGCATGTAAGAGTAGGATTTGACTGAGTGTCACTGGAGGGATTTGAATGAGTGAGCTCGGTATAATTGTGGGCATAAAGGAGTGATTAGATGAAGAGCGAGCTAAGGTGAAGCTATCTAGGAAAAGCTTGGAAGGCTTACGGATGCCTGAGGCAGTTCGTGCCAAGGGCACTCACCCTCACCAGCTAAGGTTAGAGGTAATACGAATCAATCAGGACTCGGAGTTGCAAAATTTGAGGTTGTGAGGGAGGGAGAAGAGTCACATGGGACGTGGCGTCCTTTCCCAATTACTAGTATAACCGCTTGCATGGTCAGATCTCGGTAGACAGACAATGATAACTCGAATGTACTAGATCACCCGATCTTAACCTTCATGTCAGTCATTTTACTATATTCGTTCTTCCACTCCTTTGGCGGATATTTCATTTTCCTCCGCAAGTCGAGAATACTTGGCCAGAAACGGAGCCTTGAAATGTTCGTGCGAAAGAGAGATGGAACGAAGTTGTTGAAGAAGGTGCAAACTACCAACGTAAGAACTGAAGCTAGGCGGCAAATGAACTTTAAAAAAAACCATAAAAAAAATGAAGAAGGGCGAGTTGACTCCAGTTGTGTGCCTGAATATCTACGAAAAAGCATATGCTGACCCAGCCTTGGAACTAAAGACTCTATGAGCGAAAAAAAAAAATGGATGGCCCCTACTAATGGGAGAGAAATTAGGAAAGCATGCAAATATAGTGATCAGTATTTCGTTACCTACCGCGGAGTCCTTAACCTTGGAACTATATCCGTAGTTAGTACGTACTACGGTAATCTGGTGTAATATGGTGCCACTTGTGTAAAGCCAAGCTGACCCAGAAAGCACTATTCTTCCTCTATGGTCGTACCTAGGAATGTACTACAGGTCTGAGGCTTTTTTGCTGAGGTATCACCGACCGGCCCGGCTATTCCAGGATGCCGGCATTGATCAGATCAAATCACGCAATGTCGCCTCGGGCCAGTGGATCTATCAAGGCGTTTCAATTTTCAATCCCTTGTTTAGATCACTTGACTCATAAAACAAAATTTTCATGTTGCCCCTTATAGATCCACCTTCCTTTGGCGGTGGCCATGGTCTATTCTCGGAGCGGCGTCGTAGCGAACACGTGTCAGATGACGAGATTGGATAGGGGTTTGAGGAAATTTCGATTTCTCTCAACAATTCCTCATCTGAAGAGAAATTTGTATCACTTCTTTGATCATGCATGAATATTGTATGTAGTCCGAACATCTTCTCCGCACTGTTGTCTCCTCACCTTCATCTCCTCACCCTCCTCCGCATTCCCAGGGCTGACCGCCGTCAGGCCACTGGGCCAGTAGAAGCCGAAGAAAAGCCAGAATGCGGGGGGGGTGCTCGGACCGAAAAGCGTTTCGGTGGTAGTGGCGAACGACTATTGGATAATAATGCCGCACACGTCACGGGAACTGACTTCATTTTCCAGCAAGTTCTTCTGAATATAGTAACCGATTAGTAACAGAAACGTAAAGGATTCCAGGGTTAAGCGGAGTCACTTGACCCATTTTGCGCGATATTACCTAACAGGCCGGTCTTGGCCTTACCCGATACAGCCGCTCTTACCCTTTGGGATCACCTCGTCAATGGTTCTGAAGTCTAGAACCGGCTCGTTTTACGTGATCCTCCCCCATGGATCATGGATGTGCGCTGTTTTTACCCCATACTTTGCATTTGGTTATGTTGGGGCGGTCCTAATAGCGTCATAATGATCGACGCCACCCGCTAAGAAAATTTCGTAGTAACTATGGTTATGGTAGTCTCGTGGATTCTTATGGATTCGGCGATTCAGATTTCTATATAAGCCCTCATTTCTTCCCCGGATTTTGAGAATATTCATTCAGCATTCAGCCTATTCATCCTCGTTCCTAGATCTCTAGATCTGATTCTCAGGTACATTTTCTACTTCCATTCTATAGTACCATATACTTCAAGGTATGTCATGACACATCCTGGTCTATTACCCCTGTGTGGCAATTACTTATACTTCTACCCCAGTTTCAAAAACTTCTTCACACTATATCATCCATCATGACTTTCGATCACCCTGCCTTCTGGAAGTGCGATTCCTGCGGTCTTCCCGGCGTTCGCCTTTCCACCACTGGCACCGGCTCCAGCCCTGCCTACTACAAGTGTGTTCCTTGCAACCGCAACCTGGGTTCTTGCCCTTGCGTCACTCCCGGTCTCCGAACAACCGGCAACTGCCCCTGTGGCGAAGAAAGCGAGGCCGATATGTCAGACAGTTCCGATGATCTGTCTCTCCAAAAGCAACTGTCCAATGGTCACAACCCCGAGAAGGGATTCGATGTTGACTGGGAGTCAAATTGCAAGCCCGGCTACATGGTCAAGAGATTCAAGGCCCGTGGCAAGGAGATTCTTCCGTTTGCTTAAGCACGGATGCATATGATTGTTGCCCTTTTGTTGTTTCTTTCTGAATAGCGAGTCTTTCTGTTACCCACATCATGCATACGCGATTCCCTATGCAGACGACCCTGAGATCGTCGAGAAAAAAGTTACCATATCTCAATAATATCAACTATCTGGTCTTGAGGACCACAAATACCAATTTCATCGCGCCAGTTGGCTACGTTACAATTCTCTCATCCACTGCTTGTCTTAAGTAAACTTTTCAGCTCGGAGTATAGTGTAATAATTTGGCTCTTGAAACGTTAGTCTGGCTGAATCTTCATCTATCTGCTGAAATAAAGTGGCATTATGTTCAAAGTACTAACTAATTAGCTACTGGAAGTATTGAGGCTTTGGTGCCTTGTAGATGCCTCAGGCACAAATAATCTCTTGGGTTTTTGTCTTTCCCCCTCCTAGATATCTCCAGTCATCTGTCATACATAACCAGTTCTATGGTTCTGAGCTTTCTATCAACCTTTGGTTCAATTTACGCAGCGAGCCTTCGGTCTTGTGAGCTCCCTTCAACTTTTCAACATTTCTTTCGCTCCCAGCCGGTTTGGAACCTGAACTGCTTGAATCGAGGCAGAACATGGGCCTCCGTGTTGAAGACAACATCAGTGAGTGGGAGATACTCTCTCGGTGAGAAGAGAAGATATAAATACTTCAGAGTTTCAGCCTATAGTATTTGAGGTTTAGCACTCGTCATGGAAACAGAAGACACGATTAAAATATCTTACCAGCCAAAAACTTTCCATATTATCACGATAGGGTGCAGGAACCTTGGTGACACCATTCAGGGAGGTATACGCTTTTCCATCAGGTACAAGCATGTGTTGCCTGAAATATTTAAAATCTTCCATCCCCATTTCCGGTAAATGGGATCTTCCGTGACTCGAAACATCAAAAAGAGACTCTCAACAGTTTCGGGACGTTGCAGATTATACGCATCGAGAGGCTTAATAATAAGATCCTTCTTCCACGAACCTACATCATCCTTGCTTTTCTTTCGAGGTCTTGACCCTGGCTTGGGTCGGAGATCGGCGTCGTCAGCCTCAAGCCAGGTAATTTCGGGCGATAACCCGGTGTCTGTCACTGCATACATCGCCCAACAGGTTTTCATTAATTATCTTGCTAGCTTCATCTGCTCCTCTTTTTTAGCACTCCAAGTTGGCAGCTTGCGCGCTTCAGCTTCAGTTCGTCCTTCGGTAGCGGCAATTGCAATTGAGCTTGGTAATAAACAAACGAGGTGGTCCATTTTTGGAGAGAGCTTCTCACCGATGCCATTTGGAAGTTCCGCAATAAATTGGAGATGAGAGTACCTTTGTGGTAGTGGCAAGATGCTTTGGATGCCTGCCAGAGCCTCTTCCCACATTTCGCTATAGATTTGCTCATCTCCGGAGGTCTGCAGATATTGCTTGACCAAGTACTCTGTGGTTTATTAGACTTTTGCTTTCATCGGATAGCGGAAATGAAGGACAATACCTTAATAAGAGTCCCCGCGGCTTCCAAGACGGATCTCCTGGTAGCTGAAATCTCCTGTATCAAGATGCACAAAGATAGGTAACAAAACATCTGGCATACAGTGGTTGTCGATCACCTTCATAGCATGTTCGGCCTTGCGCCAGTAAATTTCTTTTCCTAGGCTATGAGCAAGGTACTTCATTTCCAGTTGGAGGGTCGTAGCTTCAGCAGTCGATGAGGCACCACCATCTGCATGATATGGAATGCCTTCTCGAGTGGCTAGATCCACGCTAGCATATGGAATTCCGGAAGGGGACTCATCAGCGCTGAGAAGTCGGTCTGCCAGGTCAACCGCTTTTTGGAGATAAACAAAGTCCTGGCGAGATACAACATCAGAAAGTTGACAGGACAGATAGTGCGCCGACAGAAGCCCGCCTAGCATGCGAATGGTAGTCTCAAAAGTGTTGACATCTTAATCTTGGTCGTAGGACAATTCCTGATTGACCCAGTCTCGAGCATCAGAGAGCTGAGAAGTTATATTCATGATCATTAGGGAGTCAAGACTGTGGACGATGATCCACCCGAGCCCATTGGGACTCACTTGGTCTCCAATTTTGGCAATGGGATGATAGACATCCTTTCCTAAACTTAAATGTCAATTTTTACTAGTGCTCAGGTGGTGGATTTGACATCACAAAGGGTCTGGACATACCCCAGGCATGTCGATAGTATGCGTCCCAGCTTGTGACAAACACGTCCTTGACTTCCTCTCGATGATTCCTTCAATTGCTATCCTGGCCAATAGGTCGAAAACTATCCATTATGGCGATATAAAGACCCGTGGAGAGTATCAAAACACCAGTAAACATCGACTTGAAACTCCAGTTGCAGCCAAGCCAGCCATGCAGCTGCTCCTCGAAAGGATTCGACGCAGAATTCGGCAAGGTTCTTGTTTTATTAGGATACTTTGAAGGCATGATTGTGTGGAAAGATGAAGTTGACAAAGAATGCTAGTGATTGACGGCGCGCTGTCGAATAATAAGGGGGAGAACAGTCCAGGGCCGATCATGGATGTCGAGAATGAAAGTGGTTATATTCCAAAGTTACCACCATTCCTATGTATGTTGGGCTGGCCATTAAGCCAGGGCTGGAGATCCATAATAGTCCTTTGTATTATGATCACAGGGGTCGGCCCAGGGTTTCTTTGTTATACACCTGGACACTCCAGGGCTGTCTGCCCGGGTGGGGTTTCCTAACCAGTAATATGGAGATTTCTATCCTCAGTCAAGACCTGGTAGTTTTGAATAGCTTTCTCGAGAGAAAACGGGAGTTTTCCTTTCAAGAAGGCAAGTGGATATTTTTGAACGACAAAAAGGCGATGTGGTTTCCTCCTAGGATTCATTTCAGCCACCCGTAATCGTGTACTATCTCTAGGTTGAGTGCAAAGTTACAACTCCTGCATTTTCTAATGCCCCCCTCTTACGGTCTATGGTGACTTGCATTTCAATATTTGTTTGTATGGCCTTGCTTTAGAGAAAATTGGAACTGAATTCTGACAAGAGAGTTTATGCTCAATCATTGCTGTCTGAATACACTGATTCTATGACAGTTCCCATTAAATGCGGGATTTTTGTATTTCCCCATCAGCGCCAGAGACCATACGGCTCCCTGCACGCCTTCCACAACTTAATTGTACCATCTTCACTGCCAGTCCCGTAAAGCTTGCCGTCGGGTGAGAAGCTAATGGACCAGATGGGACCGTGATGTCCCTTTTGTACCTCTGCGCAGAAGAAAGAAAAAACATTAGTATCCATCGGAGCCGAAGAAAAAAAGTTTAAATATAACATACCGAGTTCTTCGTTGGTGTTGAGATCGTAGACTCGGGCCCAGGTGTCACCGGCACTACCGGTAACAAATCGGCCCGAATCGGTATTGACGGCCGCACTGGCAACCTCATATCCGAAATCCGCTTTTTTCAACAGGCGGCCGGGCGTGATTGCATCAAACATATACACGCTCTTTCCAGCAGCGACGGTTAGAACGCCGGGGCTAGTGGGTTGGGTGGCGAGAGTGTTCAACTCGCACGAGCCGATGTTTCCTTCAACGGCTGTCTCAACAACAGAACGGCGCGAGCGCAGATCCCACCAGCGGATCTTGCGGTCTTCGGCGGCGGTCGTCACGATGTTGGAGTCCCTGTTCCACACAATAGACTTGATGGTACCGCCGTGAACGCCGGGTCCAATCTCGTAGCTTGTTCCTGTGCTGTTATTCTCGCCACCTGTTGGTGGCAAGGGAGGAGAGGAAGTGTTGCTACCACCGCCGCCTCCGGAGCTGCGGGAAAGATCGAAGATGCGAAGTTTCTTCTCTGCGCCACCTGTTGCGAGAACTTGGGGATTGGCTTGGATGGGGAAGGCGATTGATCTCACCACGTGTGCGTGTTGAAGAGTGTGGAGACATTCGCCTGTGTAGGTGTCCCAAACCTTGCTATTGGAATTGTCAGTACCGGATATTCTTTCCGAATCTTCTTTCAGATAGGTATTTGCTTATTTTTGTGCCAGCAATTTTGGGTTGAAACTTACGCGGAGAAGTCTGCAGCCGCGGTAGCTGAAATAGCTGTGTCTGCAGATAGCCGGGATTGCCATACAGCACCTTTGTGGCCGAGAAATGTGCCGATCCTGATCAGATGTTAATTAGTGAATCTCGCAATACTTTTCTATGGTCGGGCTCATCCTACCAGTCACCTGTGATGCCATCTCGCAGCATGGGATTGTTATCTGCAAATCGAGATTAGCCTCATCCATGGTGGGGCTCAAAGCTGGAGCGAGAGAAAAAAAAAATTAAAATGGCAAAATCGTGCAAGATACCTTTACAGGCCGAAATGATGTAGTATTGATCATCGTCAACGGTGTGAGAGAAACTCAAATGGGTCACGGGGCGCGAATGCCCGTGACAGGTGAGAGGAACGACCTTGGGGATATCTGCATAGTCGTTAGTTTCATGGAGAAATGCATGATCGGGTCGTTTCGAGGATAGACTCACCAGACGCCATGTTTGCACAGAAGAAGATGCGTTATAGCGGAAAGCGGGAGAAGTTTGGATGAATCGAGGAAGTGAAGATGCGACGATTCAGCCGAAAACCGCGTGACCAAATCGGGCCGCGAAGGAGAGTGAACAGGTGTGTGGTAAGGAAATTAACAAAAAGAGATTCGTCAGGGTCGTCAAGTCATCAGTACAGAAGAAGCGAACAGTACCAGTGGGATCATACCCCACGTCAACTATTGAGTCCACAGAGTTGATTTCCCAGATGCTGCGATAGCGATATAATTGAGGGTCACCTGCATGCTGAGGTAATGTGCGTGACTAATCCCAATCCGGTTAGTCGCGGCTTTCCTTGCTCCAGTCGGCGTTGACTTGGATGCTTTCCCCTGGTTTGATTGATCAATGGATTCAATTGAATTGAATGAAATTGGTATTATACATGGGTATTGGTCAGGATGACAGACGGTCATGGAACTTGCTAGGTTCAAGAGTATCTCACCTACTCAAGTAGCCAACAGGTGTCTTACTAGATTACTTCTACTACTACAGCTAGCTAAAGCTGATCACGTCCCACTGTATCCATAGTAGATCCGAGACCGAAGACATCTTGATGATTTATTATGGCACGGCTACATAGTAAATTAAACCGATGAGTAATAAAGGCAACAAGTCTGGTTAGTAGTGAAAACATCCAACTAGTAGAGAAGCAAAAAGAAGAAAGCCGACAGCCAAATTCCTCTTTCCTTCTAGCAGGTTCGTCATAGCTCCACCGCCCACGTGATAATATGATGCGCAGGCGGGGACCCCAGAACGACTAAAGGACAACAACGGTCATCGGCGCTGTTCTGCATTAATCAGTGCTCCTTTTGTCGATTCTCTTTGGTCTCTCTCATCTGCAACTCCCCCCGTTGTATGTATGCCTGACTTCAAGCTCTCCGCGTCCCTTGAGGGCCATGGCGATGATGTAAGTCTCAGCTACCCCCGCCATCCACCTCGGTCACCGAAGGTACCCCCGACACAAGATACTGACCACCTCCCCTGACTTCAGGTTCGTGCCGTGGCCTTCCCAAACCCGAATGCAGTCTTCTCGGCGTCTCGTGATGCCACTGTCCGACTCTGGAAGCTCGTCGCATCCCCCTCCCAACCTACGATTACACTATCACCACCCATGGCCAGGCGTTCATCAACACCCTAGCCTACCTCCCTCCCACAGCCCAATACCCCGAGGGTCTTGTTCTTTCTGGTGGTCAAGATACAATCATCGAGGCTCGACAGCCCGGGAAATCAGCAGACGACAATGCTGATGCAATGCTACTGGGACATGCCCATAACATCTGCGCATTGGACGTGTCTCCTGACTCACAATGGGTGGTCAGTGGTAGCTGGGATTCGACTGCTCGCATTTGGAAAGTTGGTCAATGGGAAACTGATAGAATCCTTGATGGTCATGAAGGAAGTGTCTGGGCTGTGCTGGCCTACGACGAGAACACTATCATCACTGGTAAGCTTGATGCCTCACATCTAATCCACTCTTGATATGTTTTTACCCACGGGTTATAACTCACACATTGTCTGTTAGGATGTGCCGACAAAATGATCCGCATTTTTGATACCGCCGGCAATCTTCGAGGAAGCGTCAAGAACTCCGACGATGTCGTCCGAGCCCTGTGTAAAGTTCCAGCGTCAAATCCAACAGGCGCACAGTTCGCCTCCGCCAGCAACGATGGAACGATCAGACTTTACACCCTAGAAGGACGTTTGGTGGCTTCTCTGCATGGCCACGAGAGCTTCGTCTACTCACTTGCCGCCCTGCCATCCGGAGAGCTGGTGAGCTCCGGCGAGGACCGCACAGTGAAGGTATGGAATGGAACCGAGTGCGTTCAGACCATTACTCACCCGGCGATCTCGGTCTGGAGTGTTGCTGCATGTGGTGAGAATGGTGATATTGTTACTGGTGCTAGCGATCGTGTTACGCGTATCTTTACTAGAAGCCCAGACCGAATCGCTTCCCCGGAAGCTGTGGCACAATTTGATCAAGCAGTCAAGGAGTCTTCTATCCCAGCTGAGCAGGTTGGAAAGATAAACAAAGAGCAACTACCCGGCCCAGAGTTCCTCCAGCAAAAGTCTGGAACGAAGGAAGGTCAAGTTCAGATGATTCACCAGACAGATGGCAGTGTCACAGCCCACACCTGGTCATCTGCAACGCAGGAGTGGATAGCTGTAGGTACTGTGGTTGAATCGGCAGGAAGCAGTGGACGCAAGACAGAATACCTCGGACACGACTACGATTATGTGTTCGATGTCGATATTGAGGACGGCAAACCACCTCTCAAACTCCCATATAATGTTTCTCAAAACCCATACGAAGCGGCCACCAAGTTCATCGGAGACAACGAGCTACCTATTTCATATCTCGATCAAGTTGCCAACTTCATCACGCAGAACACACAGGGAGCAGTCATCGGCCAGTCCCAGGAAGCGACACCGGCCGGTGGAGATCCCTGGGGCTCAGAGCGACGATACCGACCCGGGGACGCTACGTCAGAAGAAACCCAGCAACCCGCTCCTGAACCACTCCCGAAGGTTCTCCCCCAGAAAACCTATCTCTCAATTAAGACGGCAAACCTTAAGATCATCACGAAAAAGCTTCAAGAAATCAACGACAAGCTTATTTCAGAGGGTGAAAAGGGCACTACATTAGTTACCTCCGAGATCGATGCGGTCGTCGCGTTATGTGGCCAACTGGAATCTGGCCAGCAACTTGCCGACTCGCCCATTCTCGAGGCCGGTGTCCCATTGGTTTTCAGGGCCGCCACCTCATGGCCGGCTGCGAACAGACTCCCGGCACTGGATCTCCTTCGCCTGTTAGCCGCTGCTGCACCTTTTGTCGCAACTACGGAGTATAACGGAGAGAATCTGGTATCAGGCCTGTTAGCCAGTGGGGCCTTCGATGCACCATTAAGCCCGAACAATGCGATGCTCGTCGTCCGCACATTTGCCAACCTGTTCGAGACCGCCGCTGGTTGGGATTTAGCCATCAACACATTCGACTTGATTGTGACCGGTGTCAAATCCGCACTGGCTAATAGCGGCGAGTCGCCGAATCGCAACCTCACCATCGCCATCACAACCCTTTATATTAACTTTGCTGTCTACATAACCTCTGAGGGAAGAGAGCAGACCCCTGAATCTGCAGAGAAGGCCCTGGTCCTGCTTGAGGAATTGACTAAGATCATCGCCAACGAGAAGGATTCCGAAGCAGTCTACCGTGGACTCGTCGCCCTGGGTACTATAACCAAGGCCCTGGGCGCCGAAGTCAAGAGTGCCGCGAAGGAAGTTTACGAAGTCGACAGTGTTCTTTCCCGGGTCTCGGGATCAGGTGCTGGCAAGGAACCACGAGTGAAGGGTATTATTCAAGAAATGAGAGAGGCTCTCTAAGAATAATTAACTATTCTTTGAGAAACGCATAGATAGATTCACACTATTACCTCTTAACGACGACCACGCAATCGACTCTACAATCTCATAGTTATCAATTTCCGCATGTCCTTGTTAAATGTCGTAATGGCACAGCCCTTTTCCGATTACGATCTGCACCCTCGTCACAGACATCGCTATTCTACAACCTTGAGAATTCCTACTCAATCGTCTCATATCTCACACCGAAAGGGCCTTGCCAAGGGTGATGGGGCCCTTTCATCTCCCTGATTCCTAGAACCTCGCATCGGCATTCACCCCAACTTCCATCACCTGGTCAATACCAGGATACTTAGGCAAATCGAGCCCATACTTCTCTGCAATAGCCGGTGTCAAAAACCGACCCCCAACAAAGTGCCGCCCAGAAAAGAACTTCACGCAAGGTTTCGGCGCAGAAAGACTAATCAGCGCCGAAGGCATGAATCCAGCCCCGGGGCCATGCTCGGGTGGCCCCGTCGCGATATCCCAAGAACTGGGGGCGTCGACGCTGAGCACGGGGACATTTGAAGCTTCGATTTGCGAAATTATGCCTCCGAATGGATCGCGTAATGGTCCGCCGAAGGAGAAGCCGAAGATTGCGTCGATTAGGAGGGATGTTTCTCCTAGGGCGGTGGGGAAGTTGGCGTCTGTTATGAATGGGATGGAGAGGTTCTCTAGTTGGGTGCGGAGGCGGGTGTAGAGTTCGTTTTTGCCTTGTTTTGGGTAGTAGATTGATGGGTTGTAGCCGTATTGGGCTAGATGTCGTGCCGCTACGAGGCCATCGCCGCCTGTTGGTTGGTTGGGTTAACATTGTACTGGGGACTGGGTTGGTGGTGCCTTCAGTTAGGTGGACAGAGGGCTTTACCATTGTTTCCTGGTCCGCAGACTATGAGGATATTCTTCCCTGCTGAAAGCGGGTGGATGCGCCAGACTTTTTCTTGTTAGAATGGGATCGATTTACTGTTCTTTGCGATATAGTGAGTGCTCACCTGCTTGTGACACGGACAGGCCGGCTAGTTCCATCAGTTGGTCGAGAGACCAACCGCCCATGTCCATTAAGTCTTTGTCCAGAGAGGCAGCATCCTTGGCGGAGATTGCCTAGTCACGAGTCAGTCGGGTTCTATCCACAAGATTCCTTCCAGGCCATACCTTCAAAGACATTGTGGCGGCTTTGCTGTAACGACGAGCGGTGGGAAGAGAGCAGCGTCTGAAGAAAGATCGGTGGAACATATAATGTATGTTCCGCTAATTTAACTGTTTGGTTGATCTTTCAAATCGAAATGTAGTGCGATAGAAAGCAGCGCGTCTCGAATTTCTTTTTAATTGAAAAGACAAGAAGCAGGTTGGCAGGTTGATGTATACCTCGTTGCATCATCCCCGCGGTCCCCGCTATTCCTAATCGGGAACCCGGAAAAAACCAGCCCCGAACCTCCTAAGTTTGAACTCCGCAAAAGTTCAAGTTGGTCTTGAGTATTCCGCGATTTCAATCACCATCACGAACATCACAACCGCCGCCATGGTCCTTCGAATCCGATTGGCACGCTTCGGCAACAAGCATCAGCCCTTCTACAATATTGTTGTTGCGCAAGCCCGGTGCGTTTGCTCCCACTCCAATCCACTCCAATCCAGAATTGCGGACCTTCCTTTCCTCCGACAGCATTCGCGCATACCCCCGGCGGAATGGACTGGCCGACTCTTCAGATCCAATTGGCAATTGCTGCTTTAACAGAATTGTGCTGATCATGGCTAACCTATCCGTTATAGATCTGCCCGTGGCTCCAAGCCCCTCGAGGTCATCGGCACGTACAATCCTCTCCCGGCTGCCCGCACCGATGTATCGGACGCGACCTCTGCGCCGCGCGCATTCAAAGACATCACTCTCGATAAAGTACGAGCGAAGTACTGGCTCGGTGTTGGGGCGCAGGCCAGCGACCCTGTGTGGAAGTTGTTGAACCTGGTGGGTCGAGTCGATGCTACAAATGGATTAGATGGAACGGGATGGATGGCCTAGATGTGGCTGTCTCGTCTTGATCCTTTTGTCTTTTTTTTCCCAACTATGAAGGAAATGGTTTCTAACGGTTTCTCTAGGCTCGTCTGGTGGAAGAGAAGCCCAAGACCTACAACAAGGCATGAAATGATGCCGGAACCCTAGCCTAGCCACTTTCTCTCCTACGAGACTCGATTTTGCACGCTACATAGCCGTACAGCGGCATGCGGCATTCCATCCAGAATAAGCTGGCAGTGCACGCGGCGTGTATTTTTTCTCTCTCTCCTTCGACTGGCATTTTGCGGCGTTTTGTGAACTCTTTGGGAATCCCCGGGCCTTAGGATCCCGTCTATCTAGTCCTATGTATATTATGTGACAGCCTCGAATGAATCTAGCCTTGCAAAAGTCTATTCCAGGAAATAACAGGGATGAGGTGGGGGGAGTGTGCATACTCCGTACACACATGGACAATAGGGCGCGTGGGGAAAAAGCAACGGCCGACTCCATATCCGTACAAGGTACAGTATACAGAGTATAGCCCTGTGTAAACTAAGTGATCTAGTGTGGACGAGTAGTAGTTCGAGGAGCGGTCATAGGCGCGTCACAACACCAGTCACGAATCAGGAAAATCACGCCCAAGCTCAGGGACGACTAGGCCTACCAAGTGATTTGCTACGCCCACGGCCCAACCACACCAACTGGCAGCGTTGGATAAGCCCAAGCCAGTTGCGCGGGCGGTCCAATCCGAAGGGGAATCGGGCTGGTGAGTGCAGTCATTGGTCCACTCTGGAGGATCGCCCGTCTTTTTGAGTTTGTAAATTCCATGGGCGGTGCCAGCAGGGGCTTTTTTCTTGTTTGTATTGTAGGGGGGAGATGGAGTAGACTATAACTCTGTAATGAGATTTAGACAGAGAGAGAGAGGATCCCATATTGGATACTGGGGCTCCTGATTATGACAAAGCGGTCAGCTGCCTTTTTCCCCAGATCAACCCGGAATGTGCACGGTCACCCGCCCTGATGTGCCCACCCTTTTCATTACCCCCTTTGTTCAAGTTGGCGCGGGCTCTTTGACGGGTTCACACGAGGATGTGCAAGGAACCCAGGTCCTGTGTGGGTCAGTAAGCAGCAAAGCACTTCGATCCATCCCGACTTCGAGGCGCCGATCGGGTCGAGGCCGATGTCCAATCGATGGCGCTGATTGCCGCAGAGCCGAGGTGATGCCTGATCAATGTACAGTTTACCTTAAAAGGTACTCCCCCCTGTCAATACTCCTTGGTACTTCTGGAACTGCTGCATGTCCGTTGAGATGTCAGCACCCGGCTGCCTGGGACGAGCTATGGCCGAGGCTTACTACTTAGGTATAGTAATGGACTGTTCTGGTCCCGTTAGTCTGATATTTAGGGTGCTAGGCTTGTTAGTGGCTAAGGTACCAACTTGGAGTGCATGGGGGGGAGGGAGAGAGAGAGAGAAGTACAGACTGCAGTCTGTGCATAGGAGTTATAGATACGAAGCTATGTATATGATGTGGTACGGGGTAGGCTGCTGCATAGAGAATGTATTCACCTGGGCATAGCTACTCCGTACCTGGGCAGGCACTATGACTCTAACTAGGCAGAATAGTCTACTCCGTATTGTAACCCATTCAATGCAATTCTAGAATCTCCAACATTCCACACTAGGGACACGCACTTTTCCCACGTTCTGCAACCGGCCAGGTTCCCATCTGAGAGAGATGTAATTGAATGACAGTGTATGGTAATTTTGTGGGACAGTACCCAGCTCCACTATGGATAACTCCGCATCAACTGGGGTCTCCTACCCTCCTGTAAATGTGTATGATACATGTACCCATCCCGTTTGAGGCGCGTCGTGAAGCAGATCCATGGATCTGGCTCTGACTGTGGACTCCCTCGACCGTTCCGGACTCTTTTCTCTCTCTCCCCTTGCCCCTTCTCTTTGCCCCCCCCCCTCCTATCTCTCTTGTCTCTTTCATCATTTTCCCATCCCCCCCCTCCTCCACCAACACACCCCCCTTTTTTGCATCCATCTTTCCTGTTTGGCGTCGCGCGACTTCGCTTCCTCTCTCTCTACGTTCTGTCGACATATCACCTCCCACCCCCCCCTACCCCGGTCCTTCCACCTTAACCACACGCGCTCTGTCGCATATCGATCAGAGGTGCTTCGACTCGCGACCTTCGATTGAAATCATTACATTCGCCGTCCCCCAAACTTCCTCTCTACAAATTCGCGCGCCGCTTTCCATAACGATCGCCTCTTCGCGCGCTCTCATCCGAGATCCGTTACAAGCCACTCCTGTTCCGTCGCTGCGCTGTTGGAACTTTTGAACTTGCGTCTGTGTCGCGACAAGGGAAAATCAAAATTTCTCGACACCATCTCAGCACCTCGTGAGGTATGAGCAGCAGCTCGAACCAGTCCACTCGAACGAGTCCTGGCTCTTTCGGAACGACCCAGCGCACCGAGTCGGTTTCCTCTGGCTCCTCGCCCACACAACTTCCTCCTAAGGCGCCTGTGAGAAATCAGCATGCGATGTCGACCGACGTGTACAGTCCAACCGTCTCGCAAGCGCCCAGTTCTCTAGCTCCTACCTTCAGTCACCCCTTCTCGCCTATCGGCTCCTCTTCTTTCGACAACGGAATGCGCCTCGGTGATTCCGACCGCAACATCCAGGCCATGAATGGTTTGGGGCGAACCCCCAGTGGGAGTGGCGCGATTTTGATGCGCAAGCTCCCGCGCAACACCAGTCGCGAAGCTCTTCGCAGCATGCTCCTTTTCGCTAAGGATTTCGTCGACGCCGATTTCGTCAATTCCGACCATCCAGAAGACGATGGTTTCCTGAGCGCGATCGCCCGTTTCAATACTCTCCCTGCCGCTGAAGAAGCGCGTGCTCTCCTTGACGGTAAACCAAATTCCAAAAACGACGCGAAAATGGTTGTGGAGATGTATCCTGGCGCGGTCGGCTCCAATCTCTCCAACACGCGTCGCAACACAATCGATCACACCGCGACCCGTGGACTGTTGCCTGGCTCGCGTCAATCATCGCGTTTCAACGGTACCTTCCAAAGCCTGGAAATCTCCAGACTCAACAATCCATCGAACCAACCCATCGGCGAAGGCCTCCACTCTGCATCCGAGTCTGGTTCGCGTCTGCACAACCTCTTCTCCCCACAATCTCCTATCGGAAACGGTGTTGGCGATCTGCCCCGAGTAACGGGCAAGTCTATGATTGATGAAGATCCCGATGAGGAAACAGGCGAGCTACTCAAGGACCCGGTGGGCTACGCGGAAAACGGTCATTCAGCATCTGTCTCGGCCCCGCGTCGGTCAACCAACCCCCAGATCCCGACCGGTCGATTTGCCAATATGTCTCTCTCCACAGCCATGTCATCCCCGCCCCTCCCGAACTATGCCTCTGGTGATCCTCGGCAACGTATGAGCAGCAACGGTCCTCAGTCAGCCTACCCTAGCTCAGCCAACCACAGCCACGGTCACAGCTTCCCCTATAGCAGCCAACATACACCTCGTCATAGCTTGCCTGCTGCGAATCCCAACGACCTCAACCCACCGTGCAACACTCTCTACGTCGGTAATCTGCCACCAGACACCTCGGAGGAAGAGCTGAAAGCCCTCTTCTCCAAACAGCGCGGTTACAAGCGACTTTGCTTCCGTAACAAGCAGAATGGACCCATGTGCTTCGTGGAATTTGACGAGGTCGCCATGGCCAGCAAAGCACTCAACGAGTTATACGGATACAAGCTGTCTAATAGCGTCAAGACAGGCATCCGTCTGAGTTTCTCCAAGAACCCTCTGGGTGTCCGTTCAGGCCAGCCCGGTAGCATGAACGCCGGCAATCCCCTCTCGGGACCGGGCGGAACTCCCACTGGTAGCAACCTGGGCAGCATGCATAGCCATATGTTTTCCTCGGTTAGCGGCCCACCTCCAGGCCTGGCTGCGCCCCCTGGTCTGGCTATGCCTATGCCACAGCGAAACGGTGGAGGAAACCCCATCCACAACCAGGGTCAAGGTCAGGGTCACCCCCACGCCATGATTGGTAACAATAACTTCAATCACAACTCGGGCCTGGGGATCCGGACCAACGGAGGCAACTCAATGATGATGTCCCCGCCGCCTAGTGGTACTCCCAACAACAACGCGGGACCGAATATGAATGGCTTCAATACCTTCTATCCTGATTACATGATGGGCCGTTGAGGCTCAAAAGCATTATATTTGAGATAATGTCCGGCATGTTTGATGAACGAACTATGGGGTATTTGGCGCATTGGGGGTTCCTTTCTTTTCGCGAGTTAGATCAGCATTCGGCGGCTGCATACCTCTCGGGAGTATTGATTCGGGCTCTGCTTTTTTGTCTTTTTTGCCTCTAATGTCTCTTTTATTCAGTATCTCTGGCTCTTGCGTGATGCGATTCTTTTTTTTTTATTCCTTACCACTTTGCTATTTTTTTTATTTTTTTTTGCATGGGGACTCGGGCGCACTTTTACCATTCCTTTTTCCGCTTATTGTTTCCCTTGGGAGGATTTGCATTTCAGGTCATCGTCAAGTTTGTATTCTTACTGTGGTCGGTGTGCAAGCGCTTGCACGGCGCATTCTTCTGTCCACTATCTACGTTTTATCATCACCACCTCATACCCTTGCGTGCTCTTGTTTGCTATTTCTGTTTTATTATGTTTGCCTCTTTTTTTCTCCGCCCGCGCCTTCTCTCTCTCTCGACTTTCGCTATCCGACTTTTTCCTCAATCAGCTCAAGATTTATTCTGTCAATGGCTTTCATGTCGGAGAGACTCAACGCGCGGTGTCGCCTATTTCAAACCGTGATTCCCCTTTACATCCTATTTTTTTGCGTTTTGTCTCCTTTTTTTATCAATGCATTTTCAACGCGAACCGGAAATGGAATTTTTGCTATTTACCTTGCGCTTTTGCAATTATCAACTCCCTTCCTCTATGCAAGTATTCGAAGAAGTATTTCTGCTCTGCTCTCTAATCTCCCATGGGATGGCTTTTACTTTGCCCAAATTTCTTATCTTCTCTCTTTCTCTACATCTTTCCTCCTTCCATCTCTCCTATTTTCTCTCTTAATCATCCTTCGCTTGTCATTTGGATGACATGAGCTACCGGATATTTGTAGGCTCAATTTCTTATCTATTCCCACACGCGTCAGGGGAGTTTCCCAAAGGGTCATCTTCAAGTTGCTTGTTTCCCGCCTTATCATACACCTGGCCAGCGATGGACAAATATGGCAAGAAGAAATGGCGTCTGGCGCTTCGGTTATCTGTATCACTTCATCGGATGCTTGCATAGGTGGTGCATGTGGCATGGCAGGATATGGTATGGACATTGCCTAAGGCGAAGACACTCGGTCCCGATTTCGCCGAGGCTTTCCTTCCCCAGTCGTTTTCTTCGTTTTTGATATGACGTGGATTTGGATATGGATACAATGAGGTGCCTTTATTTTGCTATCTCTTCTGTCATGCGCTTTTTTCAAAGATTATTACTAGTTATTATCAATGTGAAGGGACTTGCTGGATCATCGTGAACTCCAGGGCTCCAGGGCTACCAGTAGTAGTATTCTGAGTACTATACCTAGGTACGGACCCTGCTCCGGCACAACTTCGACCAACGGTCTCTGCGGCGCTGATAATAGTGATTATACTTGCTTCGGCTCCGATTTTGGGTCTTGTTGCAGCATCTATGGATACTGGTAAGTGAATGATCGGGTCAATGACTGTCCGAGGCCATACTGACCGAGATGACAGTGGATCCACCGACGAATATTGTGCATCGGCTATCTGTGATAGTTCTTATGGCGGATGTAATTGAGGGCAAACCAATAGACCCACTGGTAGACTCAAGAGTCAAAACTCCAAGGTTCAAAAGCTGGTGGCAGGTGGAGGAGGCCCACTTAAGCATAAAATTACCAGGGTCTTATAATGTCTTGTAATATTAGCTCTGCTGTATGATGCTTAGTAGCCATCCACATTTTTCACCTTGTAACTCTCCAGGGCTTTTTTTTTGTTGGAAGGCTCCTCATTCATCTGCCCCTTTGGCTCCTTCCTTTGACTTTTTTTTTTCTACACAAATTAAATTTCAAAATGTCACAGTCGGCATCAGACGCGTCTTGGCCCGCGGCCATTCCCGAGATCCACCTTCATCCGACGGATTTATCCCGAGATGAGCTGCCGAAAGAAGCGAAAGGATGGCTGCTATTCGTAAAGGTAGGGTGCAGGAATGCCCTGGTATAAGAATTTATAGTACTAACAGGTACATATAGGAACAATTCCAGCCAGTCTCAACCCCAGATAATGGGCTACGTCAACGGCGAGCCCTAATTGAGAAATGGGCTACCGCCAGTCAGGAATTCCGCGAGGTCCGTACAGCCAATTCTGAGGATTTTTCACCCTCTTCACCTCCCTTCATCTCGTATTTCTCGCTTCTGTGACTTGAGGTTTAATGATAATTTGCAGTCTTACCATAGCCGTGCCCCAGCATGCACTTCAGCTCTCGACTACCCGGCTTCATTGCTGTCGCAGCAAGCCCCAAGACCCAACAAGAGGTTCCTTTGTCTGCCACCTGTAGACTCGCAGACTCACCCTCGGAACTACATTCATCTTGTGAAGCTCCTGATTATGCTGTATATCCATCAAGATGAATGGAATGGGCTGCATCCTTTCGACGGAGCGGGGGCGGGCAACGCACCGCGCTGCCATATCCCAGAGTTTCTTAACCTCGCGACGCCCATCGCGCTCAGTGATATCCTCTCCGAGCTGTACCTTGCCTCGGCGGATTTCCACGCTCTCTCGATGACCCGGAGTGGCACGGTAGTGTTCGCCGATGGGCCGGACTACACGTGGTACCTGATTGAGGGGCCAGGGCTTGCCACGGGGCGAATGACCGTGGCTGAGTTTGGCTCTAACGGCAGTGTCCGCGATTCTCTTGTTCGTCGAGCCTGGAATATGGGTCCGATAATGTCCTTTGGTCAGGATTTGGGCCGGCGGGTCGTGGATTTAGCAGAGTCAGCGATTGGGGGTCCGCCGCAGTATAACGAGCCGTAAGTTCTCTTCCCCATAATTGTAGCCCCATTTTCAGGTCCTAACATGACATTCCGATGGAAATAGTTTGGATATGGATCTTCCCATTATTGAACTCTTGGAGTCAACAAGAAAGAGCAGCAGGTTCCTCTATGAGGGATACGGCTATATGGACCTCTGGGTGCGCATTATCGAGCAAAATGCGCCTGGGTATCTGGACCTTGAGGCTCAGGGGCGGGTGTTGGAATTCAAGCTTGATAATCTGCGTAATGTTAGGTAGGCTTTGATGCTCACTTAGGTGCGATGCCCTGTGGTAGCGGTCCTGACAGGTCTTGTATCTGACCCTTCCATCTTCGATATTTTATCAAAACAAGTACTCCTACCTGCATCCATGTATTAACGCCTGAGGATTGGCTTGGGGGGGGGGGGGGGGCACTGAAGAAAAGGATTACTGCAAGGATACAGAATTTAATATACAGTAAGACACAATTTGAACACTCCAGGAATCGAAGGAAAAGACCTTGAGAGTAGTCTTTGAGTCTAGTAGCCCTTGAGTCTAGTAGCCCAGTTTAGGGTCAACAATACGATTGTTACAACCCATTTCAAATCATATGTCTTCAGTGAAAATTTGTTACCTAAGGCAAGTAGGTTCTGGGAGTAAAAATCTATATAGATTCTGATAGGGTAGAAATGCTGGTTTCATACTGCTGATTATTATAGTGAACTACAAAATGTGAACCGTGACTACCATGGCCATATATAATAAGCCATGTCTTTCTGGATGAGAGACTGATTAAAAAGTAGGCCCATTTATTTGCACTAGCGCCATCCGTTTATTGAGGTAGGTAACTCATGATACTGGCCCTATAGTGCGATTGGTTGGTGAACCAGAGGACTGGGAGTAGGCCCAGTGAGCAAAAGCGGCGAGAGAGTGAGCACCAACATTGAATCTGGAGCTTTGGAAGGGGCAACCAAAAATCGGCAGGAGAAGTCTAGTACGTAGGTAGGTAGGTAGGTAGGTATAGAGGTCTTCCCGTAGCTACGGGATATCACGTGACTCCACAAGTCAAGTCAACTTTTCCGCGCCGGAAAGTTTCTGCCACAAACATAACTCCAATCCTCACAAATCCTCACACGACCTCCCATCCACCAATTGCCGCATTGGCTGTTGAGGGCTGCTGGGCTTGCTGTATTATAGTACAGCAATCGGAATATCGCATTTAATATTGTTTTATTCTACGATTCCCGGCTTTCCCGGGGTCGTTCTCAACACATCCAAGATGGCCCCCCGGATACAGAGCCGGAGCGTGTCCAATCTTCTCCCCTACATCACATCTTCCTCCTCCATCACATCATCCTCTATTCCCTCTCTATGTTCCTCATCACAATCCTCCCGTTATTTCTCTACCACACCGGCTCCACAGACTAAGCTTCGTCGGCAAATGTTTGAATGGCTTTCCACCCAAGGATCTGGTCTCAAGCACCACACTCCTGGCGAGACCAACTACTTGAGGATGGCGGATGGCAGCCAGTCCAATCGACCTTTCCCGAACAACATGACCTTCATTAGTGAGCCTGTCCTCAGCGAGGAGCTCCGGAATGAAGTTTATTTCCGCGTTAAGGAGCAGAAGAAGAGTCCACGTGCTGTCAGTGTCGAGCTCGGTATTGACATGAACCGCATTGCTGCCGTGGTGCGATTAGTCGAACTCGAGCGAAGGCAACGAGACAAGGTAAATTTTTCTTCCCCCCCCTCCCTGCTTCTTTTTGAATTTCACCTCCACCCCGACGCAAAATGATGAGACACCAAAAAATCGATTAGTCTTGAAGACACAGGCTTTGCTTGACTGGTTAAAACTCCCTTTTTACTGATACAATTGCTGTCATCCCACTTATTCTGGTTTACACTTGCATATTCTGGCTCGGTGACGTGGCTAACATATCTCGATCCATCAGGGTAAACCTTTAGCATTGCCATACGCTCGTGCTGTGCACGAAATGGTCCCCACTACTCCCCTCGCCCAGGCTGGCGAACGTCAACCCTACCACGAACCTATCAATGACCTCCCCGTCCACCCTCTCACCGGCGCCCAGATCTTCTATCCTGTCCCTGAATCGCGACCCTTCACCCGTGTCGACGCTGGCCGCGTATTCTCCGGTGCCCCAAAACTAGAGAAGAAGGTCAGCGACAAGATCACACATCCTTCGGACCTGGTGGATGATCTTGTTCAAAAGCCCGGCTCTATCGAGTGGGTTGGTAAGGGTGACAACGCCCGCCAGGTCCTGCAGCCAGCGGATGTGCGTATCCCTCACCCACAACTGGTTCAACTGGCTCGGGACCGCGCCGCGTTCCCCGAAGAGCGCCGCACCGTTACCCAGCGCCACACGGAGCGTCTGGAGCGCCAGGAGAAGGCCGAGAAGGAGCGTGCCGCTCGTGCCGCTGAGCGCCGTAACCGAAATACCGAGACGATTGACCCTAAGGATAGCCGCTTTAGCTTCCGCATCAAGGACGCCGTCGTCAGCGAAGAGACTGTTGGCAAGAATGGCCGCGCGCCATGGGCCCCTGGTCGCCGTTACGGTGTGCCGACTAATGACCGCACCCGTGGCACGGTCAAGATCCCTACTCGCGTGAATGTTTAGGTTCGATCTTGACTACTATGCTTATTTGCGTCTTGAATCTCCAAGGAGATCTTTGTAACTTGTACTTATACTGTATGGCGGTGTTTCTAGTCGACCGTGTATCTATACCAACACTACCAACCATATCATGGAATTTATTCATATTCATATCCATATTCTTTCATCTCTGCGTGTCCTAATTTGGTCTTCAAGTTTCCCCGAAATGGTATTATCAATAAGCAATGGTCAAAAACTCTTAGACGTCTTGAAACTCCCGCAATCAAGTCCCCCTCGACTTTGAAGTCCACTTCCAATGGAACTCATCAGTGAACCTCCCCAACGGAACGGCATCTCCCTCTGCCCTTTCGCACACCAACCCATCCAGCCAAAGCATCCGACTCGGGTTCGGAGCTCGGTTCTTGCGTGAAAAGGTCTCGAATTGAGATCATAAGGCTCTGAGCCCAGGAGGTTGTGTTGGTATTCGTAGCTGATGCCGCGGTGGTTGTGGTTGTGGTATCACCACCGGAGACGGCAGAGGACGGCTGCATGCTTGCCAGAGAAAATAAGGCGATATGTAGCGAGCTGAGAGGAGACTGTAGAGGAATACGAAACAGCCAACTGATCGAGAAATCTGCTTTCTTTGGGGGTAGCAGCGAGGGTGATAAATCGTTTTCAAAGAAGCGAAGGTATAGGTGGTACTAGTAGTCGATTTCAAGTTGAAGTTATTGAACCCAGACTGAAGTTGAAGAAGCACCTGGAACCAGAGATACGAAAGAGCGGGGAAGTGAATGTGAATGATCTGTAGAAGCAGAGGAGCCGAGCTCGTGATATTAAAATGGCTGCTCGTGCCGCATGAGACTTGCAGGCACTGGCATGCGGCGCGGCCTGAACAAAGCAACGAACAATCCGTACAATCAGCTCCACGCGCCACCCTTTTCGTTGGCCTACGGGTCCGGAAACGCTGTACTACTAAGAGCCATGCACACACGGGAAAAGCCAAGCAAGGAGATATATTACGCCAGGAAAAGGAAAATGAGAAGAGAGAATGAAAGGAGACTGTCGTTTTATTCCAAGGGTTGTATTCATCCTCTCTGACTTTAGTCAAGCCCCCAGGGTAGGACATGACAGACATTATTTGAAAGGTTAGATTTGGCATCGGGCAAGAGAGGCGAGTACAAGGCTGACCAAAAGGGCATATGACACAATCGCACATGAATGCCCCGCTTTCCCTCTTGTCTGATCTGGGAGATCTGTAAGACATATCACATCCAGGCCATGGCTGCTTTTTGCACGAGGCGGCCTTGGAAAGTATTAGTGTTCTATGCACTTTGAATATGATGATGGGAAGGTGTACAGAGGTAGAAGACTAGTTCATCGACTAGGCTGGGCCAAGTGTGGAGCAGAACGGAATGTTTTACAGTTCGGAGTATCCTGTCTGCTTTGACTTGCAAGGTTGGATCAACTGATGTGGACCGCGTGATTATCTGGCGATGATCTATTTGGCCAATAGAGAGGGGTTATTTCATATATGCCTTGGGGATATTGCAGGACTTATTGCTTTTTTGTTTGGCTGGAGTCACAGACTCGCAGCTGTGGCTGGAGATGCGGCGCATGGCTGGGACGATCTAGTTCATGCACCTACAAGATACTACTGAATACAAAGAGATCGAGGTTCGTAGATCTGACGCTAGGTAGTCTGTGGAGCTGAAGTAGAATACCGGACCAAAAAAAAAGTTGATAGGTACTTATTCAAGTGTGCCTACGGAGTAGAAAACTCGAATATACATAGTTCTAGATAGATTCCTAAGGATCGTCTCGGATTTGATACCGTGGATCCCGTAGAAATCATCTAGTAAGGTGTCTGCTGGTGGAAGTAGTTCATGATAAGCTTCACCTGCTCCGGCTTTGCGATAGGCACATTCCCGAAAGAGTTTCCAAGTTCCATGACCTTCTGCGTGCCCTTGGCACTGTTGGGGCTCCAACGTGCCAACGAACCCTTGCCGGTATACGAGCCACCCTGGTTAGGGTCCAGCGTCTTTGCGAAGTTGGCCCAGTATGCCGACATTTGCTCCTGGATCTCATAATCCTTCGCGGTGAAGGGGTAGGTATCGGTGTTGGCGTATAGCGCATTCAGGGCGTACATGATCTCTGACTGGTGGAATGCGCCCATGTTCTGGCCCGGAGGAGCGTGAGTCCAGTAGTAGGTATAGAAGTTGGAAGAGGCGGCCTTGTACCACTCGGTTGCGTAGGCCCAAGAGCCAATCAGTGAGGTATCGCGAGCGGCGGCATTCCAGGCTTGGTTGGCGATGGTTTGGTTGTTGTGCGATGGGTACAGGTGGAAGTATTGGCTGGAAAGATTGCCATACTTGAGGGTGCACCAAGACTCATATTCTTCGACGGTATAGTCATTTGTGGGGCTGGCACCGGATTCATCCTTTGTGTTACCAGTAATCACAGGGACGTCGTTGGCTGGTCCGTTGAGAAGGGTCTCGATGTACTTCTCAGGAAGGACGTAGCCGTCGAGAACGGGCTTGAAGATCAATGGATACCCTGCTGAGATAGCAGTCACCCACCATATAGACTCATTGCCGACACGATCCTGGGAACCGATCAGGAGGTCTTCCATGGAGAGAGTGCGCATCTCCGCAATGCTCGAGACGTTGTGAGCTTTGATGTAGCTCTTGCTATGCTCAATACCAGTGGACATGTTGACGTAGGAAGTAGCAAGACCGGCCAGCAGGGTATCGTAAGGATATCTGATTCCAGACTCAGATATGCCACCGTGGAAATAGCCCTTGAAAAGTGGACTGTTGACGGCATGGTAGACCTGCGATGAGCCGAAAGACTGCCCAGCAACGGTAACTCGGTCTGGATCACCTCCGAAACGAGCGATGTTCTTCTGCACCCATTTCAAAACTTCCAGCTGATCAAGGATACCGTAGTTACCGGAGGTTTGGTGCCCGGTAGCCTTGAATCCCTCAGCATTGAGCTCTGGGTGGGCAAGGTAACCAAAGGCATCGTCACGACGGTTGAATGTAATGAGAATCACATCCTTTAGTGCCATACCTCCACCATACCACCAGGTGTTGTTACTGGTCTCATCAGAGCCCTGATTCCAGACCATCACAGGCAGGTTTGCATCCTTGTTGGCAGCATTGGTCCAGATATTGAGGCTTAGGCAGTCCTCACTAATGTCAGAGGTACCCTGGCTCGGACAAGCAGGGCCAAAGCTTGTGGCCTTCAAGGTCTTGTTCCAGCGTTCACGAGGCTGAGGGGCCTTCCAGCGATTCTGGTATCCAGTATCAGCAGCGAAAGGAATACCCAAGAATGCGGTCACATTTGACTCTGAGATACCAAAGTATTTCTCAAGAGTCGACTGATTGAAATACTGATAACCCTCGACAGGTCCGTAGGATGTCTCAATGACTTTGTCCCATAACTGAGCTTGGGTGACTGCTGCACCTATCGCTAGGGAGAAAAGACCCTTGGTGGTAAAGGAAACCATTTGGATGGATTCACTTCAAGAATAAGTTTGAAGTGTGAAGGGTCTCTCTGCTGGAAGGGGAGAAAATGTGATGGCCAGAAGAACTGGCGATTTTCAAGTTAAATACCCGGGTCATGCACATGTAGGCCTGTTTCCAGGTGGCTCGACTCACGGAGTAAAGATCCCACAAATAGACCGATATTCATATCCCACGTTTGAAGGTACGCCATTGCCGAGCTCCCGAAGTTGCAAGACTGCGGATCAGGAGGTGTGGGGACTAGTTGGATGACGACTGTGGTCCATACTTCAAGTTTTAATTGAACTCACATTCAGGCTGTTATATGTAGGTTTGTAGCTAATGGATGCAATTTTTTCTGTTCGCCTTTCTTTACAGAGAATGCTTCTTCAATGATAGAATTGGTGAATTTGAAAGTAAGATTTACTGCGTCCATAAAAAACTAGCAACAAGGAGCAAAGTTGGCAACTTCATTGATACAGGAGCAATGGATAAGTACATACATACACAGCCCGAGAAAGAAGTGGAGATTCCTGAAGATCGGCTCCCAATTAGTATACTAAAACCGAGCTAAGAAGGGCCGCGTATGCTAAAGAGTCCTCGCATGGTTCTCGACTGTATCTCCGACAAGGTCGGCCTGTCATACCCGATGCAGAATCTCGGGCCGAGTCCATTCCCTGCAGGTACGCACATCTTCTCAGCATCTGGGGCTTGATTCGTATCCAGGGGTATGGGTATATTCAGAGTGTAGATCCCCGAGCTTCAGCCACTGCATAACTTAAATCCGATGGTTGTTTCGCAGTGCCAGAGTGAGTTAAGCACTGGCAGGGGAATGTGATTAGCGCTGATGCTGAAACCAAACCTTGGAAGGCAATCTGAATACGAGCAATTCTGCCAGTTTTTTGACGTTTTATAGTTAATGTTTCGGTTTTGAGATAATTAATTCATCTACTATTATTTGTTTTTTTGCCATTACTTTATATTGGTATGTATCTAATTGGCCATTTCATAATAGGATTGTTCTAAATCATTGATGAAATTCTATGAGTAATGCGATAAAACCAACCAGTGCCGAAACAGAACACCAATAGCCAGATCCGTTTTTTAATCCTTCAAGTTCAGTCAGATGCAATGAAAATCCGCAATGGGAGTGCCTTTAAGTTTATGAGGCCGTCTACTGCGCACCACCACGCCCACCGCGGCGCCCTCCCCGGCCACGACCACCTCCCCGGCCACCTCCACGACCGCCGCCATTTTGACCCTCACGCTTATTGATACCGCCTCTTTGGTCCCTGCGACCAGCCCCGGGGCTCAACGCATCGCGGCCGTTGCTCTTAGAACGTTCACGTGGGCGCGACCGGGAGGAATTGCCTCCTCGCAGATCAGCTCCGCTTGCATAGTTGAAGCCGGGGACACCCTTCAGGCCCATCTTGCCGACAACCTTCTTGTCCATTGGGGGAGGCTCGGGGCAGGCCATACCGTTGATAGCCAAGTCGTTTGCGAGTTGAACAAGGCCGGCTTTGTCGAGTCGAACTTGCTTCAGAAGACCGGATCCAGCGAAGAAGCCGATGTAAGAAGAGTAGGCGCGTTGTTTGATCTCCTCATCAACGGCATACATGGCGTGGGTGACACCATCAGCACACGCGAGAGCGTCCTGATTGATCTTGTCGGAGTCGGGGTGAGGCTTGATGGGTAGGTGGCGGTTCATTTTCATGAAGAAAGACTCGGCTTGAGTGAGGAGAATGATAGCGCGGCCGTCGTTGCCGGCGCGAGCTGTACGGCCGACACGGTGAACATATTGTTCGCCGTTCGATGGCAGGCCAACCTGAATGACTAGATCGACGTTGGGGAAGTCCATTCCACGGCCGATAACATCCGAGGCAAACATGATACCCGATTCCGCTTCCTTGAACTGGGCGGTGGTTCTTGTGCGTGCATTCTGATTAAGTCTGGAGTGAATCTCGAAGACCCTCAGAGGGGTCAGGCCCTGGGAGAAAACCCGGGCAAAAAGAGCAACCATGTTCGCAGTGACTCCGAAAACAATGATTTTTGAGCACTTCTTCATTTCGAGGTTCAGGAGAGCAGAAAGAGAGGTAAAAGTCTGCGCCACGCCGGGGATTAGAACGTGGTACTGGGGAACTCTCTCGTGGGTCGGTGTTTCGTTCTTCTCGATTGTTGAAATGTTGCTATATCCTTGCTTCAACACAATGCTGATCACGTCCTTGACCTTGGGAGGAACGGTGGCCGAGAAACACATGCCCTGCCAGCCGGTGCTCTTGTGAGGAATGAGCTGAAGAATTCGCTTCACATCGGCGATAAATCCAGTCTCAAGCATGGTGTCCGCTTCATCCAGAACCAGAGTTTGGATGTTGGCCATCTTCTCAGCAGTGGACTCGTCAGAAAGATAATCCTTGAGCCGTCCAGGGGTCGCCACCAGAACGGATGGGGCGCCCTTCATGAAGCGGGAATGGGCCGATGCACGAGCAGTACCACCAACTGCGATGTGGCACTCCAGCGGCTTTGCGAGTTGTGATGTGAGTTGATCGCATGATTTGGCAATTTGCTGAGCAAGCTCTCTAGTCGGGGTGATGATCAAGATAGCGACCTGTCCCCTTGGCACGGAGTTGCCTTGGAGAAGACAGTGCAAAGCTGGTAGCAGAAAAGCGAGGGTTTTGCCAGTTCCAGTCTTGGCCTGCACGAGACAATCACTGCGCCAATTGGGAAGTTCGGTCAAAACACGACGTTGGACGGGCGTCATGGTTGTGAAGCCCATCACGTCCAGAGCCTGCAGGAGCTTGGAATCCAGCTTCCCAGCCATAGATGAATATGGCTGAGCGCCATCTTCGATTTTGAGACCTTCCATAATGAATGTGCTTTTGTGTTTTCACGTTGAAGGAGGGCGAGTTCACCTCACTGTTGGAGGAAAATTCAAACACGTGACCTGGTCCCTGGCAAAAAGTTTTTTTTTTTCATTTCAAATTTTTTTTTTTCATTTGTCATCGAAACTTTTTCATAGATAAGAAACAGATAATATTCAATTTAAATTAAAATAGCTTTGAATAGCAATTTGATATCATTGATTGTAGACAATTGTGTCGTTTTATTATTATTCGCCTTCAACAGAGATTTGTTGCCAAGCAATCAACTCAAAATAAACGCTTAGTCAGTCATAATCTCATTAGTCGATGGATCCACTATTTCGAATATTCCAATACTATTGGCTGTTTTTAATGAAACTGCATGCCTTATTTTTTCCTCGCAGATTTTGTTGAACTTGTGAGCTCAGTACATTCAGCTATAGAAAGATATTTGAAGTGAAATTATATTTGAGTTCATCAATTTGAACGATCATATCTCTGATTTTGCGGGTGGAACGCTTTACGTGTAGCGAGCGGTATTGTAGATACTTGCCAATGGACATATAGAGGAGGGCTTATCCTTCAATTATCTAGATTTTATTAATAGGACACTCATACGGAAGCTCTTTGGACCTTACAGAATAATCTCTTGGCAGTATACCTAGTATTTGAAGATCTCACCATGATTTGTCTACATGTCGCGCTCTCTGGATACCTTAGGTAGGCGGGACCTGTCAGTGGGACCTATGCGGGACATCGGCGGGACCTCGGCGGGACCCTTGTTTACTAGTGCCTAGATACAGAGTAGGCCAGTTGCAGTAATGAATCGAAATTACATTGCCCCAGGGACTTGTTAATTCTTAGCTTCTTTTAATTGAGCTGATTTCCCCAAATTTTGATGCAAGACTCGGACTCTTGAGGTCTTCAAACCTTTATGACCTAATTTCACTCGAATTGGAATATGATTTCGAAAGAACACATTCCTTTCAGCTCGTCAGAGATGAACTGTTGGCAACCTCAGATTGCCCAATGTTGAAACCTGATTTTGGTTTGCTAGGAATGTCAATCCGAGCAAGCGCGATGTTCTTCTTGGTTGAGGTACTCCAAGCCCTTCGTCCAGACATAAAATAGTCATCGATCTGCTCCAGTGTCAAGCGAGATGTTTCAGGAACGAAGAAAAACACCAAAATCACAAATACAACAGTCACTCCGAAATAAAAATAGCCAACATTAGCACCCATATTTCCATATGCAGGATTCAACATGTATGGAGTCCAGAAAGAGGCACCAAAGGCGAAGATATTATAGATAAAAGTTGTGTTCGCTTGGCCATAGGTCCGAAGCCTAATGCTGTGCATTTCCGCCGAGGAGAGCCACACACTAGAACCGATGAACCCGCCGAATATAAAGGCCCAAATGCAAAGAAATGCGACCACAACGTTCTGGGCAGTCGGATCATCTGCTCCAAGGGCTGTGCTCACGGAGGAAAAGATGAGCATGGAAATAGCCATGAGACCGTACCCAGCAAGCAAAGCAAATCTTCTCCCTCCATAATCAAGGACAAATGGTCCAATGAAAGCTCCGCCAAAGATGCATAACGCGACGATGACATTGATCAAGTATGGATTCTCGATTCCAACACCCTCGAGGAAGAAGGCTGCGTAAGGGGCGACAAATTGGATACCTGTCAATGGAAGACTAACAAGTACCAAGACAGAAATTGCAGTTCGACGTAGGTTTGTTCCACGATAAATTTCCGACCATGAAGCTGATTTTTCGTTTATTTTTTCGATCTCTAAGTGCCGTAGCACTTCATCCACTTGCCTGGTCACTTCAACTGAGTTTGGATCCCGAGATTGAAATGCAGCAAAGGAGAATCGAGCCGATTCTTCTTTGCCTTTGAGGAGTAGCCAACGCGGTGATTCGGGAAACATAAACATGCCTAAGGCAAGACTCAAGGCAATAGGAATTTGACAGGCAATTGGTGTTTTCCACTGCCAGTCATTATTCGGGTCGAGTTTCGCTGAGCCAGCGCATACTGCTGATACAGTAACATTACCCATGGCGAGTCCAAGGTTATAGATGCCGAGCAGGAGGCCGCGTTTGCTTGCTAAGACACATTCCGAGCCATAGATGAGACTCGAAGCATATAGTTGCCCAATGCCAATACCACCAATGCATTTGCAAACAATATAACTGGAGAAACTGCCGGATGTACCGAGCATGCCAGCAGCTCCGACCAAATTAAAGACACAGGCAATTTGCATTGTTGTTCTCCGGCCAATCCTCGAGCCACAAACGCCAGAAATCACACTTCCAACACACATGAACAATAAGCTAACATTGATAAGGGATTGTTGCAGAGTGCTTAGATTGCATTTTTCGATAGGGTCTCCAGTATTTGGATCAACAGTTACCACGCAATGGCCAAATGACTTCTGAAAAGAAGGCATGATAAGCACAGTACCGGCGAAGCCATTGTCGAAACTCCCAATCCATGCTGCCCAAGAGACCCAAATTGAGAGGAGAATCATCTTCAACGTAACCTTTTGAGACTCCGCATCTTCAGAACAAGGGATAGCGGGAGTCCTAGAATCAAGTCGCTCGCGAGGGCCATCTTCACCTGTCATTTTGCTTGCCATATGAAGAGAGTCTGAGAGCCTAGCCACTGCAGCTGGAGAGGCAGAATAGCTCTATTCCGCTAAGTTGAGTCTGCGCTCAGATATCGGTCCAGTAGAAGGGGATCTGTTGGGGAAATTCCACCGGAATCTGAGATCTGCGATCGTCGGTTGCCTTGGAATTCGGAGTGGCGTTGCGTTGCATTGCTTTTTCTCGGCGCCGGATCGGGTAAGAAACCAAGCAAGGGCTTTTATCATTGATAAAGACCATATGCCTGAGACTATTGCCCAAAGATGCGAGAACTTGCAGCAAGATACCGTTTCAACATGCGTTGGCCTCTCTGAAAGGTCGCTATAAGCCCCTGGAAGCTTGCATGATGTGAGCAGCAAAGATCATTTACAAGGGATGTGCTGCACAACGAAAGCGTTCGCGGCTCAAATAGCAAAGATGGTACGCATTGCTAGGCCTCAGCTTTGAACAGAAATAAAGCTCTGCCTTGGGAGAAACAATTTGATACCATTATCACCAAAGCCAAGCACGTCGCTTACCGCTTATTTTGATCCCGCGGTAGTTGGGTAGGACAGTCCCTTTATTCATAACCAGCCCTGGAGCTTCTAGCGAATAATCAATGCTACTGAATGAAGCCTAGCCCATGATTTTGTCGATTATCTTCATTGGCAAAATAGCATTGATAGGAAATAAAAATGTAGGTTCGCAGGCGGCGGGACCGTGGTAGATGTTGTGGAGATATTTACCAGTCGGTCGGAAAAGTACGAGTATGCTTTCCCCGCAATTTATCACCCTGTGGGACCGATTCCAGAGGCTTTAAAATGCTCTTAGCTTCGCAGGAGTTAGATTGTAAAAACATTTTCGGCCTACTCGCTTATACAATACTAAGCATATGAGAGTATGGCCCCACAGTAAGAACCATCAGAAGACAAATATTCAAATATTGTGACCTACTCGCCCGACACCAATTCGCCTTACAACTCGAAGAGATCAAATCCTGTTTTTTGAGATACAAGATGTCACATAATAAGGAACCGATAAACGATGATACCGTTCCGGGCACGGAGATTATGTGTGACTGGGAAGAAACTCGTCACAGGGGGGCTAATATTGCGTGAGTAGTGACCTAACCTCCTTGATAGCACTTGCTGAAACAAAAAAGGTTAATCCCGCAACCTTCAAATGACCCAAGCGATCCATTGAATTGGTCAAAAACATGGAAGTGTGAGATACTCAAGGATATATTGGAAATTTCAAGGATGCTGACTGAAAGACGTGCAGATGTGGTAATCACCACCCAATTTCTATTCCTGTTTGTCTCCGTTGAATCAGCTCTTTCAATGGGTCCAATGTTCCCGTTATTTGCGGCCGAGTTTCATCTTAATGATACACAACTAAGCCTTCTGTCGGGCGCCTGTGTGCTAGCCCTCGGCTACTCGAATTTCATCATCGTTCCTTTCTCGAACATATGTGGACGACGTCTGACAAGTTTGGTATTCTGTGCTTTGGGAATAGCATCGTGTATCTGGCAGGCCCTTGCGACCTCCCATTCAAGTTTACTTGCAGCTCGTGTGGTCAATGGTGTCGCCACTGCAACAAGTGAAACTATATTGGTTCAGATCATTGCCGATATGCTCTTTCTACACGAGCGAGGGTTGTGGACTGGTGTATATTTGTGAGTTGCCCAAATACTCTATGCGATATCATGAAGGTTGTTTAAGTTGAGAACTAACATACTGTCCGAGTCTAGCACTGGATATTTTATGGGGTTGTTTATCGGGCCCATTATTGCCGGAAATATCGCAGAAAGGTATGCGACCCATTTGATGCGACTTGTATATCATATGTTCAAGTTAGGTAGTACCTAATAGTATTGACACAAATGGTGGTTTATTTAGATTTGGCTGGCGAAGCTTTTTCTGGCTTTCTTTGGCCATGTCCTGTTTCAATTTTCTGACGCTGCTCTGCTTTTGCCCAGAAACCAAATTCCGCACGCGAAATATTGACGAGACTAGGGATTTGGAGCTTGATCAAACTCAACCTTCAAATTCATCTAACAAGGATACAACGAGACATTTAGAGAGCCTTGAGAACCCCCTGACGATGGTGGGCATTGGTCGGCCTTCCAAGTCTCAGTTCCAGTTGTGGCAAGGACTAGAGAAAGACTGGAAGCAGCTCCTCGTCCGAGACATTCTCTCACCTTTCAAATTCTTCTTTTTTCCAATAATATTTTGGGCGGGCCTGAATGTTGCAGGGCCTGCCAATCTTCTGCTTTTCTGGAACCTGACAGAGTCTGCATTCTTCAGTGCCCCGCCATATAACTTCACTCCGGCAGGGGTTGGCTACACGAACTTTGCGTTCGTCATCGGGGGTCTTATTGGGCTTGCTACTGCAGGGCCATTCTCTGACTGGGTAGCCATGAAGGCCACAAGGCGCAACAATGGCATTCGCGAGGCAGAAATGCGGCTACCGGCCCTGATACCATACTTTATCACGACTGTTATTGGCATTGTCATTGGTGGTCTCGGATATCAAAATTTGTGGGAATGGCCCATAATATTGGTAGTCGGTTTCGGATTGAGTGGCCTCTGCGTTACAGCAGTGCCGACTATTGTGACTGCTTATGCTGTTGACTGCTACAAGCCTATATCAGGTGAGATTATGGTCGTTGCCACTGTGATTAAAAATACCTGTGGGTTTGTGATGAGCTATTGGGTTTCTACATTGGCGGAAAAGAAGGGATTCATTACGCCCACAATGGTTGAATTTGCCTTGACGATTGGACCGATGCTATTGGGCATCCCCATCTATTTCTTTGGCAAGAAACTTCGAAAAATGAGTCGAAATTCGTTTGGAAACTCAGAGCTTGAAGGCGAATGATTATTAAGGGTAAATATGATGGAATTGGAGTAGCGTGTCGCCACTATGGCAACTTGCTCCAGGCCTTGGGCTCTTATAGTGTACTACAGCATCATACACATGTACAATCCACCAATATCACCCATTTTTAGCCTCCGATCCGCTGATGAAGCAAAATAATTACTAGCTTATTGAACCATTTCTCGATAAAAGATTAGAATACCCCGGATTTACCGATCTCTGGGTCTTGAATCGTTCCTCAGGTTCGTATTTAGCGGATGTGGGACCTGGGGTAAAAAATGCGGGGTCTCCTGGAGGTCCCGCTGATTTGAGAATTTGTCATTTTCACCTCTCGCAGCGCCACTATCGTCGCCTTGAGGATTCTTTTGATCTCAATTAGCAATGCCAAAGATCCGGGCTCGAACTAAACGACAGCGGATCTGCCCCTGGTGCTCGTTGTCATTTTCGAAAGAAGAGCATCTTTCGCGGCACATCCGCTCGCACACTAAAGAAAAGCCTTTCAATTGCTCTTCCTGTGGCAAATCCTTCTCTCGCCAGTAAGATTGACCTGCGCAAAGATAATGCACGTTTACTCTACTTATGCTATTGTAGTGATTCACTTTTGCGACACATGAGAGCCCATGATGTATCAAGCAAAGAAGCCGAGACATTCGGGCCAGTAATGCCATCTCTAAATACACCAACAGTCACCGATCATAGCAGTGTCCCCTCAGTTTCTTTAGAAACTCATATTGATCAATTCTCTCAATTACATACTCGTGATACAACGTCAACCAATATATTGCCGCCGAGTCATCCGAGTCATGATTCGGCCTTTCACGCGCCGACCGGTTTACTAATACCAAATGGACTTTTTGACCATATTGAGGACAGCAGTTTAGACTTTGACAATTTTTTACAGGCCCCTGTGTGGCTAGCCGACGAACATTTTGACCTCGATGCTTTAAATTCGTCCGTTATGGAAACCACTCTAGGACTGTTCTCTCCCACCCATACCACGAACGAGAGCAATGCCGATACAACACTCCAGATACCAATGGAGACATCTCAATGGCATCATAAGGAAGATCAAGTGCGCCAGTATTGGTTTAATTATATCGGAACACATAGCAATGGGTATGTGACCCCAGAAACCGCCACAGATCATGTGGAACTGGATGAAAAATACCGGCAAAATCTATCTCAACGGCTTCAGCAGCGGGTTCCAACGGAGCCATTGCCATCAACCGAGTTTTTGGTGAGTTTTTGGACTTCAATTGTCATGGCATCTTTTGGGGACTCAAGTGCAAAAGTGGTGATCTGACCTTGTTCACAGAATCTTTGCATTCAGTTGTTCTTCACTCGTTTTAACCCAGTCTTTCCAATTGTCCATGCCCCTACATTTCGACCGTCGGCCAAAAGCTCTCTTCTTCTTTTATCAATATGCTCAATTGGCAGCCTTTTCGTTGGCTCAAATTATGCAGTGACCCAAGGGTCAATAATCTTCGAAAGACTCAACAAAGCCATCTTATCATCAGTAAGTTAGAGGTCACCTACCTTTGCTTTCAAGCGATATAATGGGCGGAAAGTTAACTCTATCCAGTGGGAGAAGTATCTTCTTGGCGGTAAAGCGGAGGCACTCGCAATGACCCAGGCGTCTCTTATCGGTCAAACTTTTGCGATGCTATCGGGGGTGAGTCTTCATTTGTTCAGGTAAAGAGGTTCTAAACTGATTCCAAGGTTTAAATAGAAACCGAGAGATCTCCTCACCCTGCAGACCTTCCATGGCACAGTCACAACGGTGAGTAATCAAATAGTATATCATCTGAGACCTAACTTAATATTAAATAAGTGGGCTCGCCTTCATAAAATGTTCGAAACCAAGAGGCCAGCCGACCACCTGCGCACATTCCTCGATACGCGGACCCCAGAGGAAGCATGGAGAACGTGGGTTCAAGCTGAGGAGCGGAGCCGGTCAGAAAACCGATTTCTCCATTTTTGATCTGAAAATACTGATTTAATTATCATTGGATAGGGTTGCAGCGGGTCTTCACATTCTAGACACCGAGATCTCCGAGCTTATTTTAACGCACCCTCTTATGCGACACGATAAATCTTTGCTCCCATTGACTGCACGTCAGGAGCTCTGGGTAGCTCCAAACGCAACCCAATGGAGGGATATCATGATCAGCAGAGCTCCCCCGGAACTTCCTAGCGAAAATATCCAACTCGACTTTAACTCCACCGACGGCTTTCATAGTTACACCGAGTTGGAGGGCATCAATGCTCGATTGATGGAGCAGAAATTTACGAGTACTGCTTCTAACCAAGAGCTTGTGGAGCAGTTTGAACCTCAACTAATCCATTTTCTCGACCGACATTTCCGCTCCAAGTCCGAAGGGAATTTTGATCCCTTCTGCTTGGAAGTGTTGTGGCACTCGGTCTTTATATCGCTTTTAGTGGATATCTCCCGGTTGGAGTTGGCAATTGGCAGAGAAGGATATGAGGAATCACTTCTCCATCGCGATTATGTGCACACGTGGTCTTCTTCTCAAGAAGCTCGTCGCTGTGCTCTACACGGAGCATTGATTCTTCGAAAATTGCAAAACATGCCACTAGGGGTGGAGCCAGCAATTCATGTGCCCAGGGCACTTTATCGAGCAGCGACCGTTTGGTATGCATATACCGAATTCGGAAGGGATCCAGACACTAGCTTCTCGGAAATTCCGCCTAGTCCCGACATAAATTTCCCCGAGCTGTCTTTTTTGAAACTCAATAGCGAGGTCCTGCTTTTTGAGGCCAACGGCTATCGGACATCTAAGCCGAAAACGTCAGAATCGAGCACATTGTGTGGATTGGTGGACCTTCTCCACCGAATTGGCCACTGGGGATTATCAAGGATATTCGCGGAGCAGTTGAGCTTTTTGCTAAAAGAAAAAGATAGTTGAAAAACATGAGATGAAGGTCCTGTGCTATATAGTTTTATTAGGTGTTTCAATATATACGGAGTACTCCTAGCCCCTTTTCGACAAACCTTTATGTTATACGAATTTTCTAAAAAATGAGTAATTGTGCACAGACCACAAAGTTCTTGTTTTTCAGACATCAAACGCTCCCGTTTGTCATGACTTTTGATGCCTGAAATACCGGGCTTGATGGCACGTCACAATCAAGGGGGCTTGTGGTTTTCAAGGTTAAAGATTTTGGGAAGGTTGCTTCTCAGCAGTGCTTCGCGTCTCGAATAAATCTCCGGTCATAACACGCTGCCCGGCTGCCCGACTGCCCGTTTCCATTTCTCGGAGAAAAGATCATCACGATCACCGACGGATCGATCGGATCACAGGCAAGAGAGACCTCGGGTGCCTCAACCTGGGCATTCCAACTAGCGGTAACAGGTTTCCAGAGGTTCGGGAGGGTGCTGTCACCGTGCTGTCAAGTTTCAGTACCACTTGTCAAAGAGTTGCCCCATCGCACCTCTCACTGGCCAAACACACAAAGCCATCATCAAAGGTTCCAGACGGTGGATAGTTTCTGTAATAGCCAAAGCTACCCGGCAATAGTTCACAACCTGCTTACCAGTCAACGGACTCGCTACCAATTTTGGATGACCGACCCGCGTTGTTGTGGATTTGATACCCACATCTCTCACCATATTAGGCTTAAGGGCGGAGTCTAGGTTCACTCTTAATGTTCCCTCTGGCTCAGCATCCCTGCTTCTGTGTTCGAAGGATTCCTTGCTGCAGGCTTGGATCCGAATAGGTGGTGAAGCTGTCCCAGCAGGCCAGAAACCCCCGCATGCACACTTGCTGTCGAAATCATAACCAAGCAGGCGGAACTCATGCGGGCTGTTTGTCCCGCTCGCATATCGTCGACCTCTGGTAGCAATTCGCCTAGGACCTTCCGTGGCTTTTCTGTGATGCGCTAGAGGTGCGCTAAGATCGCCCCTGACGCGCCGAAGGCTCTCGATCACCGGCTGATTGTCGCCTCCCAGGTTCCGTGCCCGCCTCGCGGGACCTGTGATTCTTAAAAATCGGTCTTTCCCCACACAATTGTCTTCCTGTCAGAATTAAGTCGCGTCGGTCACCACAACGATGAGGGAAGATGAGCACCAAAGGGTGCTGGCAGTCAGGACGGTCGCGGCTGTCTTTTTACCGATCGCATTCATAACTGTCATGCTACGCTGCTATGTGCGTGGATGGGTGGTGAAGGGATTTGGGTGGGATGACGGAACCATGGTGCTTGCGATGGTAATGTGGCTCTTCTACCTGATATTGGACTAGCGATTGAAGATCCCGGACTAATTGAAGTAGGCTTTCTATATCATGTTCTGTGCGAGCATGATCGGAGGCACTTTGTTCGGTACTGGACAACTGTATACTAGCGAAAGCGCGGAGCATCGAGTTATTGCTATGAGGGTAAGATTTTCTCAGGCGTTCACCAACTAGGCGCGAGATTTCCTGACGAATTACATAGTATTGGTGGCTCTGCGAAATTGCCTACTGCTTTGCTTCGATTTTCTGCAAAATCTCGGTGTGCGTTTTCCTCATGCGAATCACGGTCAAAAGACATCATATCTGGACGCTGTATATCGTGATGGTGCTCACGGTACTTGCCGGCCTCGTCTTCATGTTTTTGATGCTGCTGCAATGCAAGCCGCTCAACTATTTCTGGACTCGCTTGGCATTTGATCCTTCTATTGAGGGCCACTGCATTAGCATCAATATCGTCATTACCATGACTTATATCTACAGTGTGTTCGCTGCGCTGTGTGACTTCACTGTTGGAATTTTGCCAATATTTCTCGTGAGGAAACTGCATATGAAGCGCGAGGCGAAATATGCCGTCGTCGGAATTCTCAGCATGGCTTGCATGTGTGTTATTACCACCTTCCGCATTTATCTTTCGGTCAACATAATTAACTGTTTTTAGTGCTTCATCTGCCGTGATTATTCGATTCCCGTTCGTTAAGACTTTTGGCGATTACGAATTCCTTTGTAAGTAAACTGCGCCAGCGGATTCCGAAGCCTGCAAGCCTAGCTGCTAACACACTTTAGACTCTACCTACCAAATCGCGATTTGGTCAAATATCGAGGCCGGTCTGGGAATCACAGCTGGAAGCCTCGCAACCCTTCGGCCATTGCTTCGAAAAATGATGGGCTCTCACTCCGACCCAGAGTATTCATCTGGTTTCCCAAGAATATCGGGCTCACGTCGAGTTGGAGCTAGTGGACAACGGCCAGTGCCATTGGGCTCTCTTGATGGAAATGGGAGAAATAAACTGAGACCGGATAAGCTGGCTGTGGTGGTCACAGATATCCAGAGCCAAAGAGATGTAGGAAATTCGTGGCCGGAGCCTTCTAGTCCCAGTAGCAGCGAGGACAGGCTGACTACAGATAAGGCGACGGCGGGGAAAATAGAGGTTGGTGTTCATCGCACATTCGAGCTCACCACAACTGCGGATACTACCAGTAGTACCGATGATGGAGAGGGATCACACCGAATGGCGAAGGAACACATCTAATAAAAAGCACCCTACTATGTATAACACAACACTATTTATGAAGTTCTACGACACGAATAATTAATTCTCTCTCTGTGCAGCTCGGGAACATGAACATTCATTTCCCATACATCGCAAACATATTATTTGCTGACGCCTTTGATCATGATGCCCAGGTGTCGAGTTAGCCCCCAATGCCAAGTCGTCAGATCGGAGTAATAACTGGTAGTGCCATCTCCACACCTTGGTGACTTGGACCCCTCGTTCCGACTCTGGAAACGAACCATCTCCACTTTAATATATGACTATTGACCCCTCTCTCTCTTAGGAGAAGAATGGATGCGAGCCAGAAACCTTGGAAATATGTGCTTGGGAAGTGACACTAAACTTAAAGTATCAACGTAACTTGAAAACTTGAAGGCACGTCATAGATATTACTAACATACAGAGTATATCACAGTCTATTGCGACAAGTATCTCGCTCTTCGCGCTTACCCAGGTATTATTGAAGCCATACTGCCTACTTGCAAAATTTGCTGATTTTTGAGCCATCTACAGAGGACATCGAGATTTCTCAAGGTCATGCTTCAACATTGATAACACGCCCAATAATATCCTGAATTCTTAGTGGGGGTCAAGGTGAAGCATGAGAAGTGAATTCAATACGCCTTCTTTTTGACAACCAGTACCACTCCATCAATGGTTCCCTTTATGGTCTCCTTGCCCTTTTCCACACCCTGCTTGTTCAAATGGTTCTCGATGGCCCTTCGGAACATCTTCACCACATCCTTTTCAGTACCAACAGCAGCAGGGTGGGCCTGTCGCCAGCGAGTCACTGGACTCGCAGTCTCCCATATTTTCTCACACGTGTCCATATCCAATTCTTGCTGAAAAGAATAAAAGCTCTCTGCCACATCCCAGTCCTTGCGAAGAAAAGTGCTCTCATCAAATTCAGGGACTGGCTTTTCCAATGTCCATGGAAGTGGCAGGTCGATATACCGAGACCGAGTAAGTAAATTGCCTGGTTCGAAGAAAGGTCTCAAATGCTTCTCTTCAATTTCATCCAAAGTGTTCTGCAGAGAATCGGCACCTGGGACTGATGGATGAATACGACTCCTGCCACCTGCCCACAGCGCGACACTGCCCCCAGGCTTTAGTACTCGAGCAGCACTATGCCAAAATCGAGCCATGTCAAACCAGTGGGCAGCGTTTGCAGCGGTGATGAGGTCCACGCTGGCATCCTGGATAGGCTGTTGAAGGTTTCTCCCGAGATCTTCGGCCGTAGAGACCTCATATCGAATATTTTCGGAGATGGAGGTTCTACCACCTAGTGAAAGAGCAGCGGCTATCATACCCTCTGAAGGATCTAGGCCGATGGCGTGATTGAAGTGTGGGCTGAATCTTCGGGCGACATTCCCTGGTCCACAACCAATGTCAATAATAGTATCAAGCAGACCACCACTGTCTCTATGATGATGAAGAATGGTCTCATAGATAATTGGATGGTAATCAGGGCGGGCTTGGGCATAATCATTGCCTTGTTTCTGTCCATAAGAAGTGAATGTTTTCTCGGCTGGGTGGGTGATAGTGGATGAAGACATGGCGATCAATTTGAAATTTCGACTCTTTCCTCACAGGAATTGCACAACAAGATTAGATGTATCCAGAGAGACGACCGCTGATAGGGTTGAAGTAGACTGGAAACAAAATAGACACCTATGATGCCTAGAGCGCCCGCCCCGCATAAGCAGGATTACGTGGTCGTCTCGGAGTTATCAAACCCAAATACCGGAACCTGATCGTTGAGACGTGGTGGAGAACAGCGTTGACAAGTAAGTCTCCGATAGGCACAGAAGCTGGAGTCAAAGCTCCACGGAAATACCATTCTATATTCCTGTAGCCTCCAGTTCGAAATACAGTCAAGTTAGTATCGGCGGGCTGCCAGTCAGGGTGTGTTTCAAGTTTCCGACGGTTGTCGGCTCGAGAGAGGTCATTGATTGCAAACGCGTTCCAGCCTCCAAATACGAACAGATTGCTAGCCTTCCTCTATTACCGACATAAGACAGATTGTTGTGTAATTTTTCTCTTTGTAAACCATAGAAAAAAAAATCCTCACTGGCCAGATTACGATGGTGAAATCGGCCACACGGGCGGCAGAGAAATGCGCACCGGGCATCTCCGTCTCTGATTGGCAATGCCAGGCGGTATATTGAGTAATTTTGAGACAACCCCATAAGACAACTCCTCTATAAATATGTGAGAAGCGAACCCCTCGTGTCTGTAACATAATGGCGACATCAACATACCCTAAAAGGAGGAAGTGCACATAGTGAAAACCCCGTTGGACAGTCGACTGCGGGCCAACGCTTTCTAAATCTTGAGGAGGTAGAATATTCTGTATGCAATTTTGCAATATTCCATGCTGGCCATTTTTTGGAATACGAGATAAGGTAGAGCTGCTTGGAGAAACCGATCTGAGGAGTTAATGAGAATTAGTTTAGTCTTGGATACAATACGAAGAGGTGCTAGTGGTTAACCGAGATCACCCCACTTTGAAGACCATCCTGATATCCTAGTATCTGCCTATTTCTGAATCCCGTGCCATTTAGTAAACTGCGGGATTTAGCCAATACTTCTGCTCTCCCACACTTTACATTTTCATCATTCTATGACCATTGTCATAATATGCTGGCCATTTAGATCTCATAGTTGACGTTTCTGGAGCAAGACCCTAGCCGGCGATCAAACGAGAAAACCCCCGCTTACCCCCACTTCTAGCCGAGGCAAACGTCGCGATTTGTTGTATTGCGAGGATGTAACATTCGGCTCAAGCGGATTGATTCGATAAGACGCAATTATTTGCCGATCAGACTTACCCCTCAGAGTCCGTATTTGGAAATAATACATATATTCGACAGGGCCCGTCAACTTTGAGGGCTAATTCCACAACATCCATAGTGCAGTTTTACATAGCCTCAACTTGAAGCTACTACCACCCGCTCAACCCCAAACCTCCAGGGCTTGGAAATAATTTCAGCATGGCGTCTGTCGATACGAATATCCCATGGCAAGAAAGAGTGGTCAAAAAGCAACAGGAAAATTTTGAAAAGATTCCGTCAACATGGAGAATTCCCAATGCTTTCTGGGACAACTTCCAAACACCTTTAGCAGAACACAAAGTCGATCTAGTCCAAGAACAAGCCATTCGCAAGTCTGGAATTCTCACAGACCGTGAACTCGAAATCACTGAGAACTATACAGTTTCTAGTCTTCTTTCTGCCTTGGCAAGTGGGCAGTTGACTTCTGCAGAGGTGACACTGGCTTATTGCAAGCGTGCTGCAGTTGCCCAACAGTTGGTGAGTGATTTGCTTAAGTATCGTGTTTTCATGGCAGGTTCTAATCCCATCGGCTAGGTTAATTGTCTCACAAACACTATGTTTGACGAAGCACGGGAAAGAGCGGAACACCTGGACCGTTTGCGAGCCCAGGGTCAACTGGCTGGCCCACTTCACGGTCTCCCGATTAGCATCAAGGACAATTTCCATCACAAAGGTACTGAATCTACCATTGGGATGCTATCGTTCATGGGTGAAATTTCACCAGAAAGCTCGCCTCTTGTACAAATTTTGCTAAAGCTTGGAGCGGTGATCTATGTGAAAACCAATGTGCCTCAAACCATGATGGTAAGCAGTCATATAGCAGGTTATCTGATTTTAAGAACCTAATACGATCAATCAGACGACCGACTCTCACAATAATGTTTTCGGGCGCACCCTCAACCCAAGAAATACTCAATTGGGTCCTGGTGGTTCAAGTGGCGGCGAAGGGGCTTTGATAGCCTTGAGGGGCTCGCCATTGGGTGTTGGAACTGATATTGGTGGTAGGTTTTCTTCCGGGTAGAGGCCTGCTGAGCAGTGCTAATAATAAGCTCAAAGGATCTGTCCGCATCCCAGCCCTATGCTGTGGAACATATGGATTCCGACCCAGCGCTGCAAGGATTCCGAACGGAGGAATGCGAGTTTGCACTACCAGTGGAATGAAGTTTGTCCTGTCTTGTGCGGGTCCACTTTCTTTGGATCTAGATGGCATAGAGACATTCTTCAAGACACTTTTTGAGGCCCGCCCCGCCCTTTACGATTCCACTATCTTGGACATTCCATGGAGACAGGTTTCCACAAAGCAAAAGCTAAGAATCGGAGTTGTTCCCGAAAGCCCTAACTTTCCTCTACATCCCCCTGTCAAAAGGGCACTAGCAGATGCAACCCGCATACTAAAGGCACAGGGCCACACGATCATTCCATTAAATTCGGCGGAATGTCGGGTCATGGAGGCTACCGAGATCGCTTTCGGCACCTTCGCTCTTGACCCAGGGGCAAGAAACCACCTTGAATCATCCGGAGATCCCCCCGGTGCCAGCCTTGCTCCACCTTGGTCAACAGGGGGAGAAGCTTAAACAACATGCCGGGTCTTCTCTGCCGGATAGGAGTGCATTGGATAGAATGGGCCAATTGGCTGCACTAAACACCCATAAAGCAGAAATACGCGAGGAGTATAGGAAATTGTGGCTTGCAAATGACCTTGATGTTTGTATCGCACCTCCTGCCCAGAGTACTGCTGTTCAGCACGACACTTTTGGATTGCCTCCATACACGGCATTTTTGAACACTCTTGATGTAAGTTTTATCTGCCCAGGTGCCGCGACTGATTCGGGGATATTTCTAACAACTATTCTCCGAATCGTTCTAGTTCCCGTCGTGCATTCTTCCCTTTGGGCACGTGGGTGCAGAAGATGCAGCTGGGACTTATGAGCTAAAGGAGCACCAAGTTGGTCCGGAATGTGGGTGAAACCTGTCTTTAGACCTTTTTGGAAACTTTTACTAATAGATATGTATAGACAACTTTGAAGTGCTCAATGGTGCACCATGCTCTATTCAACTGTTTACTCTCAACATGCGTGACGAAGAATGCTTGCAGATAGCGAAGCAACTTGATCAAGATCTCAAAGGTAGGGCTTGAATTGCAATTAAATTGGACTCATGGCATGTAGGGACTCCTACATCCAAGAAGCATCGCTTTAAATTTGGGTGGATTTCTACTAGTATTAGTGGACTAGAATACAAGCTTTTCAAGTTGAAATTATTCAAATATCATCATTATCATTTTCATTTTTCATCATTAGACAATCATCACAGATATCTTAGCCCTCTAATCCCCTTAGTTTGATGCCATTAGCCATTACACCGGAATATTTCAAAGATAGTACAAATTGAGCAGCCTCACACAGGGGTTTCTGAGACTGTGAGACCAGCTTTTAGCTTCTCTTCCATCAACAATTCGTTGGGTTGGCGTTTAGGCAGTTCTTTAGCCCGCTTGACAACATCCAGCACGCCGCTGGAGATGGTAAAGATCTCGTCAATTTCCTCAAGCTCTCGTCCCGAAGTCTCGGGGAACAGATAATAGACAATTGGCACAATTGATGCGTTGAATGCCGCAAATATAAAGAAGTATTTCTGCCCCATGCTATTGAATGCGATCGGGGTAACATTGGCGATTAAAATGCTGAAGGCCCAGGACATGCTGATGCTGAAACTGTTGATTGTTGTACGCAGGTGAAGTGGTGCAAGTTCCGTGGCGTAAAGATAAGGTATTCCTCCAAAGCCGATGATGTAACTGAAGTGGAACAAGAATATGAAGAAGATAGCAGCATGGGCGGAGGTGATGTTCGTGGTTTGTGACCCAAGGCCGGCAACCAACGCCAGGCACGTTGCGTTTCCTGCTGCACTGAGCATCATCAGCTTGCGTCGACCAACGACCTCAATTGTAAGAACTGAGACTATGCCGCCGATGGGTCCGACAAGTTGATAGGCTGCTGCTAGGAGTCGAGATGTAGATTCGCTGAGAAGAAGATCCTTTTCAAAAATTTCAGTGGCTGTATTTATCCTCATTAGCGAAATGTATTCTCTAAAATTAGCTCAAAGTGAATAAAAAACTTACTGTAGAAGGTAGTCACTGTTGAACCTGTGAGCTGGACGAAAATCATACCTCCAACAGCCAGCAACGCTCGATGGAGTGTTCGTTGCGGCCCCATATGATATACCCGCCCCAGAGACTTTTCGTTCCCAGACAAATCCAGAGAAGATTGTACTTCTCTGATTCGGTTCTCAACCACCTCACTGTCTGGACTTGCGTTCTCTAGAGCGGCCAAGATTTCACGAGCTTCCGGGACCCTGTTCTGGCAAAGAAGCCAACGAGGAGATTCTGGGAGGCAGAACATGAAGCCCAGAATGACGGAGGATAGAAACATGGGAAAGGCAGATGGTAGGCGCCATGTTATACTTCCCTGCATGAACGACATCCCAAACTCCAGGAACAGTGCAAGAGCACATCCTAGTCCACTAAACACTCCCTTGGTGACAACATGTGCGCCACGCCTATGCGCAGGAGAGATTTCCGACTGCCAGAGAGGAATGGTGGCCAGAATCGCGCCTGTTCCAACACCAATGATCACCCGCGAGACGATAAGTTGGGTCAAAGAATAGGCGGTGGCATTCAGAGTAGCTCCGAGGATCTGAACAACCGAAGCCGTCATGATAGTACGTCGACGCCCAAGAATGTCACCGAGCCAGATGCAGGAGAAAGTACCAAGGAAACCGCCGATCGCGTAAACAGCGACGACTGTCCCCTGTAAAGTCGAAGTGTGTGAAGGGTTTTGCGAATGTGTCACATCGATGTCGGGAAATTGAGCCTCAAAGGTGTTGAAGGTCAATACTCCTCCAAGGGACGCTGCGTTGTAACCAACAGACATGATTCCAGGCATTAGGACGCCTAGAATGGCAACAATATTGAGGCTATTGCCGCGACATCCTAAAAATCGAGGCATGCTTGTGTTGATTGAGTTGGTGATCTGCACAGCCAAGCGATTAAGGACGATGGATCAGCGGGATCGACTTGGGTCCACGCGTTAAAGGAGAATAAAGCACGAGGGTGACAGCTATACTGATCCAAAATCATTTTGGGATAGGATTACGCGTCCATTTAACAGAAGCTGCCATAGGCCTGGACCTCAATCTATCGCAGCAGTTGCATTCCAGCCTTTCAGTCTCTGGGTAACATGCATGGGATTCCCCTCGCGAGGGGCGACCTCAGCCATGCGGACAGACCCGGAATACTCGGGACATTCTACCCAGCACGGAGTCTTGGCTATTGGCGAATATTTGTGGTCAAGTTAGTTTACATCTCGCTGGGCCTAGACTACATGTAAGAGCCCCTCGCTGCAGATAGGTGCATGACCTTAATTGAGCATGAAACTACGTTAAATTCATCGACGCATAACTTGAATTTTTATCCCCAAGGCTTAGATATCTAGGTATTATCAAGCTCGCGTAAAGCGACAACATTGAAAACATCAACAGATCCTACCTAGGTATCCTTTAATTTGGGGTAGCATTCTCAGAACTAGCCTTCAATTACATTATGCGACTATACACAATTATCAAATGTACAAGTATGTACTGGGTATCTAACTATATGCCGCAACTTTATCCCTCAATCCCTTGCTTCCAACTCTGGCATGCGTCGGCCGGTGTCGAGCTCCGAGGGCCCAGAACTCACGCTCTTCTCAGGAACCTGGGTGTTGATAGGGTGACCAATAAATCCCGTGGCCGGGGCAGTGGAGTTGGCCACTGCTTTGCTCAGTTTATTGGCCCTCTTTCTCTCCATGAATCCCCATACCAACGATCCCAGCGCAATGACCCCCAGTGGAACGCCCAGCCCAGCTCCAAGGGCAACATCGTGTGACCCGCTTGATGAAGAAGTACTTGGTTGTATCGTTGGACAAGCTGTAGAGGAATTGGATGAAGAATTCGTCGGGGCAGACAGTGAAGTGATATTGGCGAGGGCAGTGTGTCCTGTAAGAATTTCGCCATCGTCGATTTCGAAGCTGTCCTTTCCGAAAGGGCAGACGATGTTCTCCCCGTCTATGATAGGAGTACCGCAGCAATAGGTGGAGGTTCCGTTGATGAAGTTCAAATTAATTATAGACGCGCCCATATTATCAAAGGTATCCTCTATTGCCATTTTGTCAGCACTCAGCACAGAGTATAGATCCGTGGACATAGATAGGGCCTGTTGATTCGAAGGGGTAACCCCACAAGGGGTAGGATCCAAGCAGGGACTGACTTACGGCAGTGGGTCGGGCATCCAGCACCCCAATTCTTGCTTGTACAACCGCCTCGAGAAAGAACGAATGGTTGAGACACATCCAAACAATATCCGTTGGAGAGGCATATGTTCCCAGCTCCGCAGCAATGTGTGGTTTCATCAGAAGTGCATGGATAAGTGCCTCCAGCAGTGTCGCTGTTCGGAAAATAGCATGTTCGAGTGTCTGCTTGAAGCATGGTTGCAGATGCTTGTGGTTTGGGGTGTCCTGGAACGAAAGACTGGCTCCCTTCACGAGGTAAGCTTAATGGAAGAAGTTGGAGTTGCGCTGAGTTGAGTTGACTTCAGAGAGATGAGACAAAAAACACCGCCTCAGCTCAACCACCTGGGAGCGGGGCCATGGCCTGACAACCTTGGAAGGCTACGGTCTGTCTGCCAAGGAACCCTAAGTTTTGTGATCTACAAGTGCTCACAATCTGGCGAGATCTGAAGTGACTCTGAAGGTCACTCATAGCCAATGGACAGGCAACCGTTCAGCTCTTCCGATGCTTTGCCTTGGTTATCCCTGAAGTCCGCGCGGATTGAAATTCCACCAACCCCTGATCATCCCCTTTCTTCAGCTCAAAATAAGAATCATTTAAGTGTGACCCCCGTTGACGGAGGCTTCAAGCCACCGCCGGGACACTTGGAGCCTCTCAGGGTCTGCGTGGCGGGACACTAATGCAGCCGTTCGGCCTATCGCCGTGGCTGTGGGGAACACGGCACGCCCAAAGTAGACTTATTTGAGGTAGATCGCGAATTTTTAGGGAAGCTGACATGTCGCTCATTTCAATCGCGTTGTTCAAGCGACTTGCAATAGGTGGATGCGTATCAAAGTAACTCTTGGGGGCCAAAAATGACTGTCCCGATTTGTACTTACGTTGCGTCTCAGTAAATTTGATATCTCGAGGCTAGACATCCTTAAATCGGTTTCGCAGACTAAATTATCAACAGTGATAGCATCTCATATCGGTCTAAGGGCTTTGATTGAAAATTATATATATATACATATTATTTGGAAGTCCCCGGGGCCTGATGGTCTTATTCGAGAACCTGGCTGGCAAAAAAGGAATCGACTTCAGTGCTACAAATTTCAACTTGAAGTTTTTGGAGTGGATCACCTGTCATGATCAAATGGCCCATATATATCTGAATGAAGTGAAGTTTAAAGCTTAGGCCTGAGACCCAAGATTCCACTTTGCATTCCTTTTACGGAGTACGTGTCGACCCGTTCCGCATCCAACATTCGACACTGATCACCGTTAAGTCATTTATAATGAGCACAGTCGCTCATCGCGGCGTGCCCCAAATGTTAGCCTTATGTTGTCCTCGCTGACGCCTTTTGTCTCAAAATCAAGAAACTAGACCAAAGAAAGGCTAGACTCGTGCAGCACGCGAGGAATAGAAAGTACGATACCCAATTGGCAAGACCTGGCTAGGAGATACCAAGCGCTGCAGTCAGCAACCGACCCTGCCAATCAAATGGATGAATTCTCGTGGAACAGTGCCATGTGAGATGAAGGGATTCTCTAGCCAGTAATAGTGAGAAAAATAGTGCATAAAGGCAGAGTGCAGTATCGCCGCGCTGTATAAAGTTCAACTGCAATCCACCCTTTCCCACTCGTGATGTGACATATTATAAGAACACACGCATACTAGGACCCTCTGGATCGTATTTATCACAGAAGACTCCTCCAAAGCATTCCAAAATCAGCAGCGTCTTCAAGTTCCCAGGAATCCGTTACTTGGAAACTGGGGCTCGTGGAGATACGCAAACCCCGTCTTTCTATAGTCAATCTACCCAGTTAACGTTAACTCCGACATAATCGCCGACCCAAGTTCCAACAAACGGTCTATAAATTGTGTACAGAATAAGACGTACCAGCAAAGTCATTCCACCCACCAAATATAACCAAGCAAAAGAATTCCACTCTCACCTCTAACCATCACAATGTCCGAACTCGAATCCCACCAAGCCGCCACCCTCACGGAGAAAGGCACCCCATTAACAACAACAACCCGGAAAACCCCAACCCCAGCCCCACGGAACTCCTAATCGAAGTCCACGCCCTAGCCCTAAACCCAGTAGACCACCACCAACGCGACACAGGCTTCTTCATCCAAGAATACCCCGCAATCATAGGCTCCGACGTCGCGGGGGTAATCATCTCCTCCGGACCCTCGACACGAGCCGCCCTGAGACCCGGAACGCGCGTGACGGCACTGGCGAGTTCATTCTTCAACGGCGGTGCTGACTACGGCGCGTTTCAGAGACGTGTGCTCGTGTCTGAGGAGACTGTGTCTGTTCTTCCGGATGGGGTTTCGTTTGTTGAGGGGGCTGTTTTCCCGCTTGCGGCTTTCACGAGTTGGAATGGGTGGGTTTGGGCTGGTTTGCTGCCGACTGCGACTGCTGGTCTCGCGGGTGTGGGCGAGGGGGTTTTTGTTTGGGGCGCGTCGAGTAGTATTGGGGCTTTGGCTGTTCAGGAGGCTAAGGTGATGGGGTTTGTTGTTTATGCTACTGCTAGCCCGCAGCATCATGATTATATTCGTGGTCTTGGGGCGGATCGGGTATTTGATTATAAGGATACGGATGTGTTGGACCAAATTGTTCGGGCGGCGGGTGCGGATGGTGTGAGCATTCGAATTGGATACCATGCTACTGGGAATCAGCAGCTGGCGGCTGATGTTCTCGATGCGTTGAGAGGGGAGAGAGAGGGAGAGAAGTCGAAGCTGGCGATTGCGCCGATCTTGGATCTGGAGTGGAAGGTTCCTGATGGGGTCGAGGCTGCTTTTGTGTATCCTCCACAGGACCGGGCGGAGTTGAAGGAGAGGAATCGGGCTATCTTTGTGGATTGGCTGGAGGGTAAGCTTGCTAGTAAACAAGTTGTTGCTAGTCCCCATATCAAAGTGATCAAAGGTGGACTGGAGTCTGTTAATGGGGCTTTGGATGAATTGAAGGCTGGCGTCAGCTGCTTGAAGATTGTGGTGGAACTGTGAGTGTAGGGTTGGATTCCACTGTGGCCATCTAGGTAAATATCAGTTAGTAGTAGTACTTCGTGTAGTTGGCAATTTGATCTCGAATTCGCTGAAGTACTAAGGCCTTCGTTGCCGAATTAATTTCGTAATGATGGGATGGGAAACCTCCATTTGATTATCTGATAAATACATACCAGGGAAGAACAGTCTTCGCCTGGGGAGAAAAGAATAGAATAGTCCAGAAAGGCAATGAATGGAACAACCTCTTCGTGTATGTGAGTTTTTCCAAGCTGGTATATGTATGCCATAGCATGAGATCCAACGAAAAGTGCACAATGCACGAAAATATCATGGCAAAGTCGAAATGCAAAAAATAGATAGAGAAGGAGAGGAAGGAACATGAACGCTTCAGATTACTGCAGATGGCCGCGAGTCAAAAAAATATTGTTGCTAACATGGGTATCCAATGGAAAAGACAGGGTCGAGACATATGGAACTTTGTGAAAGGGTGAATAATCATGATGATCAATGTTTTCAAAATCGGATAATACGTTATTCTTGCTTTGGTGGGGGAGTAGTGTCGATCTTCGCCTGCCCCTCGCCCTCGACAGGCAGGGTATCAGGGCTGGGGACGGAGTCGGCCGTGTCGCCGCTGCCACTGCCCCAGGAGTCCTCGCGCAAGACCTCGGCGGCATCTGGTAGGTGAGGCCTTTGCAGACCGTTTCGAGAAGGCTTATTCTTGGTATGGCGGGACGTCGACGGCGAGGCAGGTCCGTCGGCTTGTGCGACGTAGTCGTTGTGGTTGCCTGTCTGCATAGGGCTGGCAGCGCTATTTTGACCGGGCGAGGAAGACTGCGGAGAATCCAAGAACCCACGCCACTTCCGCCAGCCCTCAAAGTCAATCAATGCTTGCATGCAGCCCCATTCCGTAACCTTCTGTGATAGCCATGGGAAGCCAACAGGCTTGGTCAAAAAGTCGTTGCAGCCAGCTGCCAATGCCTCGTGACGATCACTTTGCAGACTGCTCGCTGTCAAAGCGACAATGATGACAGGGCTGCGGAATAAGGATAAGTCAGAGAGGGTATCTTCCTCGCTGACAGTGCGCTGAAGACCCGGCCTCCTATCCGCGGTTGTACTCGAAACACTAGAACGACCAGACGCATTCTTAGGGAAAACACCAATTCCGTTGAGTCGTTCCAGGCGACGAATTTCCTTGGTAGCATCCAATCCGTTCATGACGGGCAACTGGATATCCATCAATACCAAGTGGAATCCGCCTTGTCGCCATTTCCGTACCGCTTCCTCTCCATTCGCTGCGCATTTCCATCGGACACTTAATCGCTTCATAAACGCCTCGAGGAGTTTTTGATTGATAATGTTGTCCTCGACGATGAGAACATTGATAGGAGGAACGGTACCATCAATCAACCCTCCAAAGACTGCTCCGGGTGAGGCAGCGCTCTTAGGTTTGCGTGATGTCCGTGGCGATGTTACCGGCGCTGGTGGAGTATGTGATTTGGTTTGTGGGGAATCGGGGACTGGTGCTGGGGGTGTGGGCACGCTCGGTTGCGGTGGTGGTAGGGGCGCAGAATGGGGAGATATGCCAGTCTCTGCTAAAGATCAGTCATCTATGCTTCTATGTGCCGGACGAAAGGTTATACGAAGAGACATACCTGTCACACTGACGATGGGGCCTTGGCCGAGAATCGTCGGCGAATTGGTTGTGTGCCGTTGAAGTGGTGGCCGACGGTGATGTCGTGAGGCGCCCCTACCTGGCGAAGGTAGCGGGGGAGCTACCCCAGTACTGAGTATCGAAATCGCCGGGGCGGTACTTGGCCCGGCGGCTGCAGGATGTGTAGGTGGAGTCGGGACTTTTGCGGGCATGAGTGGGAAGTATTCGCCATGCTCACCTGGCTCCGGGTTGTGATGATGGTAGACCGAGTGGCGCGGAGAGGGCTTCGGAGTGCGGCGTGTAGGTGCATCAATTAACAAAGCCTCCTCTATCTTTTGACCTCCGGGGTAATACGTGTCCAGAATTGATGACAGTGTTTCCTCGGGACTGAGGAGACGCTCGGGGGTGGTCTGTCGATTTGAGCCCTCTCGTGGGGCAATTCGTATCACGATATCCGGAGGATCCCATGTCCTCCCCAGTGAGTTGGCGAATTTCATGATCACCTGGTCGCGCAGTTCGTCCACCAGAGCATCCTCCAGACAGGGTACCAGGGTGGCGGAGCCACCTGGTCGTTTCACCCAGATTCGACGCTGGACCATCTCGTCGGCTACCACAGGAGCGTAAGCGGTTTGCGGGTCGTTCAGTCCTGAGAAGAGACTTTGTTCTAGAAGGCCGCTGATCAAGTTTTGGTGGGACGCTGGAAGCAGAGACTGCCGGCGGATGGCAATGCTCGGGCGCTTGCTGGATTGAGGGGGGAAGGCGGATGAGGACGGCCGGCGATCAGTTGCAGTGCGCTCAGCGACAGTATTGAGAGTCGGTGTCAATTGAAGCTCGGTAGGGGCCGGAGGTCGAACCTTGACTACCGCGGACTGGAAGGAGGTATCGTCGGAATGCTGGGGGGGTCGCGAGTGGAGACTCGAGGGGGGATGGCAGTTCGTCGGTCAGAGGGGTGTATAAGAGGGATATTTCCGGATCGGTAGGTAATGGAGAGGAGGTTGATCGCTCTGGCGCGTGAGGAAGATGACAGCGCTGGTGTTCTTGTCCGGATGGCAAAGTGGATGAGTTACAGTCGTGACGCTCGTGACGGCGGGATCGGGACTTGGACTTGGACTTGGGCGCGTGTCCCTCGTGCCGATCGGGCTCGGAGGTAGGGCCAGTCTCGTCCGAGGAGTGGTCGGCGGAAGAAACGACGCTATAGGGAGATTTCTCACTCGCGGAGTCAAAGAGATGCAGAGGACGAGAGTCGCTCGGGGTTGGATTTGGGAGGACTGGCGGGTCCGCCCCGTTGCCCGTTTTGGGTACCGCGGGCGTTGATGATCGTCGTAATAGCTTTGCCTTGAGTAGACGTGATAGACGTCTCTCCGGCATATTGACTGCGGGGGAAGCTCAGAGATAGGACATGATGTGGTGGGTGATGAGGAGTAAAAAGACTGGGTACCAAAGGGGGGGGGTGTTGACTCTTGTTGATGCTTGTTAGCCCAAACGGGGTTGGTGTTGGGCTTAGCTTCCCTAGAGAGCTCCAACTTGTTTCATCGGCTTAAGGAACGGTGGATCGGGGGAGAGAATAAGCAGAAACTACCCAGGTGCCTTCAGGTAAAGTTGAACTTGAGCTTGAGCTTGAATTTGAACTTGAAGTTGTGGGTAGGTGAGGGGAATATAAAGTCACACTGCAGAGGAAGAAGAAGCTGCTGATCTCCCGTCCAGATCGGGAACTGCGTACATTTTGTAAATTTATACCTACTTAGGTATTTATACTTTAGGTATGGGCCCAGGGCTGAAACTTTTAACTGGTATTTTCCACTCATCTCTACATCTCTATCGGCTTTGATTCTTTATCGAGATCGTGACCCTCATCTTGGTCGACCCCCGCCTCTAAATCTCTTTCCTCATCCCGTCTCCGCAACTCCAACAACTCATCAATACTCTTGCCGCTTTCTTTCGCCTCTTTGCGCAGCTTGCGATACCGAATGCGCCAGATGGTATGGCTCAAATAGATCCCTGCTTCCAAAACAACCCTGGAGAAAGTGCTGTTAGTACTGCCGGTAGCAGAGAACATCTCGTATACTCACACTAAGATGTACATGATACCCCCCCAAAACATCGAATGTTCCTTGAGCAGCTAGATGTTCCTTTTGTCAGCGACATAAATCTTCTACTACTTGTAATAACAGTAATAGAACCCGGGGTACCTACCGAGTGCAAACAAGGAGAACAGACCACCGAAGGTATCGATAGAGAGAAAGACCCAGTCTATATTAGGTTCAAGTTATCAGCCCAGAGACTCGGATGAACCATAAACAACTTGAACTTGAACTTGAACACCTACTAAACCCAATCACACGACCATCTCTCTTCCAGAGTTCAAAATAGGGAGGCAACAACCCTGCACTAAGAAGAACAGCGGCAATAACACCAACAACCAGGTCCGGCCAGGTAACCCCTTTGTTATATGGTATCTGCAAGCAAGATGTAAGCACATCAATCCTCTTCTAGTCGCAGGATTGCCATATCTAACCCTTAACGTAAGAATAAGAAGAGCTTCCAGTCCACCAAATAACAGAACCATTGCGATACAAACGAATGTAGCTTTTAAACAGCTATGACCGCTATTTCCATCGCACGACACTTACTTAGCAGAATCCATTATCAATATTACCGGAATCATCCACTCACTGGCTGTAGTACAAAACCTGGGCCCAACTAACCAGCGCAAAAAATCCGAACATCTGCGGTTGGATCTGTAGTGGGATATTGACTTGCTGGAGGAGGGAAAGGCAACCATCAGATCCCATAAAAATGCATATCTACCACCACTTGAGGTTGATGTGAACTTGACATACCTGCAAAATAAGATAGGCCCCCATGGGAATAGAACCTAGATGATGAAATATAGAGTCAGCCGAAGCACCCATCCCATTTGCTCCGAGTCCAGAGCAAAATAGTATTATAGCAGTCCTTAGGGTACATACAAAGTGCCCAGAGAAACATCATCGTAGCCGGAAACCCGTCCGTATTCTTCCGCCGCCAGTTATACCAAATTTGAGGAATGAGCTGGATGCACCAGAGCACCGTGCCAATGGTGCCGAGCACATTGGATGCGAGTGTCACATTACCGTCCGACATCTTCGGATTGTCAATAGTGGTATTCGAAGAGGAGTAACCTTACAACAAAGGTTATTGGATTGAGAAGAAAATACCAGCTTCCTCTGAAGGGGAGGAGCAGGAGCGGTGACTTTTTGAACAGCGTGAGAGAGAACGAACTAGCGCCACGGACAGGCCCCAATCAGTGAGTCCGGTTGAGAAGCCGGTAGTACTTCGATTTGGGGGGAGGGGAAACCCCCCCCACGGCTCGTGGGTTTAAGATCCTCCCCTAGGGTAAGGGTTCCCATAAGGTTGCTCCACTCAAGTCACCTTATCTAACTTGAAGGTATTACCATAGGGTATACTGGGTACTAGTGGTAGTAGTACCCTTAAGAATCAGATGAAGTGAAAATGAAACGAGGTCAAGTATACTGCATTCCCCTCTCTACGTGACTGGCTGAGTTTCTTCTATAGACTGATAGTCTCTCCCAACGCTATACCTTTCTAATAATCCACCCAATCCATGATTACCTACCTTGCAAACTACATTGAGGCCCGGATTTGCGGCGCTGCGGGGCCCTGCGCCAGGGAGGGAAGCTAGTACCAGACAGGAAAATATACGGAGAAAGATGAGTTGACAACATAGGATTGACTTCCACGGGATTCATAGACGGCAGGGGAAGTCTTTTCTATTCCAAAGGTCGTTCGCCATCAGGCACAGCGTCCAAGGCTGTCGGTTTCTTTATTGCCGAGGATTTTTCTTGCCGAAACACGGCGACAGAGCGGGTTTGGAGGGGTTGATGATTCTATGGAGTGATGTCCACTATTTATTGATCAAGTGGGGAGGGGGGCGCTCGGAGAATTGATCGTTTGTGGAGGTGCATACTTATGATGTACTTTACAACGTGCTCGATCGTCGTTGTCCGTGCACGTGGAATAGAATGGAATGCCTGTTATGGTCAAGAGATTTCAAGCTTTAATATGTAGGAGGGTGGATCAAGCTTAGCAGGCGAGAGCGAGAATGACCTGAAGAATGGATCGATTCTTTCCGAGTCATGGAAGTTTGATGAGAGTCTAGACTGAGAAGGGGTGTACTCCGCAAGCAACCCCGCCTGGATGGAGATGCCCGATGTGGAAGGATCGCTGATTGCGTGACGACCATATATCATCGGATCCTAAAATATCACCGGTAGCTTGTACTCCGTGGTAATTTGGTACTTGCAGTACCTACAGTCCCATCTTGACTACATCATACAGGTTGAAAATTGACAGAGGTATCGATTACATTCGCCATTCAGTTCTTATACATCGGGACCATCAGACGCAACTCATGCGCATCCTGGCCGCCGAAACTTTTCATGCAAGAAAGGAGGAAATAGCAGGGCATCCACCTCGCCAAGGTCGAGGTCTGGTCATACAATCGACGGACTCTCGCCAAGAAGCAGCAAACCCATGTTCCCAGACATGACGATTAAAACCACCTTGACCATAACGCACGAGGCAAAGCGGGGAAAACTCCCGCCAAAAGACTAATACCAAGCCAAAATCAAGAGAATACGGCGTTCCAAAGGAAAAGAAATGAAATGAAAAAGATAGAGAGAGATAAGAGGGAGGAGAGGAATGAAATAGTTGCGTCGAAGATAATGAGAGGAGGCCATCAAGACATCACGTTAGGGAAAGAGGTGGAAAACCAAAAGTACACACACGTCGAGAGAAGTATCCGAAGGGTATCAAAGGGGTACAATGTTTTGCGTATAGCAAGCTTCAAAAAGGCAGACAGAAATCAAAAAAGAGAGAGAGAGAGATAATGAATGAAAGGGCATAACACGAAACGTATCGGTCTCACAAGAGAATCAGATAGTTCGAGGGCGCAATGCCGGTCTCTCCGCTCGATTTTCGAGCCTGCCACCATCGACCGCTGACGTCAGATACTTCGAGAATCTCGTGCTTGGTGAAGCTGATCTCGTTGGCATCTTCGGGGTTCGCATCGTACGAGTAGATGGCCTTCGCACGGTACGGGTACTCGGTTGGTTGGGGGACCTCGCTGCCATCCGGGTTCACTGCAGGCGCAGCGGCGGAGGGGTTCGCAGGAGCAGGGCTGCTGCCACCGAAGCGACTAGGCTGAGTAGAAGCGCGATCGGCGCCGGGGGCTCCACCGGGGTATCCGGAGACGGGAGAAGATGTCTCGAAGCCGCTCAGCTGGGCGGAAGTGTACATCTGCGGGGTGTTGCTAGTAGCCATAGTCTCTGGGCGAGCACCGAACGCGCTGGACATGGGGCGGCTGCCACGGTACGATCCAGGCTGTTCCTTGTTCAGGGCGAAAGAGTCAATGAAGCCACGGTGCGAAGCCTGGGGGGTGGAGCCAAAGTAGAAGATCCAGATGATGATGACCATGGACAGCAGAATGAAACCAGCACCAGCGGCCTGTTCGGCGCCTTGGGAGCCGTAGATGGTGTTGTTGGCGCTGAGGGACGTCAGGGCGAGGGCGGCGCCCAAGTATCCCACAATAGCGACGCCGTAGAGATTGCCAGTGTCGGTACCGAAGGTGAAGATCAGACCGATAATGATACAGAACATGTAAGCAATCGCCCACCAATCTAGATTCGGGTAGCCGCCGTGGATGTCGGCGATGATGGATGAAACGAAGGCGATGAGCCAGGCCAGAATGGAGATGGAAAGCGTGGCCAGCGCAAAGGGGTCGCCCAGGATGTTGCTGGGGCGGAAGTTGGGCATTGTGGGCGAATTGTCGTTGAAACTCGGATTTTGAAGTAACAGGAGTGCGCAGGTTCACCCGAAACGGGATGTCAAAGAAAAGGCAAGCGGAGTCGAGTCGAGTCGATGAGGGGATTCGATCTCGAAGTGAGGAATTCCCACGGGGTGTCGGGTCGATTGGGCACGGCGTATAAAGGGGGGTCACCGTTGACAATCAAGACCAAGTGTCGAGCTCGAGTCGCCTGTGGATGGAAATCGTAAATTGGGGAACGAGGACTGCGCCTTGTCAGTGGAATAATCGAGGCACGGTCGCGTGGGGTCGAAAACGAGGGACACGGTAGAGGGACTCGATCGCAAACGAATGGACGAGGACGGAGTAGGGCGCGAAAGAGCAAAGAAAGCGAAAGGGGAGGGAAAAGAAGGTTAGGCGCCGGCGTTTCCAGTGGTTCGTACCTTTAATTTTTTTTTCTGAGACAACAGGCGTGGGCTCCGTTCGGTCAAGGGGTGTTGTGTTGGTGGTGGTTGGTGTTTTGGATGTGGGCAAGGTGGCCTTGGGGAGGGGATATTGAAGGGGACAAAAAACGAGAGTAGAATCTTGGGGGCCGTAAGGGCGAATACAACAGCGCCAGGCTGGAGAAAGGAATGGATAGGGTTGAACGAGAGAGGTGGAGGGAGAGAGAGATTGAGAGATTGAGGAGAGAAAGACAATTGGGAAACCACCACACAGCGCCGTGAGTGAATGTGGGCCGCCCCCCAAACACACAGACGTCCCCCCCTGGATCGAGACCAAAGTGGAATCCGGGAAATGAACTCTCTCCACTCGCGGGTTTCAACGGCTGAGTATTATTTCAGAATAGTGATATGTACATACTAATAAGCGAAGATATTTTGTACTCTAAATTATTCAATTCCCATCTCTGCCATCACAGTGTATACAATCAGGTACCAAAGTCAATACTGTATACTGTATACTCCGTACTTCCACGTAGGCAGTGCTATAAATACCCGGCTTAGTCACCGACTCCGCCTAGCTGACGCGGGCTCGCATAACAATTGCCTCCGATATTGTCTACACATTCTACTTAAACACTGTGAATACATGGAGTCTGGCGATTTTGATTCTATCTCGCGAGAAGATACCTAGTAGTTACTCCGTACCGAGATCTGAGCACAATACTCTAGTACTCTTTACTCTGTACTTATACTCCGTAGTACATCCAGGTCTGCCGGGCTTGCGTAACCCTACGTCTACTAGTAAATGTAGCCTAGCCTGACCCCTATTCCAAGGTTTCTACCAATATCGGAGTACTACACAAGCACATGCCTACTACATGACCGACTTCATAAGAACAACTTCAAGTTGATGCATCCTAGCATCCTAAACATAAAATGCAGAATCTTACCGGTTCCATGTACTCCATAATCACCTGAAGGGTCTGGGTCTGGGTCTCGCCTATCCCATTGTCTCATCTCCACGCCCCACCTCGATCCGATCGTACTTTTTTCTTTCCTCTTTTTGCGCCGTTCTAGACCGTTGATAATGCTGTGCATTATTTTCCGTGGGTACTGCCTGTGGACTCGTCTATCTTGATAGCCTCCGGCTATTAAGCCACTTCTCTCTACGTTTCAACTTCTACTGTGTTCTCCGTACTACTCTATACCTACCTAGGTAGGTATTCAGATACCACCCATGGATGACACTAACAACTCAATCTGGGGTATACTTTCCAGCATTCCGACTGACCTCAATGGAATGCCCATCTGATCCAATCTGATTCGATCGGGTCGAATGACCTCATTGCAGCTGTCGGAATGTGACGGATCGCTAACGGTCGAGATCTACGACTGTCGACGATTATGTTGTAGAGTCACGGGATCCCGGTACCCATCCTAGCATGATCTCATAAATTTCCAGTGCACACCTGGGTAGCATGACATTTGGGTATTCAACCCTCTATCTGGATCTACTAGTAGTTTAGGGCAACGAGCAACTTGAAGCTATTCCAAGGTTCTTCTTCTGCTACCAGTACAGTGTCCCAGGGTAGTACCTCTATCAGTCATGAGGGTAAGCCATGGTAACCAAGATAAACCCACGAGGCTAAACCAAGGTTCAAGTTATATTTACAACTACTCTCACAGCAGGTACTCAATACCTATTCATAGCCACCGCAACATTGCAAACAATCGATCCAACGCCGACTGAGGATATCATAAAAAGTAAACACCACCCTCACCCAATCCCAACAAGCCAATTGGAACCCAACAGCATCACAAATCAAATCAAATCAAATCTCATTCTCCCTTCTCTCTCGAAAAACCTCTCTCCTCCGCACCTCCCTCTCAACCCCCTCAAGCCGTCCCTCCCACTCAGCCCAACACTCCCCACTCCCCACAAGCCCAACCTCATACCACCGCTGCAGCACACGCGCCGTGCGAACCCTCAATTCTGAAATGGCCGCTGCCTGCTCGGCCTGTTTGGTCGCCGCGCGGTCGAGCGCGGGCTGGAGCGAGATGAGCGCCGCCGAGCTCTGCGCGTCTGGGATCGGGAGGTCGTTTAGTGATGTTAGTCGGGAGGAGGTTTCGGGGAAGGCGCTGGCGTAGGAGAGGACGATTGAGGTTAGGGTTTGCGGAGTTAGGCCTTCTGGGATTGTGTCGGTGGTGGATTCTGGGTGGAAGAGGGGTGTGTTTTGGTCGTCTGTTTGTGTTAGCTTGGTTTGCGGGTTGTGGGGGGGTTGAAAGATGTGTAGGGAGTGGTATGCGCGTTGAGGTTGGGGTATGGGTAAGGTATGTGGCGGGCTGCGGGGGAAGAGGAAGTAAAGGTACAAGGCCACGAACGGAGTTGTATGATGTCCCGGACGGCGGGGACTGATCTGCTTAGTTTCTCTAGTTCTTTTTCCAGTCTGGCGAGGCGCCGGGAGACTGTTTCGTCGTGTGTGGTTGGCTTGGAGGGTGTGTTGGGGACTCCTATCCAGTCTGAGCTGCCGGTTAGGAGATAGGAGAGTCGGCGGAGACGTGCTTCGAGAAGTTCGATTGTGGCACCAGCCACGGTGTCGCTTTCGACTGTCATTTTGGGTTTGTGAGGGGCAGGTGGAATTGAAGCTCTGAGCTCTGAGCTGTTGCGGGTGAGCTTGTTGATGTCCGGCTTGGGCGGTGGAGGTCGGCGCGGGTGGGGACTTGTCTCAAAGGACCTAGGTACCGGGGGTATAGAAAGACTAGACAGCTACTCCGTACATATGTTACCATTGTCCTCTTCTTTAATTTCTCGCGGATGTCCGATGGCATTTGAGCTGATCGCTCAGATCTAGTGTGCATTGATTCATCACTCATATAGCCGCTATTTAAGATTTCGCGGTTTCCACGTGGTCGACCATCTCCTCGTCTTCATCCACGTTCCACTCCGAGTTATCGTCTAACGCTTGAGAGACCTTCGCTTGATTGCTCGCATTGGCGCTGTTGCCAATTAGACTGGCTCGAGGCTTCTCTTGCATCTCCTTCTCCTTTCCTGATCCACGTTCGCTGTCGAAATCGGAAACTTCGTAGTCGAAGACATTGATAGGTTGGTCTTGCTCTTTCTCTCGCTCTTGTGACGAATCGTACTGGACACTCATGCTATTATTCTTCCCCGAAGAATCAGTCACCTGGGCATCTTGGGCATTGGTAGCGTTTTCTTCGCATTCTGTGGCGAATGCCTCGTTATCCTTCCTCACGAAGCCCTATTTTGTGATTAGTTAAGTCCGTGAAGCACACCCGTTGAGAGAACATAAACTCACCTGAAGTTGCCTTGGTGCCGCTTCAACCTTCGCATTCATAGCATTATCACTGGCATAGACCAGGAGTACCGTTCTCCATTCTTCGCGTGCAGCGTGGAGAACTTCAACTTCTCGCACTTTGCGTGCCGTATATCCAATGACATCCCCGTGTTGGGATGCCGATTGGTTGCCCTGGGCATCTCGTTTCTCGGCCTGGCGGGTCTTCCCATCCTCCGCAGAATAGCTGATCCGCCACCACTGATCTTGGGCGTCACTCTGATTATCTAACTCCATCAGATCATTGGGATCGCTTGCTCGTTCGCTTCTGAGGACATAAGTGACATGTGGCTCAGTACAGACACCACGGAGAGTATATTTGTGTATAGGTGGCTCGCCGGGAGAGTCGCTGGGCTCAGTGAGTGTTTTGGAATAGGTGCGCATAGTTTCCAGTGCTTTCTGTTTCTTAGATTCCAGGTCTGTAGATGTTAGTCACCATACTTCGTCTTCCATGCACGTGGGAGGTGAAGTTACCTTTTAATTTGGCCTCGACCTTTTGAGCTATTTCTTGCAAGTCACGCGTAATGCGCGATGCCTTTTCGGCCTTAACTTCGGGGATCATTGCGTCGTCATTCTGGACCGAATCCTCCGACAGAACCACAGGCACTGCCTGCGCAGCTTTCTCGAGTATTTCCTTCACTGTAAGCGTGCCGACGGCAGTTCGGGGAGCCGTGAATCGAGTCATCAGTTTCTCCAACTCTTGAATCTCCTCCATAACCTCGCGCCGTTTTGTCCGGAACTCCAGCGCGAGCTCTCGACAGCTACTCATGTAGCGATCAGGATAAAATACAGCCGGGACCTTGACATCCACTGACTTGGCATTCTCGTAGGAGTCCAATTTCATGATGAGAAGCTCACCCAGATGTTCAAGCCAAACGTCGTCCATATTCTCGCCAGGTCTATCGCTCCAGATCGCAGTGTCCAAAACATCGTAAAGATTTTGGCCGTGATCTTGTTCAACCTGAGGTTCGAAGATATAAAGCTCTCGTGAGATTGGCTCATCCTCATCTGCTGGGTCATCAAAAGGTGTTCGTTTATAGGCCTTAGATTGGAAGATCATCGACAACGGATTTTCAGGATCCGCTCGAAGTGCTGCACGATGCCAGGTTTCCAAAAACCTCGTGATGGCTTCTTCCGAGTCGGAAGAATAGTCGTGAAGATGTCTGAGGCCGGCAAGGGCGTCACTGCTACCGAACGACCGATTCGTAGAATCGAGAAAAGCCATCAATCGCTGGGTCTCATAGATGATATCATCCCAATCGTTGTCCGCATTGTCGCCCTCGCCGACAGTCACAATCTTCGGCAAATTGATGGGCTGGCCGTTCCACCACTCCTGCGATTCCTGTCCATAGTCAAAGAGAACCTTGTTTCGAAGCATGAGTGCCTCGCGTGCAAGTGGAATTTCGTGGAGAATTGTGAGGAATCCTCCGAGGTAGAGGTTGTTGCTAGAGGGTCGAATAAAAGCCGGTTCACCTGCTATTCTCTTGCGGTCCTCGGGGTCGGGGCTCAAGACAACTTCTTCGGAGGTCGTATTGAATAACGTCATCGCCCATGAGTTTGTATCGTATTCGTCGCGCGTCGCTTTGCCAAATTGCGCTTGTTTGCTCGTTGTGACCCCGGTCTCTTGTTTTGACATTCCCTGGTTGAGGGACATCGCCACCGCCTGTTGTAGTTCTCGTTCTTCGCGCTGGGCCAAGCTCATCTTCTGGTCCGAGCCTGCATTGCCTATATAACCAGCATATCAGCATGAATCGGGTAATGACTTTTAAAGACGTTTCCTGACCAGTATTGCCCTGCGAAGATTGTGTTGTAGCGTTCTCATAATCCGGAGGTTGTGAAGCATCGATCATGTTCGTTCGAGATGAGGGACGAGTGGGAGGAGCCGTAGCTGGCACTCGGGGGCCATGGTCTTGCTGGCCGTATCCGAAACCTGGGGGAGGTTCATTAATTTCACGAAGAGTCTATCATAAAGACGAAGATATGTATGTACCTGGACTATTGTTGTCATTGTAGAAGCCGGTATTCTGTCATAGCAACGGCTAATCAGCGTCCATTTCCAAGCCTAGCCCTCGTGCACTTCGAGTTATCACCTGTGGATGGGGACCAGTCGGGTCTTCAAAATAAGCATTGATGGCTTTTTGCGAGTCAAGGTTGTTGGCCTGTCATATGGAAATGTTAACTTCGAGTCTGTAGCAGAATACCAAGACATCTGTCACCTTCAGGAAGTTGATAGCTTGCTCGCGGGTGGTGCTTGTAAAGCTGACGAAGTTGGCAATGGCGTCTTCCGGCGGGTCGGAGGCCATGTTGGCGGTATTTTAGGCGTCTGTGCCGAGTTCAGTGAGGCTATTAATGGTCGAACATGCCCGATCCGAAGTGAAAGTCCAGGAAACAAAGCGCGGAGCAAGTTGTCGCATCCGCAAGCTTGTTTCCCCACCACATGACGCCAAGCCCCACCGCTTCCTCTTTGGTCATCTCCGCGGCTTTCATGCGGACGTTCGTATCCGCACATCATTTGATCCCTCTTTCTTCTTTGAATCACTCTGACTTGACACCTGTGACCAGGTACAAACTATTTAGGTTTTCTAAATTCTTTCCACTCATCGACCGTTGGACCTTGGTGCAGCAGTGCAAAAATACAGCTCAAAAACCCCTATAGTTATTTTGTCGAACTGGAACAATCTAATGCTGCTTGAGTTCGCGGTAAAGGACAAAGAATTTAAACTCATGGTACACAATTTTTCCGTTCTACTATCTACTACACAAACAAAGAAGCTTATGAATCGATACTCAGCACACATTTTCCAGTTACTCGGCCGCAGGTTTGTGTTCAAGCTTGCTAGAAAATCATTTGATTTATTGAATTAATATCACAGGCTCTTTGTTAACATCTGACAACGCATTTTGACTACCCTTTGTTCTTTTTTCAATGATGGTTTTTACAGTCTTTGTCCTATTCTGAAACTTAGTACAGACTTGAGACGCGTGAATGCCATTGTCCGAGTCTACTACTACTAGTGCCTAGGTATAGTGAGCCTCATCTCTCAAGCTCGAGGCAGAGAACCAGTGAGTGGTACTAGTACTATATAAATGGCCAAGTTCCCTAAGTAATGACTAGCACTTCAGAGTACTAGAAACACAGCGGTGCTCGCAAGAAGCAGTTCAGAAACGGTCAACACACATAGATTCATCTATCACCACCAGAAAATAACTTGAAAATGGGTTCAATTTTGCCAGGAACGCCCACTGCGTTTTGCCTCTGTGTCATGAGCGCAATCTTTCATGATCTTAGAGATGCGTGTTATTTCCCCAAAATTGTTCAAGGTCAGCCCGAGCAAATCGACTGGTCAATGTACGAAAATATGAGCGCCTGCACATTGAAATTTATTGCAGAAGTTTTTGCACAGGTCGAACAGCAGCTGTCCCTTGAGCAACAGAACCGCACAGGCAAATTTTTTATTGCTCTTGGCCGTCTCGGTTGGAAGTTATTCGCCATTTGTGCACATTCAAGAGCATTCCGAACTGCAATAGATGCCTTGAATGATACAGATTGGGATAGCATTCTTACCCTGATTGATGAGGAAAAAAGGAGCATCGAGATCTTTGCTCGCAGTCGCGACTTGGATTGGCGTGGAATCCTTCTACCATATGCCGGAGATCAGTGGCCTGGACTTGAAGAGGCACTGACACCCGATATTAACTTAGCAACAGGGCATCCACATCATATAGTACAGACTGAGGACGGTGGCCTCCGCCAGCCAGTGTTTCCATGGACAGAAGACGGTGAGCTTCAATCCAGTATGCACGGAAATTTCCTCCACCCTTCATTCCCCGATGAGACTGCACCTGCAGGAAAACGCAATGAGAACTTTAGAAAATGTTTTCTCTGTTTGAAAAACACCTGTAAGTGTGAACCCATGTTCGTTCCGGGGGATTTCATTGAACTCCGAGAGTATGCTGATAAGGGAGTGGGAACTCGCGCATTGGTTAACTTCCCGAATAATATGTGTCTAGGTGAGTTCAATGGGGTGGTCATGCCGAAACCACTTGAGAGTGACATATGGAGTATGGAGTGGACGACTCAGAAACGAGACGAGGATGGCACAACATGCTACAAATACTACCCGAATATTATAGTTGACCCCACACGCCTGGGTAGTTGGACTCGATATTCCAACCACCATTGTGACCAGAATAACGCAAGACCCATTCCAGCTGTCGTGGGAGACAGGCCTTTCCTCGGATTTATCACGCTTCGCGATATTTCTGTGTTTGAGGAGGTAACAATTACCTACGGTCCAAATTATTGGATTGGCAGAGGGTGTAAGTGTGGCGGAGTGAAGTGCGTATCTCTTCTTAAAACTCAACTTGATCAGATTAACGTTTTTATTTAGTTTTTGATTTCCACACATTGAAGACAGATAGTAATAACTTGCAACCTTGGAAGCTCATACCCACCCCTAGTAAATTTAAGAAATGCTGGCCATTATCATAGGTAATAGTAAAGTATTATACGTAGTGATACACTAAACATACATGGACTTTTGGTGATTGGGCCCGGTCATGAAATCCATAGGAACCCACCCTCAGGTGGCATGGGAAGCACAGGTCTACCTAGGAAGTACCTCGGACTTGTCAACCCCGCAATTTCCAACTCGTGCGGGGAAGCTTCCTTCTCACATTCTTCCTGGAACTCATCCACAAGGCCAATCTTCAGAATTCGACTCCCACGCATTATACTTTGTTCAGCCATGTTATGAATGTGTAGTCTCCTGTACCATCGGAACCTGGAAGGCTACTAGTATGCGTGTAACAAGAGGGATCTTCGGAGGTCTCCGCTTTCGGCGACAGCTGCAGTCCATTCACTTGCAGCGACGAACTCTGTTGACCGAGAGCTATGCGCGTGGCCCACTGGCTGTGAGTCTCTCTGCTGAATATTCCGCTCGATTTCTCACCAAATGAGATGGAAGATCTCCGTTCCTCTGACACCGCCGTTCTTTCCTAGCCGCCCTTGCTTGAGTCGACCGTTGGCGACCACTTCGCGAAAATTGTGGCCGAACATGGAGATCGAACAGCGTCAGCATTCCTACCCCATCAAAACAATGGAGATCCTAGACAGCCAGACTGACTGTCTCTTCAAGGGTCATTTCGAAGCACCAGAACGATCGTGTCACGTATGCCTCCCTTGACGCCAGAAGCAATGCATTTGCACGGGGTTTAGAATCGGTAGGCGTGAGGAAGGGCGAAAGAGTCGGTGTTATGCTAGGGAATTCTATGGAATATGCTGTTGTATGTGGCCAAGTGACATGACAGAGTTGAAGAGAGGAAAAGCTCATGGAACGCAGGCAACATATGCGCTCTTCAAGCTGGGCGCCATTCTGGTAAATACTCCGACGACTCGCCAGAGGTCTGATCTCTCCTAACATGGCTTTAGGTGCCACTCAATCCGTCCTTTAATGCCACTCAAGTTGTCTCTGCTCTGAGCCACCTTGAGGCGAGCCACCTGATCATCAGCGCCGAATCGAACCTCCCTCGCAAAGACCCCCGCAGTAACGTCAAACTTCTCGAGCTTATGATCGAAGACCTCTTCAGCTCGAAACTCCAGTCCGCACTCATACCTTCTCTCGAGAAAATAATTCTAGTCAACAACTCCTCCGGTCGGGTAGATATATCGTCCTATAAAAGCCTAACGCCCTTCTCCTCGGTCATGTCTCAATTACCTGGAGACTGTCGACCATTGCCGGGACAAAACCTTTACCCGCAAGATATTATCAACATTCAATTTACATCTGGGACGACCGCAATGCCAAAGGCGGCTTGCCTCAGTCATGTCTCTATTCTAAATAACGGTTCCCAGATTGGTGATCGTATGCTACTTACTCCCAACGACATTGTCTGCTGCCCCCCCACCATTGTTCCATTGCTTTGGCTCCATCTTGGGTTATATGGCGACAGCAACTCATGGGTCTTCCATTGTATTCCCAAGCGAGTCGTTCAATGCTCGTGCCGCGTTGCAAGCGGTGCAAGAAGAAAAATGTACGGCACTTTACGGGGTGCCCACGATGTTTCTCGAGGAGCTTAGTCTCATTGCCTCGGGTGAAATTTCCAGTGATGGCTTTCAGCACCTGCGGACTGGAATCGCAGCTGGAAGTAGCATACCCGCAGAATTGATGAAAAAGCTTCATAAGGTATTAAACTTGACCGAGCTGACAATCTGCTACGGAATGACAGAGACAAGCCCTGTCTCTGCGATGACCGCCACAGACGATCCCATAGCAAAGAGAATCAGTACTGTTGGAAGATTGATGCCACATGTCGAGGCTAAAATCGTGGATCCGGTAGACAAAACACAAACCCTTCCAACTGGAGCCCGTGGAGAGCTAGCGGTTAGCGGCTACCTTCTCATGAAGGAGTATTGGGGCGACCCTGTAAAGACCGCCGAGGTTATGATTGCAGATGCTACTGGGAAAGTTTGGATGCATGTAAGTTCAAGTTGTTCTCAATCTCCGAACTGGCGCGAGATCTAATACCCAGGTACTATCTCCTGCAATAGACTGGAGACGAAGCATCTATATCTGAAGATGGATACGTTTCTATAACCGGCCGTATTAAGGATTTGATTATCCGAGGTGGCGAGAACATACATCCCCTTGAAATCGAGAATTGCCTCTTGGCCCACCCTGGTGTTCTTGATGTCTCTGTTGTCGGTGTACCGGATGAGCGATATGGCGAGGTTGTCGCCAGCTTCGTATCCGCCCGAGATCAAGGCTCTAAGATGGTTACTGCCGAGGAGATCCAGCAATGGGTGCGTGAGCATTTGAGCAACCATCTTGGTACGTACCCTCTTTCAATTATACTGTTTCAAACACGACTAATATTCGATTTGCTCCACAGTTCCTAAATATGTATTTTTTTTGGGTCCTACGGAAACGTTCCCGAAGACGGCAAGTGGAAAGATTCAGAAGTTCAAGCTCAAGGAACAGGCGATCAAGCTGATTGCTGGCGCCTGAGATAATTCCCTTGAAATGAGAAATTTATCAAGCTAGGTATCAAATATACTGCATAGCATAGATTCATCAAATCATACCAACATCAATATGTGAACGAGTAACTATCAGGCATATTGCCACGTTTGCAGAGTTGTTCATGAAGTATAGACGCGAGGGCTTCTTGTGCGGAGATGCTGGTGTTGAAAATTATAAAAGTTCTTCTGATCAGAAGTGGAGCGACAATAGCAGGGATTGAAACCGACTGTATATAGCGGGAAGGAGTCCGGTTTGACCTGTCTAGAATCATGAAGTGGATGGCGAAGCACGCAAAATGCGGAATCCGGGGTCTTAAAGACCAGGAGTGGTGCACGGCAATACAGCCAGACCAAGTGGCTTGTAGCACACAGCTGACAAAGCTGTGGATATCCATGAAGTGCAGCCTCACAAGTTTGAGTATGCACTCTAGCGATTGCCAGACAGCATAGAACTTGGACAATCTCTCGGGCCCTCGAGCGAGCATCACGCGTAATCGCCCAAGCAAGCGTCATAGTAGAACAGTAGAACATTGTTGTAGGTTTCCACAAGTAGATCCTCACTTGACTCAGAAATCCTGAATGCCCGTCTCACCCTGAAGCTTCTCTCTAGCATCCTCACCACGAGCATCGTCGACAACCCACTCCGGGTCCTCATCCTCGAAGTATTTATCCAGCTCCTCGGAAAGATCATCATATTCCTCATTCTCATCCACAGCCTTATAATCAAAATCCGGATCATCGCCTCTCATAAACCGCAACGCCATCTCCCACTGCCAAGTCTTCTGCCCTTCCTCCTTGTTGGCGGGGATATCATCACGATCCTCGGCCAGAATCTCTCCATCCGGACCACGAGTATAGCTCAGCATGGAGTTAGGATCCGGGTGCGCCAGCGCATCGACCTTAGCCTCCGAGCGCAATAGATCTGCCTCTAAGACGCCGGAGAATCCTTTCGCGCGGCCCTGCGCTTCTCGTTCTTGCGGTGTTTGGAATCGGCGAATGAGGCGGTCGTATAGTAATGGGTCTAGAATGGATGGAAGTTTCTCAGTAGTTAGCTTGATTTATGTTCTTCGTCTGCGCAGTATCACGTATTCAAAGAGCGAGCGGACCGGCTAGCTCAAGCTCCGCCGAGAAGTACTCGGGGTGCTGGTCCAGATACCGCTTGCGACGGTTCTTGATCTGGACGGAGCGTTGTTTCTCATCGGGCACGTCTGCATCTGTGACTGCGCTGGACTGGAAGCCGGTGTCCATGGGGAAATGTGGCATCTTGTGTCTCCCCCCTTTTGTTTCAGGTTGAGGCGATGTTGAGAGGCTGTGGGGAAAAGAGGAGGGAGAGTTGGGAACGCGGAAGACGGCGGCAAAAGGACGTCGTTTCTGCCACTCCGCGATTTCTTTTTTTTTTCTTGCTTGCGATTGAGAGATGCTGTCGGTCTGAACGTGTAAGTTCTCTATCGTTTCGAATCAGTGAAAGATGGAATTGATGATCCTTCCCCTCACCGTCCTTGGGGTGGAGTCTTGCTGACACGACATCTTGTAGATGCACCCTTGAGTTACCTGGAAACTGGTCTCTCGCCTTTGATAGTGGCAAGCTCTGATTGATAGCTTGGAAATCATGTCTATCGAACAATTCATTCAACAAGCCGACCTGCCCCGGCTGGGCTCCGGTGTGGCATTGTTGTTCCTGGCTGCCTTCTACTCGCCAGTGATGCTGTTGGTCCTGTCGCCCGTCTATGGTGCACTGCCGGCGCACATCTTCCACAGCTATGCCGTCGGAGTCTTCGGTATTGCTGGATGGTTCCTCAAGGACCATATTATGAAGCGATTCGGCCGTGTCGCTGCCTACATGCTTCCTGTCCTGGCATTTTGGACCCCAACTCTGCAATATTTCCTCATGCAACAGAGCTCCAAGCTGGGAAATCCAGCCGGCCCAGTCATCACTGAGCTTTTTGGTTACTTGCCTATGGTTACATTGACCGTGGCCATTGCCGGAAAGCAAATCCAATATGCCCTGCATCTTGAAGCTCAAGGAGATCTGGTGGTCGAGCATGTGCCCCTGTTGGCCACATACGCCATCTACTCCGCCAGCGAGCACATCGCCAAGGCTATCCTGTCATCTGCAATTGGTTTCACGGTTCTCTTTACTCGTGCTGGTCTGCAATTTATCATTGCAGCTCTTTACGCGGCTGTTATTCCGTCCAAAATGCTCCTGCTGGCAATCCCGTCGGTGCTTTTCTCCTTGTCTTCAGATGTTCACCTGGGTGGAATTAGCGGCGTCAACAATGCTATCAGCCACGAAGGATATAAGCTCCTGGAACGACAAGAATCATACACTGGATACATCTCCGTCTTGGAGAACCTGAATGATGGCTTCCGTGTCATGCGTTGCGACCACAGTCTTCTCGGAGGTCAGTGGACTAAGACTGTCCCTGGATACAACCCCGAAGTAGAGGATCCTATCTACGCCGTCTTTGCCATGCTCGAGGCCGTTCGTCTAGTTGAGCCTGACCACGGTACCCCTCGTGTAGATGCTAACAGCAAGGCACTTGTTATGTAAGAGCACTGTGGACAGTGTGCAGAAAATTGACAGGCTAACCATCTTCAAAATAGTGGGCTTGGAATTGGTACCACCCCGGCTGCTTTGATGAAGCATGGTATCGATACTACTATAGTTGAGCTTGACCCCGTCGTTCACAAGTTCGCCACCAAATACTTCAACCTCCAAGATAAGCACAATGTCGCCATCGAGGACGCAACCAAGTTCGTCGCGCGCCAGCTTAAGTCGACTCCCCACCCCCAGTATGACTACATTGTTCACGACGTCTTCACCGGCGGTGCCGAGCCCGCGGAACTATTCACTATTCAGTTCTTGGAAGAGCTCAAGTCCCTTCTCAAGGAGGATGGCGCTATTGCTATCGTAAGACTGATCATCTAGTAATCATATCAAATAAAGAAGAAAATAGCTAACACCTACAGAACTACGCCGGCGATCTCAACCTCTACCCAACCGGCCTCGTCGTACGCACTATCCTCGCTGCTTTCCCCTCTTGCCGCATCTTCCGCGAGCACCCAGCCGAACGTGATAGCGAGAACCCCGACTTCACCAACATGGTGCTCTTCTGCAAGAAGAGCTCCAAGACCCCTGTCGAATTTCGCGACGCCGTGCCCGCAGATTTCCTGCGCAGCCGCTCGCGCGAGAGCTACCTTGTTCCGACGCACGAGATGAACCCTTCTCTGTTTTCTACTATTCCCAAGGATGGAAAATCGATTCTCCTTGATGATGAGGTTGGGAGATTGTACAAGTATCAAGACCGTGGTGCGCTCGAGCACTGGGCGATCATGCGTAAGGTCATTCCCGATTCTGTCTGGGAGAACTGGTAATCCAGTCGCGATGGAAGGCTCTTCGCTCGATGTCAAGTAGTAGGCTAGATACTTAGTTCTGCTAGAATTAGCATCAGAGATATCAACTGTATACTACTTGGAATGAGTCTCCTACCTAGTATTTCACCCGAATATAGGCCCAGTGCCCTGCATTGTTAGGATCCTGCAACTTCAAAGTTGTTTAGGTACTAGTATAATACTAGTAGCCTCACTGAGATAGGTATTCATGGCCGTCGTTGAGGTCATACTAGTAGAGAAGAATAGCTTTCACCCTTCAAGTTTTCGCCTTGCTCACCCCTCACTCTCTGTTCAGAGACCGGGCGAAATAGTTTTCATTCGAATGTGGGGGGTCCTACGGTACTGGGAGATGCACGTGATAGTTAGATAGTACCTAAACCTGGGCATATACATTGTGGAATTACTAATATAACGCCCATCCCCGCCGGAGTGAGTTCCGGAAGTCTAGATTGTGGTAGTGCCTTGCCCAGGTGATTGGCCATCGAACAATGCTGATTAGGAGATCCCAGAGCCTAGCGTGCGGTGTTCACTAATCTATACCTAGGTATGTAACATGCAGTACAAATTACAAATTTACAATATGGCTAGTACGCTAATGCACGCTAAGATGTCTCGATTGACGTATGAAGAGGGTGTAGAGTTCAAAATTGATACTACTACTAGTACTAGTATGCAGTAGGTAAGCCAAAGCCGAATCCGGCTCTAAAGCTGACTCCGGATGGCCCCCCAAAGCATACACCTGCATAGGTACCTAGTAGGCAATGAGGCTGAAGACCCTTGGAAGTCAGATATAAAAGGGCCCCGGCCTCGCAGGTACTTCCGTGATCAAGTTCAAAACAAGTTCAAGTTGAAGTTTAAGTATTCCGACCAAAAACTTGACTGGGGTCAAGGCCGACAGTAAAATAAAATATTGAACTCAGTAAATTAGAACCAAACCTTTCCAAGGATACTCGCTTTACCTGCCTATCAATCATAACTCTCAATATGCCGCCCCGTCGAGCCCTTATTTCAGTCACTTCGGCTAGCGCCCCCCTGTTCAATGGCAAAGAGACGACTGGACTTTTCATCAGCGAGGCCTTGCACCCCTACAAGGTCCTCGTCGCAGCAGGCTTCGAAGTAGACCTGTCCTCTGAGACAGGTAGTTACACGCCTGACTGGCTTTCCCAGCAACCCGACTTCCTCAACGGCGAAGACCTAGAGATCTGGACCAACACCAACAGTGACTTCCGAAAGAAGCTTGACAACATGGTTAAAGCTGGTGACCTGGATGCTTCGAGTTACGGTCTATTCTATGCCTCCGCCGGCCACGCCGCTTTGATAGATTACCCTACTGCCACTGGCTTGCAGCACATCGCTGAGCAAGTGTGGGCCAACGGCGGCGTTGTCGCTTCTGTTTGCCACGGGCCTGCAATATTTGCCAATATCAAAGATCTTGCTACCGGAGAGCCGATAATCAAAGGAAAGAAACTCACTGGGTTTACTACTGAGGCTGAAAATACCATGGGCATCATGGGTGAATTGCGGGACTTGAATACCGAAATGGTGGAAGAGCTTTCTGATCGACTGGGCGCAATCTGTAAGAGTATTCTATGTCTGGCATTGGCATTCCCTCCTCTGATTGTGTCATAGATGAACGATCAACCGACGTTTGGGATGACTATCACGTTGTGGATGGACGATTGGTAACCGGTCAAAACCCTGCTAGTGCTACATCAACTGCAAAAGCATCTGTTGATATTTTTGACCAGCTTTAAGGTGAAGAAAAAGGCGAAGATTGAATGATTGATTTGGGCAATCTGAAGGACAATACTGACCTTTTTGATGTTATCGTGCTGCTTTTAAGATTGCCAAATTTGATATACGCCGTACTAGTAACCTAACTATTTGCAGAAATACTAGTCAATCTTCATGCTTATCTGGAATTTTGACTTCCCAGTACATAAATACCTACCTAGGTAGGTTTATGACCCTGTAGATAATGAAAACGTTGCCCAGGTGGTAACGCCTAGATTTTCCAATCAACCTTGGTACCTTGGAAATTCACGAGATGCTACCCCTTTAGACGAGAGGTTGTACCAGTTCCAAGTTTACTGCGGCAATAATATAAAAAACAAGGACATGTTGCGTCGGTGGTGAATAGATATGTGTGTGTACGGAATACACGTACCAAGGTCACGTATATCAACCCGATCTCGGGATCAGACAAAGATCGAGAAAAACGACTCATATTGGTATCATTATCTAGCATCCCGCCACAAAAGTCCACGGAATCCCCGGGGGAGGAAACAACTATGCACAGCCCTGCACATTCAATCTACTTCCTATATCAGAAACCAGGTCTACTATAAGACCGCCCCCCCTCCACAATATGTACGCTCATGAAAATAGTAAAATACAGCCCAAGCAGAGAAAATAGTGTATGGATAGAGAGAGAGAGGGGGGGGGGGGAACGAAAAAGCAGGGTGGTGAATCAAGCAGATGGGCTGCCGCGGGGACTGCTGCTGGGCTTCTTAACGAGACCTGCGAAAAAGTTTGCCAGTGCTTGGTTGTGGGCTTTCTCGTCGCCTGGGGTTGCGGGAGATCCTTCCTTTCTTTGGGTCCGGTTGGCTTCGCGGTCCTGTAACCATGTTAGAGTTTCACATGTATAACTACTTGAATGGTATGTTCTTACGCGAAGCTTCTTTAGCATGTCATCCGCATCTACTTGGATACCGCCCATATTGAACTGGACCGGGCCGATATGCTCGTTGACCTTGCCCTGGTCATCCATTGGAGACATCTCCAACTGGGGAGTTTCCTGAGTTGAGCGGTCTTTCTCATCGTCTGCCTTGAGCTGTTCGAGAACATCGACTTGCTTCATAAGGAACCCTTGCGTGTCAGAAGTATCGATCTCAACCTTTGTGCCGTTGGTGGTGCTGGAGTGGGCGATCGTCGCGTCCCTCTTAGGGTCTTGGATGGTCTGCTCGAAGACCGTCACCGCACTGGTGCCGTCGTCGGCTTCTCCGTTCTCATCTTGCGGGGAAGTATGCGCTGGTTGGTCAAGCGGCTCTGGGGCATCTTGAATCTCGATGGACCAGGCGGTTGATGCACCCTCCATATCGAATCCTTCGCGGATAATCCGAATCTTACCCCAGGAATCCCAGTTGGCAGGAACCAGAATCTTGTCGCGGTCGATCACGTTGTGTTTTAATGACTGTCGTTTCAGGAGAGAGTGTATACCAAGCGAGGAATGAATCAAGCTCTGAAGAGAGTTGGCAAGGAAAGGTGTGGTATAAATGAGCGATGCGCCATCTGTGAAAAGTTAGAATGGAATCGGATCGAAAGATTGATACTAAAATTGCTCCAGGGAGGCTCACGCTTAAGCAGGAGGGTACGCATAAATTGCAAAATGAAATCGAATTGCTCTTCGTGCCAGCCGTGGTCTTTTTCCAGCTTTTCGATCTTGTCTGCCTATAGGAGCTTGCGTGTTAGTAAATTCGACCCCCAATGGACGTTTCGATTGCGTATAGGGTTCACATACTCCTTGGCAAACAACACACATTGGGATGCCCAGCCCTTCATCCCATTCGCCAGGTCCCAGCGGTATTGTGACCGGGCCGCCAGAATTTGATATGCCACCCGTTGCGGCAGAGCTAGCGTCCATACCTCTCTTGCGATCGCGCCACTCAGTCATAATTTCCTCCATCACGAGCTTTGTATCATCATCCAGAGAGACAAGCACGGAGCGCAAGAGACGAACCCATTCTCGCAGTCGCCGGACCCAGGTCCAGGGGTCCGACCAGTCCAAAAGAATAACAACCAGGGTTTCAGGCACAGATTGAGGAGTCAAGAGCGGTTTGATAAGAGGTGCGAATGACGGAGAGGGGTCTGCCAAAAGGTACGCTGAGACGCGGGCTAATGTGTCTTCTCGATCGGCATCGAGCACATCGCGATATGTATATCCCAGAGCAAATTGGTTGGCGATGGGAGGGGTCTTCCCCTTCCGTTTGTCGTTTACTAGGCTGGGGTCCGCGGAGGTATCTGCGGAGAAGGTCTCCAGGAACTCTCGCTGGCTTTCTGGAGTGCCACCTATTTGTTCAACAGTCAGTATCTCCAGCAGCAGTTGGTAGTATTTCCAGCATGAAGTATTGCAGAGGGGCTAGCCACGAACCTAAGATCAACAGGTTCTTCTCCGGGAGGCGCTTTCCATTCGCGACACCATCTAGTAGCGACGACCAAATATTCTTCTTTGAGCCATCCTTACTCGTGGGTCGACTGTTGGCACCAGGTGCTTTAGATCCGCGGGTCGGACTGGAAGACATTGTCTGCTCTAGTCCCACCATGCGTCAAGGTGGTGGCATATACCTTTTTCCCAAGCACCGGCAGCGTAGGGGAAATATCGAACAGAGACGGCGCAAGGCAACAAGAAGGTACCAAAATCAAGTAGCGGCGGTGGAGGGGTGCGTAGGTGAGAGAAGTGTCGTCCAGGCGCGCGCTGCGCGGTCAGGGGAATCTGGAGAAAGCGGGACGGAGGTGGGTGAGGAAAGCTTCGCTCTCACAAAGCCACGAGCACAAGGGACGAGAAGACCGATCCAATCAACCTAGTAAATTGTTCAGTGGTCGCAGGCCAAACGACGTCACGGAGGATGGAGCAGGGGGGGTTTCCGGGAGTCGAGTAAACATTTGACGATTTTACGGTTCCGCAGGTGCTCCGAGTGGAACCCTTCGCGACCTCCCCCCCAACTTTCTTTCTCTTCTCTACTTGACTTCCTCTACACACCACCACCATGAACTCCATTCGTGAGGTCCAGAAGCTCAACAAGCTTGAGCTGGAAAATGCAGTGTATGTCCCGGCTTCCTCGACTGTCTCCATTTTTCGTCTTTTCCCCCGGTACCCAAAGCTAACCTGGCCTGCGCGCCTTGCCTAGACCTCCGGAAGCGTCATGGCACGCAGACTACCGAGACACCGCGTATATCTACATAGGTGGATTACCATTTGACCTGTCGGAGGGCGACATCGTAACCATATTCTCTCAATACGGTGAACCAGTCAACATAAATCTGGTTCGCGACAAGGAAACGGGCAAAAGCCGGGGATTTGCCTTCCTGAAATATGAAGACCAGCGCAGCACAGATCTGGCCGTCGACAACATGGGTGGCGCAACCGTCATGGGACGCATGCTCCGAGTCGACCACACACGATACAAGAAACGCGATGACGACGAGGAGGGCGATAATGTCGCTAAACTCATGGGCGATGCGGTGATCGACGAGAGCAAGAAAGATGATGAGGATCGGTCCAGTCGGAGGAAGCGGATAGACAATCAAGGTGATAAGGAAGAACAGCGCCCATTGCTCAAGGAGGAGAAAGAGTTACAGGATCTGATCCAAAATCATGACGAGGAAGACCCGATGAAGGAATTCCTTATCGGAGAAAAGAAGGAAGAAGTTGCGCTCGCCATTGAAAAGTACCAAAGTGAGCGGAAAAGGTCTTCACGACGCCGCGATGACAGCAGGGAGCGTTCAAGCAGACATTCCCGTCGCCATCGCTCTCGTACCCCCGAGCGGCATCGTCGCCATCGTTCGTCAGACCGAGATCGCGAAAGAAGGCCGCGCCGCCGGTCTACAGAAAGAGACGACAAGGAAAGGTCAAGGCGAGACAGGGATCGAACGCCTAGAAGATCTCGCTCGCCATCATCTCACAAACATCGCAGTGATCGGGACAGAGACGATCGTCGCCACTGAAAAGCTCTCGTATAAATCAATATACCGAACTTTGAGCTTGCACTACGAACTTGATCAACAATTGGCTATGTATACAGTTTCATGAATTCAGAAACTTTGGCATACTGTTTTGAAAGACAGAAAGCCTGGTATCTATCTACAAACGATAAGATGGCCCCCCCATGGGCCAAATTAGCGGCGGCTCGACCTCACCCACCCAGGTACCGTTTCCAGCCCTCCCGATTGAAACTCCGCTCCCCATCATCGCCAACACGAAGCACAAATTTTTCCCATCGCCCTTCTCGACCGGAGCCAATGGTCAGGATTGTATTGTCATCCAACCAGCCAATGACTCCCTTCCGTGGTTGAGCACCTGATGAAGACGATCGCGCCGATAATTGCTCTTGTGAGGCCCCACCATCCATCGCAAAATGCGCACTGGCAAAAGAGTACGTATCTGAAAACACTCGCGGGAGCATGGGAAATTTGCCCAGTAAGCCCCATTTGTGGCTCGTGGTCTCTTCAGGACCAGAGGAGGAGGATTGACCGCTGTGGCCAGTGTGAGGCGGGCGACGTATATCGAAGACATGAAGGGTGCCTTTGTCGGATGTTACCGCGAGTAAAGAGTTGGAGGGGGAGAATGAGACCGAGAATATCACCGCGTGGTCAACGCCGCGGCGCAGTTCTTCCAATTTCGTGCAGTTTCCTGTAGAAAATATGCGAATCAAAGTTCCCTGAAGAGGTGTTAGTTCAATTGGCCATGCGTGAGAAATAAAGCAAATAACGAATGCGGAGTGCGTACTGTTTCGCTCGCCGTAGCCAGCACCTCCCCATCGCGACCAAGAGCCATCGCGCGTAGAGGAGAGCTATGGGCTGGGATGATGCTGATATTCCCAGTCGTCAATTCGACTAGCCGCACCTGTCCGGCGGATTTCCCGGGGAAGGCTAACACCTTCTCGCCCAGACAAACCAGTCCCAAGGGGTTATCGCATGTTTCGTAAAAGGAGAGTTTCTTCGGTTCGGTTGCGAAAGCAAAAACATGGATGCTGTTCAGCAGCGCGACGACGATTCTGGATTTGGAGAGACCGATTCCCAAGACAGAGGTTTGGAATTCGAGAGTAATGGCAGCTTTTTGTTTGGCATCGTCCCAGATCACCAGCTATAGAAGAGATGATTGATCAGTTTCTATTCCAAAAAATGAAGCGATTTGGGCAGCGTGATGCTGATATACTCAGGGACATACTTTATTTTGAGGGAATTTAGGGTTTCGCCCCCCCACCAACGATGGCGAGATAGTTCGACTGACCAAGCATTTCTGCGAGACCGATGCCTGCATTGAAGTCTAAAGCACCAATCCAGCATTGTATCAGCATATTATGTTGTAGCAAGATAGAAAAGAAGGCTTGCTCACCTCTAGAAACCTTGAGTTCACACGGATTCGAGTTGAACACTAGAAGAGATACTTCTTAGCGCGTTTCCTGGTTCCACCAGTTTCGACAGGCTGGAAACCAAGGGCTTATAGCATACCGCAAAATCCTGTCTCAAGACCAACTGAAAAACAGCTGCTGTCATTGTTGAAAGTTGCCGACAGGGAGTAGGGTCCGACGGACTCATCGATAACCTGGCGGGTATTCATGATCGCGCCGCATGACGTGAGTACAATGCGCGTTAGGAGGTTAACCGAAAGTGGGAATTCCCTTGGAGATAACAGTATCGGTAGAGAGGGTAACAAAAGGTTACTTGTCTCTTGTCAAACGAGCATAAAGGGTGAAAGGCGTGGAGAGTGGAGGTGAAAGGAAAGAAGGTATGGTAGGGTGTGGTCATGGGGAAGCTCTCCCCGTGGATCGGCGATAAGCAACGGAGGGGACCATCTGGGGGGAGCTTGGACCGCCTCAGTAACCTCCTGGTAGGGAAAGCGGTGTGTTGGTGATGTGGAAGGCGGTGGGTTGCGGGAGGCAGAATGCTGACATAATATATGATCGAGTCGAAGGCAAGAGCGACCCACCAAAGCGCCCCTGAGTGCCTTATTCATGGATCCTCCAAAAGGGCAGGCACGACAGTCAACATTGAGAACAACACTCCATACTATAAAGGACGGGGAGAAAAACAATCAATTAAAGGGGCATCACAGGATTATTTGAGTCAAATTCAATTATTGTTTTCTATATTTATGCTATGCTCCCTTCGTAAAACACGTACCATATCAAAATTCAATTGATCATAAAGTGAAATGAAATACTATCTGGTCGAGTAGAGCTGGGGAGCAGGACGTCCCGTGATTGGTCCGCATAGGGAAAGGGGGAAACACCGACGAGGAACTGTCTTTCCTCCGCCCTCCTCGACCCCCCCTACTCTCTCCATTCGAGACCCTCAGGAGAGTTTCACCTTCACCTCTTCATACCGTTGGTTCCTTGCTTTGGAATTCTCCTCTTTTCCAATCTCTCTTTCAATTTCCCCTCTTCACACACAGCCCACCATGTCTTCGGCCCTCAACGCGGTATGTTCCCCTTTTATTTCCTCCCGAATGCTTGCCCCATACTTCAACCATGAAAAAATGTTCGACAAGCTAACTGATGTCCCCATTGTGGGCAGATGAAGATCCGTCGCAAGAAGAATGTCAAGAAGGGTATTCAGTTCTGTGTGATGGTCTGCGGTGCCAGCGGAACGGGTACGAATCCCTCTATTTTACCCCCGAGCCTGTTCTCTTCGAATTGTTCCCTGACCGTCAACGCTACTTAGGACGCACAACTTTTGTCAACACCCTCTGCGGAAAGCAAGTGCTAGAGGGCAAGGACGCTGATGATCCAGAGCACGCCCACGAAGAGGAGGGTGTGCGCATCAAGCCCGTCACCGTCGGTAAGTCAACTCGACTCAAGTTTCCCCCGCGCCAACCCATCATTCAAATGCTAACCATCCCGGTATCACAGAGCTTGAGCTGGATGAGGAGGGAACCCGCATCTCCCTGACTATCGTTGATACCCCCGGTTTCGGTGACCAGATTGACAATGAGGCCAGGCATGTCCCCTGAACTGGGTTCCCCCCTGCCCGATGAAATTAACCCATCCTCCTTGCTAACGCTTCTATTCACAGCTTCGGCGAGATTGTCGGCTACCTCGAGCGCCAATATGATGACATCCTTGCTGAGGAGTCCCGAATCAAGCGTAACCCTCGCTTCAGAGACAACCGTGTCCACGTCCTCCTTTATTTCATCACACCCACCGGTCACGGTCTCCGTGAACTCGATATCGAACTTATGAAGCGTCTGTCCCCGCGTGTCAACGTCATCCCCGTTATTGGAAAGGCCGACTCCCTCACCCCCGCAGAATTGGCCGAGTCCAAGAAGTTGATCATGGAAGATATTGAGCACTACCGCATCCCCGTCTACAACTTCCCCTACGATGTTGAGGAGGACGATGAGGATACCGTTGAAGAGAACGCCGAGCTCCGTGGACTGATGCCCTTCGCCATTGTTGGCTCTGAGGACTTCGTTGAGATTGATAACAAGAAAGTGCGCGCCCGCCAGTACCCATGGGGTGTGGTCGAGGTTGAGAACCCCCGACACTCCGACTTCCTCGCCATTCGCAGCGCCCTGCTCCACAGCCATCTTGCAGATCTGAAGGAGATCACCCACGACTTCCTTTACGAGAACTACCGTACCGAGAAGCTCAGTAAGAGCGTGGACGGTGCCGATTCGTACGTACCCACTCACACCATGGCATTAGATGAACCAGCGCTAACAAATACCAACAGAGGTGGCGACTCCAGCATGAACCCCGGCGATCTCGCCTCTCAGTCCGTCCGCCTCAAGGAGGAGCAACTCCGCCGCGAGGAGGAGAAGCTGCGCGAGATCGAGATCAAGGTGCAGCGCGAGATTGCCGAGAAGCGGCAGGAGCTGCTGGCCCGCGAGAGCCAGCTCAGAGAGATCGAGGCTCGTATGGCACGCGAGGCCAGCCAGAGCAATGTCAGCGAGGCCACTGGCGGAGAGGCTTAGATATACCCTGTCGAAAATGCGGCTCATTCAGCGGGGCGCCGGTTCGCAATGTGATACCGTTTGTGCCAATATCATGGACTTCGTGGCACGAAGTTGGTTTCTGTTTATGGGGATAATATTGACTGTTTATTCACGTTAATAGCTTTTTTATTTTCTTTTTCGCTTTTCTTCGTTTCCTCTCCTTATCATTGTTTCTGGTGTCTTTGTGGAGAGATGGACAATTCCCAACATAGAATGCAACGCTCCGGCTTTGACGATGGGCACAACCATTCCTTCATGTTCTCCAAGTGGAAAGACAAGAACCAAACAGTGTCTCCGTTTTTACCTTGTTGTTTGGCCTCGCAATCAATTTTCCACATGTTTTTGCCGCTCAGTGGCCAAAGCAATGGACAACCACCTCATGTTCCATCTTCCCAAACTGCCACACCTTGGGACAGAGACAAGCACGATCATCTCTTTCTTCCTCGCTCATTCCCTTGTTCGCTTTACCCCGGGGATTAATTACTCTGCATACTATTTTACATCTTCCCCCCCCCCTTCCTATCCATCCCCATCCGTCCTCGGGAAATGCAAATCTCGTTATTTTGTCCGTGTCACCTTGTCCAAACTTGTCCCGCAACGCAGCCAAGATTCCCTCGTCTTCTCTTTTGTATCTTTTTGTTGCTCTTGGCTCCATGTCCGACTTATCCCCCGCCTCTCCCCCGTGGTCTTCCCGCCGAGTTCAAGTTCTATAGTTCAATGCGGAAGAAAAAGTAATTTGGTCTCGCTCTGTTCTGGATACGTAGATCTGCTTTATTGGTTTTGGGGCCTTTTCTATTGCCTGAATACATATGCCTGATCCCGGGGCTCATATGTGACCTCCGTCAAATTTCACTGCTTGATGGGTCACATGTGATAGAGAAAAGGGAGTCTTAGACGCGAGCCATAAGGCTTACTACTACCGACTAGTACTAGTACGGAGTACGAAGTGGTGAGCCTGGCACTAATGCCCCTAAAGATACACCCAATAGATAGTACAATGCATGCATGCCCAAATGCACTCCAACATGACACGACACTGCAGCTTGAAATCAAAATCCATATTATGTATTGTGTTTGATATCTTCAAGCTACCACAGATGATCTACCGGTCCAAAACACAGCATTCCACATCGATAGCATTGGAAGTAATGATGTACCTCAAAAGTTTCAACAGTACAGGAAAGAAAGTAAGGAAGAAAAACGGTTAAAAGAAGAAGCTAAAGAAGAAGAACAGCAAGACATGGTCATTACATTCGCAGGCCATGCGGGAAGGGAAGGAGGGAAAGGCAAAATCAATGAGGGGGAAAAAGAAGAAATCAATAAAATTTTAAGAGAAGGCAAAAGGAAATCTGGAGATAGAAGAAGAAATGCAACGATGGAGAACAAAAAGAGGAACGCAGACTGCAGCAGAAGGGAGGAGAAGAGGACAAAGCAGACACGCAAGAAGTGGTATTTGCGCTCCATTGTACAAACAAAAACAAAATGGAAAATGAGTCTTCCAGACAGAGACGTTCTTTTGGACTTCGGTAAGATATGAGAGGAGGTATGAGAGGCGGGATAGAGAGAGAGACACGAAGCCGTTGGACCGGACTAGTACAGGGCTGGGCTGGCAGCTCGGTGGGAGTAGGTTGGGATGGAAACGGCGAGACGGAGGATGCTCAGCTGTATGCTGTCATGCACTCAGCAAGGTTAGATTTGATTCTGGGGTTTGCTCCAGAAGTCCAAGCTAGCGACTATGTCCTCGCCTGATTCGTCTTCATAGGCATAGATGATCTGCAAGAAGTTGTGTTGTGTTAGTATATGGTAAAGTGGTGGATGGAAAATCAAGGAAACATACCTCGCGAGTAGAAGAGTGCAGCATGCGAATGTTCCTTCCGGTCATGATGTGAATCAGTTCGCTCGTTTCCACATTACGGATCTCAACGAAGTTGGGCTCGAATGCCAAGATATAAGGATAGGAAAGAGCGAATGCCGTCGGGTTACCCTCCCAGGAGATTCTCCAGTCCGGACGAGCACGCCATCCATTGCGGTTGACGAAGAAGGAGAAGTCGCTGTAGTTGAGGAGGAACTCTCCGTTCATACGCTCGATGTGGATGGGCTTGACATTCTCCTTTCGTGCAACGAAATCGAGAGATGTATCGGCCTGGTCCAGGAGGGACTGGGTGTCTGTTGTTTCAAGACTAACGACCTCAAAACCACGAGCACAACCAACACACAAGGTAGATCGCAAGAAGTGAATCGAAGAAGATTCGGCTGGGATATAATATTCCTTGAATGGCTTGAGGGTATCCTGGCCACTCTGGAACATCTTACTGACAGCAGACTTCTTCTTGCCCTTGGCCAGGTTGTCCATCGGCTCGTAGACCTTGATAGTACTGGACAAGGCCGAAGTCTTCACCGAGCAGACAAGATGACGTCCCAGGCCGATACCTGCTTTGAAGAAGTTGGCATGGCCTTGAATCTTCTTCGGGCGCTTGGCAAGTGCATTCTTGTTGTCCTCCCCTAACTCAAGAGCATCCATGGGGTAAGACGAGAGGGTCTTGTTTGCCAGAACCAACAGCAACTGATATTCCTCTAGAGTGTCGATTTGTGTGACTTGGCTAGCCTCCAAAACCTTCTTCGGCTTGGCTGCCTTGTCTTTAGGCCAGCGATCAGATATATAGATGCCACTATCGGTTCCAATCACCAGCTTCCGTCCGCCATCAACTGGAACACAGCAATTCACCCGATTAACAGCAGAGAAGAAATTCTGGCTCAGAATTGTCTTGTTGTAGAAGTTGCTGTTCCGCTCCCAAAGCTTCCTTTGCTGTTCCTCAACCATTTCAATGAACTTTCTCCTTTGAGTTGGAGAGGTGGCGTAAACAGTCTGCTCATATCCACCTTTACCAAGGTGACGGAAGGTGATTGGCAGCTGGCCGTCCTTGGCGGGGGGAGGCAGCGGGGAAGTTTTATTAGACAAGAGGCTGGAGGAAGGTCTTTTCGATATTCCAACTCTGGGAATCACCTCGTCCATCTGTGGGATGACCAGAAGTTCAAGCGGTATAGGTTTCTTGTACACTCGGAATTCTTCACGCTTATTCACCATCTTGATTCGAACCAAGAGGACTGCGTGATCAAAGAGATATGCTGTCACCTCCGAGCTCTCAGCGGTGGTTTTCTTGAAAGCCATCTTGGTCAGCATTTGTCGATTCTCTTCGGTAAGCTTAAGATCCACATAGTCTCCTGGGTTGAATTTGAGAGAGCCATTGAGTTGCACCAAGTTGAAGTGGTTCTCAGCCTTTCCACTCTCGGCGTTGACACGAGACAGGAAACTCTTAATCAGGGTTATGGCCTTTGGAATGTCCTCCTTATCAGGGCTGTCGTCGGCTGTATACTTCAAGACCGATCCCAAAAGAAGGGGGTAACGAGCCAATCGAGTGGTTGGCTTGGTGAGATAACCGTTCAGTTCCAATTTGCGGGACTCCTTGAGACGCTCTGTGTCATCGACGAATTTTGAGAAGCCCACGTTCGATGACTTTTCCTTCTCGAACTCGTATTTTCCGTAGAGTTGGTTTGCACCATACTTAATGAAAGGGTCGAATTTGGGCACATGTTGGAGGAAGATATCACCAACAGACTTGACGACGGGGCTTTCCTTTTGGCGTGCATTCAGAGCTTCAGCGAGACCACCATTGACCTTGAGCACCTCCAAGCAGTTACCGAAAACAGTTCGAATGAACTTCTCCCGTCGATGCTCTGGAATGGGCGAGGTTGTCCCAGGGCCCGCGGCACGTAAGGGTCGCATCCAGAAATCTCGAAGGTATTCCAGGTCCTTGACGAAGTCGCGTTCGGTGTACATAATCTCAAAAATGACTTCTTGTCGCTTCTTCTCGTTGTCATCAATGGCGTCAGAGACTTCCTTCGGAACCATGTTAATCCACAACTTTTGGTTGTCATTGTCCTCGTCGTCATCAATGGGCAAGGTGCCCTTGGTAGTAGTTCCTAGAACCGGCTGGACCTTGAGGTTCAGTCTCGATTGCTGTTCTAATCGTCGGGGGCAAGCAATGGAGTAGCATAGACTGTCGCGAGTGCAGGTGGCAGAGTAACATTCAGTCAACAAGGTGAACACTCCATTAACTTCCGAGCTAACAGTGTCCTCGCCCATGGTCTCCTTGAATTGATAGACTTCTCCGGGGGGCATCTCGAAGGCGGTGGTCATAAGTAACGTCATGGAAAAACTTCTGTGCGTCCAATGCACGGCCGAGGAGCAGAGCAAGATTGCGATCATTGGTTCTGATGATAAGAGAAATCAGATCAACGGCGTCAGTACCGGAGAAAGCATTCTGGTACGAAAGGCCGTTTTTCTGTCGCTCGCCCAATGGCGCCTTCTCACGAAACACGTCGGCGACCCGTGAGAGCAGAGCAGGATAAACCACAGGCAATCTGTTTCGACGCGAATTGCTGGAAACAAGGGTTGTTTGACCGTTCGAGCTCTGGGTTGCTCCACTCTGGACGCTCATGGTGCGGTCCGGCATGATCGTCGACGCCATCGACATCGTGCGAGATCTAGTTGATGCGTCGCTGGGTGGACGAGGCTTGGCATAGCTATCGGCGACCATTGCTACATCGGCAGGCATGGAGTCGAAGCGCTGTGGAGCCGGGACTGGGACTGGGGCCGGAGCCGCCGCAGATGATGGGTCATGACCACCCGACGGTGGGCGTTGTCGAGACGGGATCGCTCTTCCACTGGAAGAGATGTGAGGATTTTCTCGGTCCGTCGCATAGGTGGTCATGGACATAGCTCGCTCGTTGCCATGTCTTTCTGGAACGGTCCGGCCCAATTGAGTCATACTCGATCCAGAGTAGTAAGGCTCGCGACGCGAGGCAGCCGCAGAGGTGTGGTTGAAATTGCTAGGTGGGGCGGGAGGAGGGACGGCTGGGTAGGATGGTCCATTGAGTTTCGCCATCGATCGAGATCTCGTCGCATCTGAATTTAGGGC